AACATAGTCAGTGGAAATGACAAAGGTTATAAACATGATCACATTTAATACCTCTTAGAAAATAACTGTATTAAATACTTGCAGGAAGACCCACATTTCCCATTCCATTGGAGTATCTTATTCCTGTGTCTGAACTATTGATCATTTCATTGTAGTATATCCTTTCTAGAAAGAGTATCTGGTTCTTACCCCACTTTTATCTCTCCATCCACTGAAGACTAATATATGAAAACATTGTGCCCAATTCCTGTGGTATTGCTGATCCTTTCTGTTTTTAAAACTCTTTTTATTTAAAGATTTATTATTTATTTATAGATTTATTATTTATTTAAAGATGTATTATTTATGCATAGAAGAATGGAGGTGCAGTCGGGAGGTGCAGGGATTGAGAGGATTCACCAGAGATAGAGTAAGGAGAGAGCAGGCAGATCTACTGAAATACACTGCTGAGGGAAGCAGCAGGTGAGGCAGGGGAGGTCTGCTGCACCATATGTGTTGTTAGCTCCCTGGCCGGGGATGGAACTCAGGCTGCAGTGGTGACAGTGCTGAGACTTAACCTTTATGCCACCAGGGAGGCCCTCTGAAACTCTTAAATAAACTGACAATGCATATGGTGGCTTGAGAGAAAGGAATTCGTATGTTTATACCTTTATCATCTTACCTTCAGAATAAAAATACCCCTGCTTTTCAGAGCTGCTGCCAAGACCCCTGCTGGTAAGAAGTGTTCAAACTATGCAGACTAAAAGCACTGCAGAACAAAGTGCTCTTCCTGCTCTAACAAGGTTTACTTTAAATTTCATCCCAGGCAGTAAGTTTGGAGTCTTAAAGTCTGCTTATTTGTCTAAATTTAGTTCATCTTTCAGCTCCAAGATCTCTAATCATTAAGTGGATTTTTAAATCTACATTTGACTGAATTGCATTTCTCTGAGCATATCAGCTGGCAGCTAATAAAAATTAGCAATGAAAAAAATGCACTTTCATAAGTGGCCTTCAGAAACTACATCGACAGAAAGGGGCAGTGTTCCCACTTGCTTTGCAAAATTGCAAAAAGCTCACATTTGGCTATCAAAGCAGTGAAGGAATTGCCTCAATCTGTGCCTATCAGGAGTCACTTTTATTTTTTTAGTTTTTTAGTTTCCTTCTCTCCCCAAACATACATTTATTGCCCAGTGCTTGTCAAGAATATGTCTGATGACTTTGGAAAAATTGAATATTTGGACTGTTGTTTTTGGTTTTGGGTTTTTTTCTTTATGAATTCACTTTTATTTTTTTTTTCTGTGTTAGTAGAATCTATATATATATATATATATATATATATATATATATATAACCCCAATTTTCATTTTTGCACAATGTATGCATTTTCATCTTAGTTATATTCTCCATACAATTCCCACCCCCCTTATTTTGACCCTAATCTCTCCTTCCCTCCCTCTCCGCATAGTGTGTCTCTGGTTTATAATTGCTTGTTGATTTTGATTTTTACTTTATTATAATTAGTCCCTTTCCTGGTCCCTTATTTAGGTTTTCTAAATTCCTGCTATGAGTGAGACCATCCGGTATTTTTCTTTTTCTTTCTGGCTTATTTCGTTGAGCATGATCCCTTCCAGCTCTATCCATGTTGCACCTGCACTCCTATGTTTATAGCAGCACTATTTACAATAGCTAAGCTATGGAAACAACCTAAATGCCCAAAAACAGATGACTGGATCAAGAAGATGTGGTACATATACACAATGGAATATTACTCAGCAATCAAAAAAGATAAACTCATGCAATTTGGAGTCACTGTTATTTTAAAGATGCTCCAGTTGAAACATTGCGTGGCCTGTGCTGGTCACAAACAGCCTGGCCCAGCAACCTCTTGCTCCCTACCAGCTGCCTTCTTCCTCTTTGCTGGCTGCATCAGACTCCTGACTGGCCCTCTGCACCACATAGGGTGGACCCATCTTTCTGGAACATACTTTTCCCTAGAACTTGTCTAAAGGTCTTCTGTATTTCATTAGGCCTTGGCTCGAATTTTACCTTTAGAACATTTCTGTGCTTTTCTGTCCTCTACCCTCAGTTTTATTTTCCTTCCATTTATTTAAAACTACCTGACTTACTTTTCCTTTTTTCTCCTCCTCTTCTACCACCTTAATTTCTTCTTCCTCTCCTTTTTTCTTCCCCTCTTCCTCTTTCTTCTGCTGCTCCTCCATTTCTCTACACCCAGTAGAGTGGAAGCTGATTTTTGTTCTGCTACATCCTGAGTCCTGGGACAGAGCACACACACATCAGTGTTTGTTCAGTAAACATGTCACTGAGATGTGTTTTTACCCTGGGCAAATAAGATATCTTGGGACTTTTATTTTATTTATTTTTAATTATTATTTTTTAATTTTATATATTTTTACATCATTTTTCATTTTTGCACAATGTATGCATTTTCATCTTGGTTATAGTCCCCATACAATTCCCACCCCCCCCTTGTTTTGATCCTATTCCCTTTTCCCCCTCACCCCCATAGTGTGTCTTTGGTTTATAGTTGCTTGTTGATTTTGATTTTTACTTACACCTGCACCCCTATTTTATAGCAGCACTATTTACTATAGGTAAGCTATGGAAACACTCCAACTGCCCAAAAATAGGTGACTGGATCTAGAAGATGTGGTACATATACACAATGGAATATTATTCAGCAATCAAAAAGGATAAACTCATGCAATTTGCAACAGCATGGATGGAGCTGGAAGGGGTCATGCTCAACGAAATAAGCCAGAAAGAAAAAGAAAAATACCAGATGGTCTCACTCATAGCAGGAATTTAGAAAACCTAAATAAGGGATCAGGAAAAAAGACTAATTATATCTTGGGACTTTATACCACATTATACCAGCATCCAACTCTTCAATAGTTCCTCTGCTTTCCTAGGATTACTTGAAGACTTGCTTGGCCTTAGTCTAACAGAGTCTAAGTTATTCTGGCCCTTTCTAACCCTTCTTTACAGAGAGCAGATATATATCTATATCTATATGTACACATATACATACACACTCACCATATATATATATGGTCACAAACAAAATAATATTTGTGACCACAAACCATTGTGGTCACAAATATTATTTTACATATATATACACACCATATATATATGGTGAAATGCATATATATATGGTGAGTGTATATATATGTAAAATAATATTTGTGACCACAATGGCAGTGGAAAATTGGGAAGGGATGGGAAGGGATTTAGCACTTCACAGTGCTCGTGATGATAGGTTGCTTGGGAAACTGAATTAAAAACTGAGTGAACTTATTTTCATTCTCACTCAAGAAACTATCATGGGAAGGTTTGTGGTATCTTTGGTAAAATAGCAATGTATTTTCAATAGAAATGGAAGCCATGAGGCCTTGTGTGTCAGGAGACATGCAAATGCTGCTTGGCAGAGGCTGGATTTTTCTTCCTCCTTCGGCAGCCTCTGGTAGTTGTCTGAGCTCAGAAAGCACATTTCCCTGAGAACAGTTGAGCCCAGGCTGACTCTTCTGCTTCTCAGCACAGGGACCCAGGAAGATGCCTTAGTCTCTCTGGCAGGTGATGGGTGTATTGATTAGGAATCAGCAATAGAAATATTGGGAAAAGACTGAGCATTGGTTGCTGGCCTCAACTTTTAATTCAAGCAAGTGGGTAATTTCTCATCTTTTAAAACAAAACAAAGGGTGGGGGTGGGAAGCAAAGGGTGGAGGGGCCCAGTGGACTGTGGTGGAGTACTATGGGTGCCTGGGCAGTGGGTGTGGGGTGCTGACATATATCCGAGGGTGTGGTCCTGTGCCTCTGAATCACATACAGTGTTGTCAACCAATGTTCCCTCAATTAAAAAGGAAAAATACAATGAAATAAAAAAAGAAAAATTAAAAAACAAACTATGATGCCAACAAGAAACTTAAAAATTACAAAATTCTGTCAACAAGTATAGCTTTCAGTGAACCTGAAACCTTTGGGTGTAACAAGGAAAACTTTTGAGAGAATTAGATGTTGGAAGCAAACTGAGCCAGCATCCAGCTCCCACATGTTATTCACACATACGTCTGGGCTGTACGCTCTCCTGGAGGGGTGAGAAGTAGAAAAGGACTTTTGATGATTTCATTTCATCTGCTTTCCGGAGATTGTTCAGCCATAAAACCAAGAAAAGCCGTAAGCAAGTGGTGGTGCGGGAAGTGTTTCTCTCTCCTCTCCAATGTCAGCGTCAAGTACAGGGTGCCTTCTCTCCACTTAGAGAGTTACTTCCAAAGCTTTCATCCCTGTATACAAACACTAGGAAATCTTGCCAGGGTTCGCTACAGTTTTCACAATCGAGAATCAACACGGTTTGGCACAAGCATCTATACTTAAGAATGTAACCTTTAGGCCTATTGTTGGATCTGAAGCGATGGTTTTCCATTTTTCAATGTTCGCATTGGAAATCACACTGATCAAAGGCCCGAGTCACACATGCGGAGTAGTTTCTCTGAAAATGTGCATGTTTCATAAACTGAACGGCCTCTCCAAACATTTCCTTTATTTACATTTTTTAAACATCCCATGCCTGCCAAACACACTCGAGATGCACCAACATTTAAAACACTTGCAGATCCTGTTGCTGCTAAAAGCTTCACAACCTAAAAGAAGGCAAACACATGAGTAAATTTTAGCTGTTATCATCATGTGAGGATGACAAGGAGAAAAAAAAATGGGAGGAGAAAATAATATCCTTGTGTCCTGAAGTTACTCCGGGACACCGAGGCTTTAACTGCCTTTGTCAACATTGCCACTGATTTTTTTCATGATGATTCACTGTGCGCATTTCACACTGCGGAGCCGCCCCCACTGTCCACCCTGATTTCCAGATGGTGGGGTGCAGAGGAGGCCAGCACACTCGCTGGCCCTTGTGAAGAAAAAGGAGATCCTGGTGTAGTTGGAGTTACCATTTTGCATTTCAAAGACATTTATTCAGTGTCCTTATATTTCTCATTCCTTCTCAGGTACCCTAGCTAAAATTTCACCTCTTTCCTCGCCCTGCTCCTCACCTCTCCAAGGGACGCCTGCCAGCAGCCCAGTTAGCAAAATCTCTGCAGTGCAGTTTCCAGAATCTGCTGACACCATGACCAAACCAGGCCTGAGTTCTCACAGGACCTTGACCTACACACAGAGCGCCCCGGACCTGTCTCCCCAGACGCTAACTCCACCCATGTCATGTAGCAGGTGAGGAATCTACATTATTATCTCGAGTTTGACTAATGGTAAAACCAACACTACATGTCCTCCTCAGATAGATACTTCCCCTCTAGTCTACACCACTCTTTGTGGGGTTCCCAGAGTCATTGACAAGAAAGAAGATAATGTGATGTGTACTGAACTGGCCAGCATAGGAACTCAATTTTTTAGTGATTTTCTGTCAATAAAAAATTTACATTTCATGTAATGCATGCAGCATATCTTCGGAGATGATATAAAATAATTGTATATTTTTGCTTGCATACTGAAGGAGAATGCATAAAGCATACAACTACAAAGCCATGGAAGTCATTTGATATAATTGGATGTTCTCTGGGTGTATTTTTTACTGGTTCTTTGGGGGAGATTTTATGTTGCTTTGAAAGGGATGTTAAGTTTGCAATTCCCATTACAACTTGTTTAAAATGTGCAAATATCACATGGCACATTAGAAGTGGGTCTCTAAATGTAATTAGCTGTTGCTTGCACTGTCTGGCCTGTTGTGACAGGACCACAAGTGTTGTCTGTGGCAGAATGGAAGGGAAAAGGGACCCACAGAGCAAAAGTTATTCTTTGCCAACATTGTCATAAAGAGATACCTCTTCTGGGCTGTTTTTTTTTTTTTTAAGATTTATTTATTTATACAAGAACTGGGGTACAGGCCAGATGCGCAGGAGGGTGAGAGGATTCACCAGAGACAGAGTGGGGAACAGAACAGGCAGACTGACGAAAGACACTGCTGAGGGGAGCAACGGGCGTGATAGGAGAGGTCTGCCTCGCCATGTGGGATTCTCGCCAGCTGGCCGGGATCGAACCTGTACTGCAGAGGCTGCGGACAGCCTCACAGTGCAGAGCTCCACTGCCTGCGCCACCAGGGAGGCCCTGGGCTGTTTTTTTAAATTTATTACTTTCTTACATCATTATAAATTTTTGTATAGTATTTGGTTTCTCCCCTCAAGTGTAGTCCCCATCACTCTCCCACCACCAATTCACCTGTGCACCATCACCATAGTCCCTTGTGCTCTTCCCACCCCTGTTTTGGCCTCTCCTTCTTCCCCCTTCCCTGCTGTGTGCCTCCTCTCTATGGTCAACTTGCTAGTTTTTTCTTTTTCTTGATCTTGTATTTGGTTTCTCTGTATTCCACATATAAGTGAAACCATTGGACCATATTTATCTTTTTCCATCTGATTTATTTCACATAGCATAATCCCTTCCAGCTCTATCCATGTGGCTGAAAATGGCATGAGTTTATCTTTTTTGATCACTGAGTAGTATTCCATTGTGTACATCTACCACATCTTCTTGATCCATTTGTCTGTTTGGGGGCATTTAGGTTGTTTCCATAGCATGGCTATTATAAATAGTGCTGCAATAAACATAGGAGTGAAGGTTTCCTTTCAAAGTAATGTTTTTGTGTCCTTTGGATTGATTCCTAGGAGTGGAATACCCCTTCTAAGTGATTATGTTTCTGGTTGTTCAGTAATAGCTTTATCTTGAATAATAGATCTTTAGGCATTACAACACTTTTATGAATAAAAGGGTTGAGTGTTTGTTTTTAAGCCAACTCTAATCACAAGAGTGCTTTCATAAAATGCTGTTTCTTTTCTCAGATTAATGAGGATAACTTTGAATAACCAGGTGATGTGGTGGTCTTCTTGTATCAAATGTTGGTTTTCACAAGCCCAGACTGGACCATATCCAATTTAAGCCCACCACCTTCATTTTTAAATAAAGTGCTCAGAAAATCTTTAAGTTAAATAAATCCTATTTATTTTTAATAATGTTTGTTTTTTTCCTCTTTTCTCTTTAAAAACATTTTTAAAGGGAAATTTATTTTTGTTTGTTAGTCCAGGACCTGAGTAAAAACTTATTCTACTACCCAAAAGTTATTCTGCTGCTTTCTCTGTGACAGCTTTTTTAATAAAAGAATTTCTGTGGGATAGTAATACCATCTTTTTTCCCACAAAAAAGAATGTTCTGTGGTAAAACAAACATATGTCTCTCTAAGAAGATCATAATACTTTATCAAAAGTGTTGAAGAGCCCTGTGGAAAAAAAAACAACTTGATTTTTGTGTCAGTAAGCATTTTCTGAATTTCTTGGACCACAGAACCAATTTCTTTAGGTTAACACTCAATAATTGTCCGTGAATCTACTGTTTGGTGAAACACCCTTAAGGAACATTTTTTGTGGTATGATCCTGAGCCAGAGTGAATCCCAGTGGAAAATTGACAAGCTCTGCTTCCAGCGTTTTCTAGGGAGACTTTCCTCCTGTGGGCTTCTGACTTTGGGAAACAAGTCACCTAAAGAAAGGAGAGAGTTTTTCAGAAAAGGTCTCCAGCTCACATAGCTATTCTCCTCAATCGTCTATTTTTTTTTTTTTTTTGAATTCTTAGCAGGAAGAATGTAATGAGATCTTTATAAAAGAGATTTTGGAGAAAAACAAGGGAATTTCACTGCCTACTTGTTCAGTAATGTTTATAAATCCAGTAGTGTGTGTTTTATTTGTTTGGGCTTTATAAATCTATAATTCAAACCATGTTTTATTATTGCCTTCAAGGCAGCCACCCATGTAGGCACAGAGAGCTCCAGAAACACACGACTAATTATTGTGGTTTCCCCTGCTGAACTCGAAGGGTTTGGCGTGGAATCCAGTCTCTTGGGTGCTGTAATGTCTATGCAACAAGCTATTTTTTGGCTTAAGAGGTAGTATGTTTGAATTAGTCATTTAAATTGCCTTTTTAAGCATTATCTTGCAATGAGAAATCTTAAAACTAATAAACTCTACTTGCACCAAGTGGAGTTTCATCTGGGAATGTAAGCCCATCAGTTGTCATTACTTTCTTGTTCCTTTGGTCCTCTCAATTTTTTTTTTGGTCCCCTAAATCAGACTGATGGGATTTCATAATTAGAAATACTTTTGTGTGTGAGGCTTTTCCATTTATATTCCAGGCTTGAAAAATAAGTGTTCTTAGGATGAAGAGGCTCTCTAACTGGAAAATGCTTATCTCTACTACACATGTAAGCACAATTTAGAATAAAAGAATGATGATACGTTTAATATATTAAGTCATAAACCACCTTTCATTTCTTTCCCTTTAGAGAGAGTAATCTGTGGTTAAATAACAAACAATAACTCCCTGAGACCCTTTGTAATATTAGGCAGAAGGAAAGAACCCAGAAGCAAAATGCAAAATTAAAATCTAACTACGAAGTCTTAAATAAGATAAATGAGAGGGGGAAACTTGCCAGGCCATGTGTGGGGTTGTTTTTTAATTTATTAAACAGTCAAGACTGTTGAGAAAGCCACAGTTACCCATATCCTCCAGCCTTCTCTGGTAATATCCTTGTCCACTGTGCAAGAACCTTTTTCTCTGTAGCTTTTAGATAGGCACAAAGGGTAGTCCATTGGCAAAGAAATTTTTTGACCAGATGCATGTCAGCACCTCCAGAATCACTACTGTAATTAGGCGACAGCATATCCCAGGACTCTGAATAATCTAACAACACGTGCCAGCTTCATCTCAGTCATGGTCTGGACTATGGAGAAGGATGACAGCAGAATAAATATTCCCATCCTTTGTATGGCTCATATTGTCAAAAACAGTCAAAATAATTATAAAAAAAAAAAAGAAACCAGTACAATCCCTATCAACAGCCATGTCTACACAAAATAAACCTTTTCCCTCCAACAAAGAAGCAGGGGGAGAAATATTTGGTCATAGAAATCTCCCTTAATGTACCTATAGCTGGCATGCACCTTTTGAAAAGAGGGACTGTACTTACAACTGTTGTGATGTTCCCAGCTGCGGCCGGCCATATCCCCAGGAGAATCCTGCCGACGGGCCCCTGGACGGAAGCAGCACAGCCATCCAGACAGCAGGCAGAACAGGTAATTCCTGGATGCTGTTCCTGCAAATGGAAATACTTTTATTTTGCTATTTTTATTTTACTGATTAAAAATAGTCACAAGTTCCTTTTTTTGTAAATACCAGATTTGAAAAAATGAAGAAGGAAATCAAGTCACCTGCAATCCTTCTATCCAGAATATGATTATGTATGGGTAGAATGTTGGTGCAAAGCTGCCCAAATTGTTTCTATATATCTATATGCAAACACATCTCTATTTGTAAATGAAAGGCCATTTTACATCCCTAATAGAATTATGGAGAAGTGGCCTTTTCTCTTGGACATTAGAAGACAATCCATTTTAGGTATTCTGAGGAGCGTGCCATTACAGATCCTGAGAAAGGAGTTTGTTTCAGTCTCCGTAAGCTTGTTTGTTCTTGAGGCAGTATTTTGGAGAGTTGAGAACACAGACATTGGAGGCTGGTTTGTAACTGGATTCCACTACTTCCTGATTCGTAATCTTTATCTCTGTCTCACTTCTGAATGGGATTTATGATCGTACCTACCAACCAGAATCATTGTAAAAATTTAATTACTTAGTCAAAGCAGTTCCTAGTGTATTTGGATCATTGTAAGTAGTTAGTGTTGGCTGCTGTTACTATGATAATTATTATTTTATTTTATTGATGCAGTCCTAGGAGTTTGCTTTGATTAGCACCAAAAGATCACAAGGTAAGATATATGATTTCATGAACTATAGACTTCAGGGTACTAGAGTTATCACAGATGATTCTTAATGATCTACTCCAGCATTTCTTGCTATGTACTCAATAAATGTTGATTGATTCTTTGCTTAGAAGAATCAGGTGCTGTGGCAATGCACAGAGAACAGGGCACACAGGCCAGGAAAAAGCAAGAGGAGTATTCTTTATGTGGCCTTTATTGATTGATGGTATTGTGAAGACTCAGAATGCCCTTTGATCTTCCCTGACTCTGTCAAGACTTATAGAATAAGGGGAGTATTTCCTTTATCACCTTTGTGGTCTCACATAAAGCTATGGCCTTTGATTGTATTTATTCCTTCTATCTACAAATTCTGGAATTAAAACTTGACAGTTACTTCTCATACAGTATATGATTCTAATATAGAAGCAGTTGCATGAGAAAGCAGAAAGGAAGGTAGGTCTTTCAGAAAGTCCTAGAAGATACTTCTGATTGGAATAGGCCACATGACTCAAAGCCATTATTCAATCATAACAATTAGTATGAAAACAGGTACCAAGAACTGTACCAAGAATGTAGAATGTCCAGAGTAATCTTGAAAAAGGTGAAGAAAATTACAGTAAATATATTACCTGAGTTCAAGACTTAAACTGTAGAATTAAAGATAGTGTGGATTTGAAATAGAGCAAATTGACTAGAGTAAAATGCCCTATGTCAGACCCAAACCTTCAGACATGATGAATTTCAATAAAGAGCCCAGAACAAGCCAATGAATCCAATGATTCTCCAAGGGTGGAGAATGCAGTTCACATTCGACATCATATCAGACATTATTCTGAGTTAAAACAATACAACTTCTGAAAGAAATCACAGGAAAACATCTTTGTAATTTAGGGAAAGACAAAGGTCTCCAATGCCATAGAAATCTATATTATATAAGAAAAAAAAAAAACTGGGCTTCATCAAAAGTAGAAGATAAGACAGGGTCAGACTTGCAAATACTGGTAGTGTAAGGGTTTTGGGAAGATTAAATGTGTTAGTAGAAATTTAGTGCTTTCGTGGTTGGGCAGACAGTGGGCACTCAGCTGACTTCATGCAGGCACCATATATAATAGCTTCAAGAAGCTTCTTGACGTCTTGCCCTCAGAGACCATTCTTCAAACACTTGGCATTATCTTGCTGGCCCTTTATTTCGCACACTTTAGAGAAATTGGAGACAGTGGAGGGAGTTAGATAAAGAAGGCAGTCATCATTCCTAGGAAAGATTGGACACATAGGATCTCCCATGCTCTTCAGCACATGCTGTTGCTTCTTGGTCTACAAGCCACTTTGTTCATGGATGTCATCTCAGTTTCTCCACCCATCTGTCCATTCTAGTGTCTTAGTCAGCTGTTTGCTGGTGAAGTCTGTTGAGGGTTACATAGAGGAAAATAAATATCTTAGGACAGACTATTGAGGAGTAATTGAATATCATATAAATCACAGATCATAGTTCTGTTTATTGGGTTAAAAATGTGTGCTCTCTCCCACCCTGTGATCCTCAAATCTTGTAGAATCCTCTAAGGACTTTACTGGATCTTACAAAATCCTGAACACTCTTTGCCATGTGAGTTTTAGGAATATTCTTTTAAAGGGGAACCTTCTTACCATTGTAAGTTGCATAATTAAACTGTGCTCTTTCAATTGCAGATGACGCCGCTCAAGTCACGTCTGATTATGAAACCAATAACAACAGTGACAGCAGCGATATCGTACAGAATGAAGATGAGACTGAGTGCCCACAAGAGCCTCTGAGGAAAGCCTCAGCTTGCAGCACTTACACGCCTGACGCCATGATATTCCTGGTAGCTCTATATCACTTAACTTGTGTTGTACTGAAACATTAGCTTCTATCACAGGGATCAGCTTAGAAATCAATCCTTGAAGCAGAAAGGGGATTTTTGTGGGAAAATGGGTTGAAATATGAGTGAGGTCTATAACTTAGTGAACGTGGTATATACTATTGTCAACTTCCTGACTTTGATTATTATATGCCGGCTGTGCCATATGTTAGACCTGGGAGAAACAAGGTGAGGCGCTTATGATCTATACGCTTGTGCAAGTGTTCTGTAAGATTCAAATTCATTCAAAATAAAAAGGTAAAAGCAAGAAGAGAAAAAAAAGGAACAGAGCCCTAAATCATTAGATTTATAGATGTGGTCCACTTGGATTATATATGTATCATTGCTTTTATTGATATCCATATAATTTTTCTTTATCCAGGTTTTATTGATCTCTTAGTGTTTCTAGTCATGATTAAAAACATAAGTATTTGTCACCACAAATGATTACAAACATTTCTTAACCCAATCTAAAAGTGTAAGCAAGCAAGCACAGGAAAAATTATTTTATTAAGAAACGCAATATTCATCAGTCAGTGAAAGTGAAATGTGTTAGTTAGCACAGCACTTCTTTTTTTTTTTTTAAGAACTTTATTTTTTTTTAAGATTTATTTATTCATGCATATAAGAACCGGGATACAGGCCAGATGCACAGGAGGGTAAGAGGATTCACCAGGGACAGAGCAGAGAATAGAACAGGCAGACTGACTGAAATATACTGCTGAGGGGAGCAGCGTGCGAGACAGGAGAGGTCTGCTACACCATGTGGGATTCTCGCTAGCCGGCGGGGATGGAACCCGCACTGCAGAGGCTGGGGCCAGCTTCATAGCGCTGTGCTCAACTGCCTACACCACCAGGGGAGGCCCAGCACAGCATTTCTGATTGTTTTTTCCAGCACTTCCTTGTCTGAGAAAGATAAGTCACTTTCTCAGTCAATAGATTTACTTTATTATGTTAAACCAGGTTTAAATTAACACTTGGCTATCCATTAAAAATATCTTTTAGGGCCTCCCCTGGTGGCGCAGTGGTTGAGCATTGGGCTGCGAAGCTGCCCACAGCCTCTGCAATAAAAAAGGAAAATAAAGAAGAGGATAAGGAAACATACATTAATCTATCTAATAACCCCTTTGACCTAAAAGTTACATGGTAAATTAGATTAAAAAAGGACGAATCTAGCAGCAACTGATAATCACATGACAGTGAACTATTTCCTACCAGTGGCCAGTTCAATCCCCGGCCACTGGCGAGGGTCCCACATGACGCGCAGACCTCTCCTGCCATGCCCGCTGCTCCCCTCAGCAGTGTATTTTGGTCCATCTGCCTGTTCTGTTCCCTGCTCTAGCTCTGGTGAATTCTCTCACCCTCCCACGCTTCTGACTGTACCCAGTGCTTGTATAAATAAATAAATAAATCTTTAAAAATATATATATATCTTTAATGATGATTTACTTTGTGTGTTTGAACAGATGCATTTAAAGAAAATGAAAACATATGTTGGTGTCAGGTTAGTTTCAGGGAAGCAGGGAGGTAGGAAATAGTTCACTGTCATGTGATTATCAGTTGCTGCTAGATTTGTCCTTTGTTAATCTAATTTACCATGTAACTTTTAGGTCAAAGGGGTTATTAGATAGATTAATGTATGTTTCCTTATCCTCTTCTTTTTTGTCCTTTTTTTATTGGTAAACATGTTCTTAAGAATGTCTTCATTTGAGATCAATTATGAAATATTTTTACATTTCAGTGCATGTTTCTTTGGAAACTGGCAATTATCATTTCACAGGTTTAGGGCTGATTTTGAAGCAGTCAAATAAATCCATCCAGTTAGAGGAGTGATTAACTCCCTACTCCCTTATTTCTTTTCAGAGTTCAGTGCGAAGTCAATAAAACCTCATCCTAAAATTTTACATAAACATACAAACACATAAATTTCTTATAATTTTAGAATATTCTGAAGTTTCTGAACTTTTATTTAAGGACTCCATGATAGACCAAAAAAAAAGCAGCTTTGTTAACTTATGGGAGGAACCCCACTTTTTTTTTCTTTTGTTATAGCACATGTGAAGCAGTGATAGGGAACCCTTCTCCTTACTTTGGGGTCAGTGTCTTGTTCATCTTGATTTTTTATCCTGAAGTTTTAAGTCTTTTATTTCTGGTTAAATTGGTTGTTAAACTGAACTCATGAAAGCATGCATTGCTTTGTGGAAAATTGCATGTTGATAAAATGTGTTCATCTTCATTAAAGGACAAACCAATTCTTGCTCCTGAACCTCTTGTCATGGACAACTTGGACTCAATTATGGAGCAGCTGAACACTTGGAATTTTCCAATTTTTGACTTGGTGGAAAAAATAGGAAGAAAATGTGGCCGTATTCTGAGTCAGGTAAGAAATGCATTCACACATATGATTTTAAATTTGGGGGAAAAAAACATTCCTTGGTTGATTCAAGCTCTGCGTATACTTGACCCTGGTAGTGGGTTTTGGGTAGAAAAAGGAAATTTCAGTACTCAATATTCTTTAGATTCCTTGGTAGTCAGTTAACAAAAGAAATTATAACTTCAAGTGAGTAGAATACCACATTCTGCAATCAAAATAGTCTGCATTTTGACAACGGGGAGTGAAGCAGGGATACACAAACAAGAAGGAGAGGTGGTCTAAATTTCATAGGTTCAGCAAAAGAAAGACTGACACAGGCTGTTGTTGAGGCTCAGGGGGAAACCCCCCCACCTCATCTGGGTTCTTCTAAGACCAGATGGACAAAGAAACTAACAACAGACAGAATGGTAGGAGAAAAGCCCAACATTTAATAATATACATGTCAAGAATTTACATGCTTATAAATTCTGAAGTACCATAGAGTAGAACAGGGAGATTTATTCCATGTTTAGGAACCTCAGGTGTCAAGAGAAGAGGGGAAGACTTCACATAACTGATAAGGAGGTGGCTTCATCTTCATTCTAAAAGTGAAGATGAGATTCTTGGAGATATGTGCTCAATGATAAACTTACACCTGGATGTACATGATACCCCCTAAACTTTATTCTTCTAGGTCTTAGAAGAGAGAGGAATGATGGCATCTTCCATTAGGAGAAGGGCAAAACCTTGAGGAGTGATGATCTCTTCTCTATTTAGGGAAAGGTGAAGGGCTGAGGCCAGGACAGAGCTTGTCCTCAGCCCCCAGTACTCTCACTGCTCTTAACTCAATATCATCTGCATTCATCACAGACCACTGCAGGCTCCCAGGGCCTCAGTTGACCTCTAGACCCAATGCCAAGGTGACAGGAGTTTTCCTTTGGGCAAACTGAAAAAAGCCTCGCTGACCCTTTTGGAGAGACCAACCCACACCATTAAAAAGCTAAAGCTGCCTGTTCATGTACACTAATGTATTATCTCTAAAATAAATTTTGAATAGACAGTGCTTAGGCCTTATCCAAATTATAATATAAATATGTTTTCCTCCAGAGCTGTGACAAACACATCCAATAGAGTTGTCTATATTTTAATATGGAACATACCTCTGTGGATCACAAGCAACACAGAATGTGAGTTGTTGCTACGTAACAACTCTTTTAGTCCCTCTAAAAGAGGGACTAAAAGTAAAGTAACTAGCTTACTTAAGAAGTAAGTAACTAGCTTACTTACTTAAAGTAAGTACTTTACTTACTTTAAGTACTTTAAGTACTTTAAGTACTTTACTTACTTAAAGTAAGTAACTAGCTTACTTAAGACTTTCCAAATACAACAATTTGTTTGTTTCCCTGAGGGAGTATAAAAATGTACAGAAATTTAGAATTTGAACATGTTAGTTCTCAAAAGACAAAATAATTGAACACCTGTTGTGATTCATCAATAAAAGCCTTGATGTGATATTTCTCAAAATTAAAAATGTCCTAGGTGAGTTCTTATGCGTTGAATAACTAACACAGAGAGATACCAAAGATGACCAGACCCGTGAACTTAAGACTTAGATGGTGAGAGTTTGGGACCCGGATTTCCAGGGGCCGCTAACACTTCCGGACAACATACTAGAAGAGAGATCACTTGTTAGGCTGATTTCTGCTTTGGCTTCCTTTGGGTCTCTCAATAGGTTTCAGAGTACGAAGTCTCAGTTTAAGGATTCCTGATCTGGAAGGTCTGAGGGGAGAAGACAGAGGGGCCTTTTCTCTATTGTTCAATTCATAAAAGCCAAGTACTAATCTAATCTTGTAGAGGAAAAATAGGCCTCTCCCTTCAGGGATCCCCCAATACAGTTGGGAGATGGATGGGTGTCAGAATAACAGCATCAAAAGCATCAGTTTACATACAAAGAAGTGTGGTGAGATGACTGGTGAGGGTGAAGACCAAATAGTTACCAGTCTATGTCAGAGGGAGCGCTGCCTCAGTGGACCATTCTGCACAGGGTCAGGCCAAGGACTAATGTTGCCACTGCTCTCCCTCGTGCACTGAGCCATGTCTCTTTCCAGCTATGTCTCACTCTGGCCCCTCTGTGTCTTCACTTTGGTGAGGGTGAAGGGCAGCTCTTTCTAATCCAGTCTACCTCAGCCTCAGACCCCAGGGGTCCACCCAGAGCTGCTGTTTCCCACCTCCTGCAAACCCACCTGCTCTCTGAGAGAGTGATTTTTTCCTGGAAATACACTTACAAGGGTGTGATGACTTAAATAAAAAGTCTCCATGGTTAGAATTTAGTAGATAATGGGAAGTAAAGATTAAGACTCTGGAAGCAGTCCTACAGATTTTACTCTGGAGGAATCATCCCACAGACATGTTAGTTCCATTTCTATGCCTCGTTATGGAATAGTCTACATCACAGGCAAAGAAAAACTGGGAGGCATCCGCCAGGTCACAGACGGATGATTCTTGACAGCTGGATTCAGCTTTTGGTCTCTAAGTTCAGGTCTTTTGATGTCCTAAAGAAATGCTGATGCTGTTTGCACACAAAGGAGGGCAAATACTAGTGTTCAGTCATTTGCCTGACTTCTGAAGATGCGCTTTGGAGACACCAAGGCTGGTACCCCTTCTTCTGCTCTTCTTTCAGGGGCTCTTTGGTCCTTAGTGAGGCTGGGAGCTTGATTTATCCACAGGCACCAGGTTCCTGAACAGCTGTTCTCTACTCTTCTGTTCTGACTTTAAGTCTGTGCAGATGGCTTTGCTGTCTGGCCTGCTCCATCAGGGAAGGGATCTCAGAATGTCCACAAGCACCCCAACAAAATGTGGTGGTAGGCCAGGAATTTTCCTTTCTTTCACTATATTGGAGAGTACATGCAGAGAAAAATTTGTGTGTTTGATAGATATGTCACAGACACTCCCCGGACTTTTCAATGTACTCGTCTCAGTAAATTTGGTGCTGGTATTTTTTGTTTAAATCTCTATTTTACAGAAGAAGAAAGGCTTCAGAAAAGATACACTATTCATCTAAAGTCACCTAGTAGTCTATCCAAATTTAATAATAGTTATATTCATAGTAATTGTTCTGTCAATACATTGTTGGTGTTTAGAGATCAGAAGTTTGAGTAGAATGTGTTCAGCTGCTTAACACATAGTTCTGACATTTAGAAGTATGCATGTAGAACTTAAGAAAATATTCAAGATTAAATACTTATTTTAATATTTGGTTTGAAAAAGCATGTTGTGGGCCTCCCCTGGTGGCACAGCGGTTGAGCGCTGGACTGTGAAGCTGCCCGCAGCCTCTGCAGCACAGGTTCGATCCCCAGCCACCAGCGAGGGTCCCACATGGCACGCAGACCTCTCCTGGCGCGCCTGCTGCTCCCCTCAGCAGTGTATTTCATTGATCTGCCTGTTCTGTTCCCTCTCTAGCTCTGGTGAATTCTCTCAGCCTCCCGTGCTTCTGACTGTACCTAGTGATTGTATAAATAAATAAATAAATAAATAAATAAATAAATAAATCTTAAAAAAAAGAAAAAAAGAAAAAGCATGTTGTAATCTGTTTTCCCCATAAAAAACAGTCTTATAATAAATGTTGTACCCAGGATTTGAAGACAGATTTATCCATATCGGAGTCCCTGGTGTTTTACACACAGTTAGATTCAATTTGTCAGCATTTGAGTCACCACTCACTGTCTTCAGTTCTCCACATGGAGAGTCTGACCCAGGACAGTGGTTATTGTAGCAAACAGGCAAAAGGTATCTGCTTGCCCTTGACTGCTGTGATCAAGGTCGGGGGAACCTGAGCATCCTTGCTGCAGAATGTTTTCTAAGGGCCATGACTGTCAATAGGTCTTAGAAATATTAGAGATAATTAACAATTGGATTTCTACAAAATTCATGAAGTATCTGTTTTTCCAATCATCTTTTAAAAATACATTACTATCTGATCCTTATTATGTCACTGTTTACTTTTCCAATTTACAAAACATTGAACTTTGGGGAAAGCTTTGGGGAAATAAAGCTTTATTTGCCTTTCTAAGCAGAACCTTATGGGTTTTTTTCCCTTTGATTTGAGTTTCTAAGCACAAAATTCATGAAATTTTCACTGTGTGAAATGCATTTTTTTTTTCTGCTTTAGTAAGACTCTAGGACAGCTGAAATGAATTAACTTCAGCATTCCAAGAAATCACCTTTTGGCTGAGACTACACAGAAAAAGTCTCACTTCAAAAGATTTTCAGACAAACATGTGCAATGGAAATGACTTCTCAGTCTCAATATACTGCCTGCCTTTTTTGATGATTATCATGTTTATTTTGATAAATGTAAAAGGACGTCCTTAGATTTTGGAATAATGTTTCCTGTTTTCAGTTACCAATATTTACCTGATTAATGGTGTCTTTTCTTTATTCATGAGTTTGGAATACTGGTGGTTGATTTTTTAAGTTTCTTCATGAAAAATGTTCCTATTTCATAATAATACTCTTAAAATATCCTGTTGTCTTCATTTGTCAATTTATCTTTGACAAGTTTTAAAAGAATAACAGGACACTAGTTACTTGCAATCCTAACAATATTATCCTTCGAATAATATAGGGCTTAAAGCAGTTGAGTACAAAATCTGAAGCCAAAATGCTTGGCTTGAATTCTCGTTCTGATAATGTATCACCTGTGTGATCTTGAACAAGATACTCAATATCTCTGTGTTCCAGTTTCCTTTGCTTTCAAGTAATTAATATTACCTATCTCGTAGGTGCTGAGGATTAATAATAAAGAAATAATTTATGCAAACTACTGAAGTAAGCATCTCACTCATTAAATGCCAGATCTATCTATATATCGGCTGCTGCTATTATTATCATACACATAATTTATAAACAAGAACTTAAACGTAGCTTAAAGTAATAGTAGAAAAAAGATCCCTAGGAAAAGAACTAATTAAATATAAAAGAACTGATTTAATATAATTTTACTTATATTAAAATATAATATAGAACCACAAACTTCACTTTTCATTGTATTTATAAAGAGAGGAGGTGGAGCGACTTAAATATCCCTGCAATTCAGAGTGAAGACACATACGTGGAAGTTGACACATGTATTCTCCACCCTGTCCCCAACCAGCAGCTACAGGGCTGCTTTAAAACATAAGTCAAGTGGTCACTGCCCTGCTATAACTTCCTTATTGCCTCCACTTCCTGATTAAGCATAAAAGAACTGTTAATGGTCAATTCCTGCTGTCAAAACCCAAGATCACACCCTCTCTCACCCCCCTCTGCAGTTACTTAAATTCTCTTCCTATTCTCACTGACTTTGCTTTAGGCACACTGGCCTTCTTGCCATGTGTTGAGAAGAGCAAACATACCTCTGGACCTTTGCACTGACTTTTGCCTCCATTTAGAAAACTCTTTTCCCCAGATATCCATGTGTGTCACTCCACATTATCTTCTGTTCTTTGTTCAAAAGGTCTCCAGAACATGCCTCCTGTAACCAACACATTTTTAACAACATTTTTTCTTTTATACAAGAACTGGGGTACAGTCAGAGGCACGGGAGGGTGAGAGAATTCACCAGAGACAAAGCAGGGAACAGAACAGGCAGACCACAGAAATACACTGCTGAGGGGAGCAGCAGGCGAGGCAGGAGAGGTCTGCTGCACCATGTGGGATTCTTGCCTGCTGACAGGGTTTGAATACCCCCTACAGAGGCTGTGGACAACTTCACAGTGCGTCAACACAGTGCGCAGTGCTCAACTCACTGCGTCACTGGGGAGGCCCACCAACATATTTTAAATGGCAGTCGTATAAATAAGATTTGGAGAGAGAAAGCCTGCATCTCATATTTTTATTGCAATAGGTTGTTATAATTGTTCTATTTTACTATTTTTAAATTTTTTTACTGTGTCTAATTTGAGTGTTAAACTTTATCATAGTATATATAGGGTTCAGTAATATCCACAGTTTCAAGTATGCACTGGCAGACCTGAACACATCCACTATAGATAAGGGGGAGAGGGGGAAACCACTGTGCATATTATGTATGTACATATATACATAGTGCCTGTGATAAAATATAATGAAATTTAGTGAATTGATATCAACTTCAAGTCAGTGGCAATAGAAATTTAACTCCTTTTCCTCTCCCTCATAATTCTTTTCCTTTATCCTTCACTAAAGTACAACTCTGCATCCTTTATCCTCTAGAAATTTTTTCAATACCATCAGTCCAAATTAGAGCTTTCTGTTATTACTTATTTAGTACCTAAGGTATATAGTACACAGTAGTTTAGGAAGAATTATTCTGTAGTCATCGAAAGCACACACAATTTAGTGCCTTGCTACATTTCTAGAGTATGTACTGTTTTACTGGCTGGTCATTTCTTCTGTACCTCTCTACCCTTGTGGCCAGAAACCACTGGGCCTGGGGACATTCTGGTCTTCCATATCAACCTGTTTATTGCCAAGACCGATAAGTATCTCTGCTGGTAGTAAATTAATGTGATTGAAGGAATGTATACTTTCCACCCGTTTTTCTTCTCATGTTGCGTACACGCCAAGGGATGTTTGCTGAGGGTTTTTGTCTTTTTCTTTTACAGGTCTCATACAGGCTTTTTGAAGACATGGGTCTCTTTGAAGCATTTAAAATTCCAGTTAGAGAATTCATGAATTATTTTCATGCTTTGGAGATTGGATACAGGGAAATTCCTTGTAAGTATAACTTAGTGGTGATATAATATTTTCAAATGCTATTGAATTTGCTCAGGAAGTGCAGTGTTAGATCATGGCTACACACACAGCTTTACACATTAAGAGCACTGTACAGCCTGGGTCAGCATCCAGAGCCCTTTACTTAGTGCTGCATGAGGCTCTGGGTTTTACTTCAGCTCTGTACTTTTCATTTTTTAATCCCTATGATGAGGATCATAATCTCTGCTTCAGAGGAACATTGTGAGGATAAAATGAGGCAATAATTCTGAAGGATTAATTGTAAAGAGGTTATAATAGTGTCTTGCACATAGTAAGTCCTTGCACACAAAAGTCTGCCGAGTAATTAAATGGTCAAGTGATTGTTCCTTTTATAATATGCTTCTTTTATTTGGTGAATTCAACCTTTGTTCCAGCATCTGCAATGTTAACTGTTGAAGTTTTCTCAGTATAAGATGAACTTGGCTAGAAGTAGAGGCACAGGAAGATGATGGTCTAATTAATAATACTGAAAAAAGAGACATGTGGAAATGGTTATGAAAACATGATTAAAAGCATTTTTAAAATTAGATAAATGTGAAGACCAAAGGGGAAATGATACTATCAAATGTTCAAGCTTACCTATTTTGAATACTTTGAGAATAAATTTGTCATTTATAATGAAGAGAAATTGGAACAGAGAAGAGATGTTAATATGTTAAAATGTAACATTTCAGGTATCATTGGAACTTTCAGCAGAATTGTTGTAAAAACTAGAAAATGTTGGAACTGGAGAAAATATGGCCAGGGAAGTATGAAAATGTGTAGAAAAGTAGGCAGTCCTATTAGGAAATAAATGCATAGAAAGGAAAACAGTCAAATAATACATATGTTGGAGAATGTCTTCAGAATGGATTATTAAATCACATCATAACTTGTAAATTTTAAATTTGCGTTTATGTGCTTTAGACTTTAGAACCCCATGTCTATCCATGGTTGCAAAAGCTGAAGTTTAATAAAAAATTTATCTAGGTGATTTACCCAATGTGATAAAAATTATATGGAGGCAGATAAAGCAAAGGTGTTTCCAGAAGGGGTCATTACTTCAGCCTGGTGAACCACTGTTAACATACTGTTTTCCAAAGGCCAACCACAGTGAAAACGCACCACTGATGGTGTGTGATAGGAAAGGAGAATGAAGAATTCAGTCTACAAATGGGATTTGACTGGGAACATAGGACCACAGGGCACGAAAGCAGGACAGTCCTGGTGGAGGAGAGGTGAGCTCAATAGCTTTGAGCCCCAGCGGAAAGTCTAGTCCCTGGACATTGGAAGAGAGAGGAATGAAAAGGGAACAGATTGAAAAATACCAGATGGTCTCACTCATAGCAGGAATTTAGAAAACCTAAATAAGGGACCAGGAAAAAGACTAATTATAATAAAGTAAAAATCAAAATCAACAAGCAACTATTAACCAGAGACACACTACAAGGAGGGAGGAGGGAGGAGGATCAAATCAAGGGGGGTGGGGAATTCTGTGGGGACTATAACCAGGATGAAATGCATACATTGTGTAAAAATGATGTAAAAAATATATAAAATTAAAAAAAAAAATAATAAAAAAACAAAAACAACAACAAAAACAACAGAAAAGGGAACAGATTGAAAGGCCTTGAGATCAGCCTTGCAAGATTTCTTCATGCCATTTCCCCAGCGTCCACTGACTGATTTAACTGTGAGTGATTTCTCAAAGGTTAAGGAGTTACAGAAATAAACTCTTAGAGAAAGGAAGCCACTGAAAACACTAAAAGAACAGCTAGTCACCGGAATGAATTTACAAATTAATGGACTATTTCCAAATGCATGTTAGTGATATAATCAGCTAAAGCCAAGTTCCACTGAGTTCAACTTGATATAACCAGTAACTTTTCCTTGGTAGTGGGTCATTAAATCATAGGGAAAGCTGACCACCATGTGAATGTACAAAGTTTCCAGATGCTAAGTTGTACTATTTATTTTTACTTTTTCTTAGTACATTTTTATAGTGATAGGTATTTTTCCAAAAAGAGTGTATTCTTTGTTCCATGTGAAAAGAATTTGTTATTGTTGGGGGTCAGGGTACAGGGGAGGACTCCCCCACTCTCTGGGTTCTTCTCAGGCTGGGATGCCAACAAATTAACATCAGACAGATTAGTAGGAGAAAATAATAACATAGCTGTAAATTATAAAGTAAATGGAACAAACTGGAGTTCATATTCTGTGCTAAGGAGTGGGATAGGGGACTGGGGTGTTGAGGAGAGAGGAGGGAGATTCACATGACAAGGAGGGATGACTTCATATGACAGAACCTTGCCTCTAGATGTTTAACCTGCCTTAAAATAGGTTTCTTTAAAAAAAGGTTATTTTTGGAGATGTCCCTAAAGCTAGGCAATCTGCATTCTTTGGGTTTAAGGTAATAGTTTTTCTTTTTCTTTTTTTTAAAGATTTATTTATTTATGCATACAAGAGCTGGGTGTAGGCCAGAGATGTGGGGGATGAGAGGATTCACCAGAGACAGAGCGAGTAACAGAACAGGCAGATAGGCTGAAATACACTGCTGAGGGGAGCAGTGGGCAAGACAGGAAAGGTCTGCTGCACCGTGTGGGTTAACTCCCTCGTGGGGATCGAACTCATGCTACAGTAGCTACAGATAGCTTCATAGTGCTGAGACTTAACCCCTTGCACCACCAGGGAGGCCATAAGGTAATAGTTTTGCTGAGGACCACAGGACCCCGTTGGCCTTAGTTCCATACACCAATTTGACATATATTGGAAAAAACCCATCTGAACATCTTTGGGGAGCAAGTCCCAGATGCTTTTCATAAAGGGAATTTATTTATATCTTCTTTTTTTTCAAATATTTTTCTTTTTCTTTTTCTTTTTCTTTTTAAAGATATATTTATTTATTTATACAAGCACTGGGTACAGTCAGAAGCGCGGGAGGGTGAGAGAATTCACCAGAACCAGAGCAGGGAGCAGAGCAGGCAGAAGGTCTGAAGTACACTGCTGAGGGGAGCAGCGGGCGGCAGGAGAGGTCTGCGGGCCATGTGGGACCCTCCTCCGGTGGCCGGGGAGCAGCCAGGGATCGAACCAGCGCAGCAGAGGCTGCGAGCAGCTTCGCAACCAAGCACTCAAGTGCTGCTCCACCAGGGCGGCCCTATTTATATCTTCTTATAGGAAAGTTTCAACCGATGATCATGTTTAACTAATAAAACCTTGCAGATGGTAGGGTTGTAAATTTTAACTAATATGGATATTTATTAAAAGCTTTATCATTAATTATAATTAGTATATACAAAAGTGTGATGTATGTCTACTTTAACTTTATTTTTAATGGCTCTATCTCAATAAGCCCATAACTAAAAGATAGAATAACCCAATATGGGTTAGAGTAACATTAATATTGCAATGAACTAAAATATTAGAAACTGAGTTGTATTATATTTCTAAGTACACATTTAACAATTTCCAAGAGATGAGGGGAAGAATGAAAGTTTTAAAATTTGTAACTAGAACCCTTACTAAACATTGAGGATTCTAGATTTAAAAATAGACATAGATGACAAATAGATCAATTAGAAGATATTTCATTGACTAGCAGAGCAGTGGGCAAGATAATAAATTTACACAACTCGTTGATAGATGTATGATACCAAAATCTATTTCTTCAAAAAGATTAGAAAAATTCAGGTGTAGGTTATACTCCATAGCAGAGAGAGATCTAACCTTTAGTGTCCTCCATGGTCCCTTTTAGTTAGGCATTTGACTAGTAAAGAAGGGAACTCACCAAGGCATAGCCACATATGGATGCAAAGCTATTTTTCAGGAAGGCACTTCCTCTAGTTTCAAAGACTTTCATCTCTAAAATATATTCTTCCTAGCACCTCTCATTTTTATTCTTCAAGTTTGAGAATGGTGGGAAGGATACTTCAAAACTACCAGTGATGGTGTCCTATTTCTTACAGCGATCAGAACAGTCTTCTTCAAGCTTTGATCACTGCACGCTGAGCCCACCACTATAAAGCTAGATACCAAGGTGACCAGGCAAGCTGGAAGGACAGGCCTGATGCAAATATTAGCTCTATTCTAAAGGAGAATATGTTTTAAGTGTTTCGTGTATTCCTTAATACTCCCCTGTCCCTTGGTGAGTAGGGGCATAGACTGAATTTTAAGTGGAAAATCAATAAGCTTAGGTCTAAACATATTTTGATTTTACATGCAACTCCAACCTTCGTAACACGCCTCTCCTCTCCTCACAACACTCGCTACCTCTGTGCTTGGGGGCTCAGGAGAAAGTCTCTTAAAACAGCAGAGGGAGGGGCCTCCCTGGGGGCACAAGGGGGTAATAAGCCACACTATGAAGCTATCCGAAGCTACTGCAGCACGAGTTGGATCCCCGGCCACGGAGGTGACCCACTTGGTGCAGCAGTCCTCTCCTGTCTTGCCTGCTGCCCCCTCAACAGTGTATTTCAGTAGATTCTCCTGTTCTGTTCCCCTCTCTGTCTCTGGTGAATCCTCTCACCCCCTGCATCTCTGGCCTACACCCCAGCTCCTGTATGCATAAATAAATAAATCTTTAAAAAATTAAAAAAAAAGCTCCTGTATGCATAAATAAATAAATCTTTAAAAAAATTAAAAAAAAAAAAGCAGCAGCAGGAAATAGGCAAGAGGCTGGGTCAGCTGCCCGTAGGCTGTCGGAGAGCAAGAGGGAGCTGCAGGAGTGAGTAAATTACCGAGGGAGTTTGGGGTTTGTCCAAAATACAGAGATGAAGAGAGGGATGATCACGGGGATCAAGTAAGGATGACTCTGGGGTCTTTCCTTATCTCTCTCAGTGCCTGCGGTGGCCAGAGGAGAGGACCCACTGAGCATATCCGACCCCTCGGGTGACCTAGCGAGCTTCTTTCGGGAGCCTTTGCTCCTGACTTGATCCTCAGAGAGTTAATGGCGAGCGTAGCAGCAGTGCCAGGCTTTGGCACGTTACTCCCTTGCACTTAGTACACGCAGTAAATATTGAAAGAACATGTTCAACTGCTTACAGGTGATTTTCCATCCTGCCTGAGCCATTGTGACGTGTTAGTCTCCTCTACCCAACACAATTAGGCATATTTATTTTTAGAGGATTTGGTTTGGTTAGTGATTATTTCATTCAGTGCTTTTGAACAGACACTGAAAAGCCTACGGCTTTGTTTCCCATAGAACTGTCTTTAGTCTTTTTTTTTTTAAACATTTCCTAATTTTTTTTTAAAGATTAATTAATTTATTTATACAAGCACTGGGTACAGTCAGAAGCGTGGGAGGGTGAGAGAATTCACCAGAGCCAGAGCGGGGAGCAGAGCAGGCAGAAGGACCAAAGTACACTGCTGAGGGGAGCAGCGGGCGGCAGGAGAGGTCTGCGCGCCATGTGGGACCCTCCTCCGGTGGCCGGGGAGCAGCCGGGGATCGATCCGGCGCTGCAGAGACTGCAGTCAGCTTTGCAACCCAGCGCTCAACCGCTGCGCCACCAGGGAGGCCCTCTTTAGTCTTTTTATCCATCAATCCATCCATGAGTTTAGCAGCTTTCCTTTTTTTATATTTTCAGCCATAAATTATTTAGATGAGATTGTCCACTGAAAGTTTATTAAAATTGCCTTAAAAACCTTCTGGCACTGGGCCTTATTGGGGGTGAATAGAATAGAATAGAATAGGAAGCAGGGAGCTACAACTGGCCTCTGCTAGGTATCATCTTTCTCTGCCAGCATTGTGTAGGGCCCCCACTCACCCTTGTCATGCTGTGGTACCTACACAGGTTTCTCTGTGTGCAGTAATTATTTGCATATAGTGGTCTTCTCAAGTTGCAGCAAAATGAAAAAAGAAAAGAAGTTAATACAGGAGAGCTCTCCACCACCCCTGCCTACCACCCCCAATCCCCACACCCTCACTCCCAACCCCCTCTATACCCAGTGGTACCTCTGCCCAGGCTGCCATTTCCTTCCTCTCCCAGGTCATCCCTGCCTTCTGCCTCCCACAGGCTTGAAAATAGCTTTTATTTCAGCTCTTTAATTACATTCTTACTAACTAGCATTGATTTCAGGGGACAAAACCAGGGATCTGTGCTACTTTACCTTCTTCTATAGTAATAATGTATTTTATGTGAGTAATAGTTTCATTAATTGTAAGCTTGGGTATTAGGCTCTTGAAGTGTTTCCTTTCATCATTCTCACAATTGTACTATGAAATAGGCACTGTTATCTCTATGTTTTTCAGTTAAGGAAACGAGAGTGTTTCAACTCATTCAGGTAGCACAGGTAATAAATATTAGAGCAGAGATAAAATCAGATCAATCCCAAATCCAGAAAATTCTAGCTCAATCAACATCACATATCGCCCAGTTACAGACACAAAATGCAGTTGTCTTAGATGACTCGAGGTAGTCTGTGCACAAAGATGGCATCTCCAATCTTTATGGCATTGTCCTTTGGGGCACTCAAGGGTGGCAGTGGTCATCTCTAGCAGTGACACAGGTTTGCTGCTTTGGGGGCCTAGCAGTTCTGTTTCTCAGAGTTTTTCTGAAAACATTCTCTCACCCAGCTCCTCTTCTGAATTCTCAGAGTGTTTAAAGATTTAGCTACATGTCATCACTTAAATACTGCAGCCTAAGAGTTCCCAGAAATGTAAGAAAATCGGAAGGAAACTGTGTCATTAGAAATGAAGTGTGTAAAGTTAGCAGAGTTGGCATAAAGCTACCATAAGTCAGCAAAGTATTAGAAGGGGCCAGATAAACAAGAGAAAAACTTCAAAGAGCTGTATCAGAAAAAGGTCAACCAAGAGCACACTGGGCCTTTTTGATCCTGGTTTGATAGAAACGTAACTCCACAGAGTAGGACCCCCCTCCCCATGGTCATGGCATGACAACGAAGGGATTTGGTTTCGCATATTATTTTTCCACTTCTTACTTAAGGGCTCAACTCCATTCATTATTATAGGGGAGGTTTTTGTTTTTCTCTTTAGTTATTTCCTAGATCTGTGTTCCCATAAGAAAATTGCTACATCAGAGAACATTGTGGATTCTGGTTTTACAGTTTGTTTTACAGATATAATCTCATGTAATTTGCACATGTATGTATTTATGTGATGTGTATTTTTACAGTGTTTTATGTTTGATGCCAAAGAGTAGTATTGTATTGTGTTCACTTGTTACTCTTGGTATCATTTATCAGAGATGAACTATCAGGAGTTACATAGTTGAAGTATGTCTTGGGTCTTTTATTCTAGTTCTCTGCATAGTCTTACACATGAGCATGGAAAGGGCACAAGAATGAACATTACATTAGTTTCATGTAGCGAGTTTTCTAGGTATGTTAGGTTTCTGGTAGAGTCTGCATACTGATTTTTCCACTGCAGCTATCTGCATGCATCACAAATGTTGTGTTATATTTTTTCTTGTTACTATGGATATTATGACTACGTAATAGAAGCGTAATAAAAGAGTATTTGTCCTAGAATGTTTGGCTGACTTTCACTGAAGTATTAAGTTAGGACTGTTTATCCAGTAGATGGCACTGTTAGTCCTTGGACCCCAAAGTTCACAAATGAATGCCTGTTCTTTGCATTGGTCACAGATCATAACAGAATCCATGCCACTGATGTCTTACATGCTGTTTGGTATCTAACGACGCAACCTATACCAGGCCTGTCGACTGTGATTAATGACCATGGATCAGCAAGTGATTCAGGTAGATATTAAAGACATCTGTGCTCCCTTGTGGGCAGTGGGAGAAGAAGAGTGTTTGTTGTTGTTGTTGTTGTTTTTAAAAAAAGAGATCAAGACAAATGATGTTGACATGGTTTAGTGGCTTTCAAATTCTATCCCTTTCATTTTTTTCTTCTCAGATTCGGACAGTGGATTTACACATGGACATATGGGATATGTGTTCTCAAAAATGTACAGTGTGCCAGATGATAAATATGGATGTCTGTCTGGGAATATCCCTGCCTTAGAGTTGATGGCATTGTATGTGGCTGCGGCCATGCATGACTATGATCATCCAGGAAGGACTAATGCTTTTCTGGTTGCAACTAGTGCTCCTCAGGTAAATTTTTCCATTTTGATTAGAAGAAATAATTCAATTTAGAAATTTCTTGGAAGAAAATCAGTTTTGTAAATGTGACTTATAACAGGCACTAAGCAAATAAGAGCCAAACTACATTCAGCCCTAGGATACAATTTTTAGAAACCATGCTAATTTTGAAAATATATCAGCATTTGTTCCAAGATATTAGTGGCAGGTATGCAGCTTTATTACCCATGGGAATATATTCTCAATTTTCTTCTTAGGGAAAAAGAGTACTTGAATTAATGAACCTCTTCAACCAAAAAAAATGCCAAGCTACACAAAAGTCCTTTTCTGAAAAGCTTACAGAACCAAGTCTTTCTTGGATTTTTAAGAGTTTTAGATTTCTTTATATAGAAATTCCATTCCTTGGAAGTTTATTCATTGTAACAATTATAAGTCTTATCTATGTCATTTCTATTGGTTGGCAGGGATTAAAATAAAATTTTCATTTGTTTGAGGGAATTTCTTCACCTAAACATAGTATTCTAAAAAAAAGAATAACTTTAGAGAAATTCAGAACTTAGTCTATATTAAAGATCATTGATATCTTGGCTTCTCATCTATACTATTAGATTCAGTAAGCTTCTCTTTGATCCAATCAACTGGATCCACGTCACTCAATATCCCTAGATTCTGTCGGGGTTTTTTTGAGAAGACCTAGAGGCCAATCTGGCCCCACACTTTTGTCTTGTTTGCTTTTTGTCTTTTATCCCACTTGCATCCATTTCCCTAATATCTCTACTAGACAAGGCTCATGTCCTTCATATACCAGAATTCTTTTCCCTAATGATATGCAAATCCTTTTATCATTTACTATTCAGTGTTTCCTACACAAAAATGCATTTTTCTTATCTCAATATTGAGTCTTTTTTCCTTTTGTCTTTACACCTATATTTTCTCCATCGTCTACTTACCATACTTATCCTTAAAGCATTTTTTAGGAACTTCTTTTGCTTTTGTAGCTTCCCTCAGCATGTCCAAAAAGGTATTTATTTACTATTTACTTTCAATTACTATATAAAGAGTGTTATTTTCTATGGCTGATGGATGAGAACGATTTTGAATTATGGGCTTCTCATCCTGTTCCTCCTTATTGGTTGTATGTGAACTGAGAGGAGATAATTCTTATTCCAGTTGTAGAAAGTAACTGAGTTACTGCTTAGAGATAATAGTATATTGCATTTTTTTTTTTTAAAGATTTATTTATTTATTTATTTATACAAGCACTGGGTACAGTCAGAAGCGCGGGAAGGTGAGAGAATATATTGCATATTTTTAATGGCCAAACGTGTGCCCTGCAAAGAAATCTGATAATAGCCAACTTGGAGTCTTCACTCAAAAGAGTTCCAGATCAAGTTTCAAGAAAATCAGTTTTATCTTACACAAAAAGAAACTTCACCCACAAAAAGTAATCAACAGTCAATACACAGCAACAGTGATTCTTCTTATCTGTCACCAGATTACATTTCTGGTTCACAAAGAAAGATTTTTAAAGCATTGTATATTTTAATGGCTTTATTTTATCTTAAAAAGTTGAACTTTTCACTCTTATTTGCCCAGGCGGTGCTCTACAATGATCGCTCAGTGTTAGAGAATCATCACGCAGCTGCTGCATGGAACCTTTTCATGTCCCGGCCAGAGTATAACTTCTTAGCTAACCTTGACCATGTGGAATTCAAGCATTTCCGTTTCCTTGTCATTGAAGCAATATTGGCCACGGACCTGAAGAAACACTTTGACTTTGTGGCCAAATTGAATGCCAAGGTAACTCATTTATAGGCACACTGAAAGATGTCTTGGGACCCCAGGCAAGAACAAAACTCATTGGATCCTCTCTTCTTTGTCAAATGTGCAAAGGAGATGCAATAACGTATTGAATCAGAGCAGATACGACAGCCATTCCTACCCCAGAAACCCGAAGTGTTGAGGTGCTGCCTGTATATATTGTACTTTGTGCTGCACAGAATAATCACATTCTAAGTATCATTTTTGTTTGTTCTCTAATTTGCTCTCCTCTTCATGGTACACTCACAGAAGTTACCTGCAAGTCAAAGGTCAAAACTCTGAAGCAAAATTTCACGCATCAAACATAAATGCCCAAATATTAATTCAAGAAAATTTATCATTTGTAGCTACATTATTTTAATAGTGACAAAAATATATTAGTCTTAAATAGTATTTTCTTTCTATTCTATAATTAATAATTATTCTCTCCATCCATTATTTTACTTTTTCAGTAAGCTGTTTTACTATTAGGTAGCCAATAACTTTGTATACCTAAAAATACCTTAAAAAGTCCTCATTACTTGGTATTCTAATTGCTACATCATGAGACTGTAAATATTATATCATTTTTATTCTCCTGTTCAACTTTTATTTTCATTTCAATGTGTTTCATACAAAACACATTTTAACTTTGCTGCTCAAACAGGTGAATGACGATGTTGGAATAGATTGGACCAATGAAAATGATCGCCTACTGGTGTGTCAGATGTGTATAAAGTTGGCTGATATCAATGGCCCTGCTAAATGTAAAGAACTACATCTTCAGTGGACAGAGGGGATTGTCAATGAGTTTTATGAACAGGTAACTAACTTAATAGTTTCTCATGATCCATATTAGATTGCTCATTTATTTGCCCAAGCTACACGAATTTGTACAGCTGCATTATTCATATAGCCAAAAGGCAGAAACAATTCAAATGACCATCAGTGGTCAAATAGATCAACAAAATGTAGTATATCCACACATTGGAAAATTATTCAACCACAAAAGAAATAAAATACTGTGTATGCTACAACATGGAAATAATTCAATTCATGATCAGTCCTGAAATATGGAGAAAGAGCAATCCACTTATAATTCCACAACAGAGGCATAACCATTGTTGATATTTTGGTATGTTTCCTTCATTAATTTTGCCAGGTAACTTCTGGTTTACAATCTGATACCTTTTCCAAAATGAATTGAAACATTTCAAAATCAAAACACTTACACAGTAGTACTACTAAAACATAAGCGTGTCAGAAGTCATATAATCATAAAAGAGATAATTCAACCACAACCTGAGATAGAGATAACAACTTTCAGATATAAGTGATTTAACTATTCTAGCAGCCGAAGGAAAATACAGTAGATTATGAATTTGCTTGATAATTATTCCCGGTGTAGCATTTATGTGATGTGACCAGAAATACCATCTACTAAGACACTAAACCATTCCTATATTTTCCCTTGATCAAAAGCCAAAACCTTACCATCTCAAAAGTGCTCACTGGCAATGAAGTATTTCTATAGGAATCTCAGAGATTTGACTAGAAACTCAATAGTCAAGTAAAGAGGGAGGGCATATGTGAGTGCCTGGGGTCTTGTATACTTGCAAATTCAGATGTCAGGTGAATATTGACTTGTATTTCAAACCTCCCTTGTCATTTCCTTCCTAGTCAACTCTCCATGCTCAATCCTATTTCTAGGGTGATGAGGAAGCCAGCCTTGGGTTACCCATTAGCCCTTTCATGGACCGCTCTGCTCCTCAGCTGGCCAATCTTCAGGAATCCTTCATCTCTCACATCGTGGGTCCTCTGTGCAACTCCTATGATTCTGCGGGACTAATGCCAGGGAAATGGGGGGAAGACAGCGATGAGTCAGGGGACACTGATGATCCTGAAGAGGAGGAGGAGGAAGCAGCACCCAATGAAGGGGAAACCTGTGAAAATAATGAATCTCCAAGTAAGTTATAAAATCTATTTCTAATGTATTTCTCTTAGGGCTATTTTCTTTAGATTGAGATAAAGTTTATGTTTCTTATAAATTACATGTATTTGATTTTGGGTGGACCTGTCTCCAACATCATTATAATATAACTTACAGCCTGTAGAATTTACTGTTATCATACTCATACAAAGATATGTTCTCTAAAGTTAAAAAAAAAAAAAAATAGTTGCAGCCTGTTCCTCAAAGTATTACAGTGATTTAGAAATGGAAGAAATATAGAGGTTTGTTGTTCTGTGTTATTTTAATAACATAAGTATATGTAACTGACATTCAAACTTATTTAAGACTCTTTTTCAGTCTACTGTTGTTTTTTTTTTTTTAATTGAGGTAACATTGGTTTACAGCACTGTATGTTTTAGGAGTACAGGGTCACACCTCTTCAGATGCATGTTTCCACACCACACCCACAACCAGGGCACCCATGATCCTCCACCACAGTCCAGTGGACCCTTGACATCTTTTCCTCCCAACCCCCCAGAGGTTTTTGAATACAAGAGTTAACTGATTCATCTTGCATTTTAACTGATTTCTGCTGGTGCATTGAGAATATTCTTGAGTTTGGGAAGAGAGCAAAGCTAGAAGCAAAGAGAAGAGTTGAGGCTGCTGAAATTACCCAAGTGAGAAATGACTGGGACTTTAGACCAATCATGGCAGTCGTGGCGGTGAGAAGTGGTCACTTCTGGTTGTTGACTTGGAAAGCATTGTGTAGCCGACATAGTCCATTTACGTTGACTATAAAAACAGATCATAATCCACATCTTTAAATTCTCAGCTGTCTCCCCTGCCATAAATAAAGGGTAATAACTAATAGCACAGTTAGTAAAACTCATAAGTCTAATAGTAACATTGTACAAGTACTGTTGCTGTGTTTATGGCAGTGTTTCCTGTCTACCTTCACAGATAAAGTAAACCACAAATTTAGTATTTTTCAAAACCCTCACCAAAAGTATTGCCAAGGAAAGACATTCTGAGCATTTTTTTCCTGTTATTAGCATAGTCGGGAAATGCGTGTCTGAGTTCTTTTGGGCTATCTACTAAAGAGATTCTGCCACAGGTGCTGGCCCTATCTCACCTCCTTTAAGAACCGGTTGTAAGCACACATATTAAAGAGCACAGAATTAAAGAGGTGGTTATTGACTAACGGGACTGACGAGACAGGGTTTTGTCCTGTGTGTTAACTTTTGTACAGAATGGGGAAGAAAATCAAATCTGTCATTTCCCTTCAGTATTCTCCTATCAGAATCATTCTATTCTATTTCTGTGATCCTTAATAAGTTCCATTACACATTTTGTGCTGATGTTAAAATTCACAGATAAGAGCTAAGACTTCCCATTCATGATTATTTATTTATCTGTTCATTTAATAAACATGTACTAATTTTCATTTACTTTGTTTTCTTTCAAAGAGAAGGTAGTTTACTAAGCACATACCATTTTCCACAGAAAGGCACTGGGACAAGTCCTTGGAAAAATTTTGTTCCCATGGGCCCTACTTGCTATTTGAATTCAAATGCATTGACAAAACACACAACTAATCCAGACTTCAGGAACTGAGAAGCCCAGACCAGAAAGTGAACAGGCAACTCCTCACCCCAGTCTTTAGCTGCAAACGTGATCTCCACTATTGGGTTCCTGTCTGTTCCTACAGGGGGTGCCACACTGATTTTTGATGTGTTGCTCTACTTCCCCTGTTTGTTAAGCTCACTAATGCAGTGATGAGAATTCTGTGGATTTTGTTCACTACTGGCTTCTGAAGCTTACTGGCTACCTTTGTTAAAATTTAAGACATCTGGGCTTCCCCTGGTGGCACAGGCAGTTGAGCGCAGCGCTGTGAAGCTGTCCTCAGCCTCTGCAGCATGGGTTCAATCCCAGCTGGCCAGCGAGATACCCACATGGCGTGGCAGACCTCTCCTGTTTCACCCGCTGCTCCCCTCAGCAATGTATTTCAGTCCATCTGCCTGTTCTGTTCCCAACTCTGTCTCTGGTGAATCCTATTACCCTCCCACACATCTGGCCTGTACCCCGGTTCTCGTATGTATAAATAAATAAATTTTTTTTAAAAATTTAAGACATCTGTCAGCAATGACTTGATACCATAACTTCTGAAAAATCTATCTTTGAAGTACTATTTTAGCCAGGAAAATGATAAATGTTGGCCACAGGGGGTAGTGGGATTTTAAAATGGAAGGGAAACATGATCATTCGACCCAGCTGCCTTCTTTTACACATGACAAATCCAAGGCCAGAGGTCTCAGCATCTTCCCAAGACTGCAGGGCCAGAAAGGGAACCCAGTGTCCTCATTTGTAGCTCACTGCTATTGATTCATAGTAATTTTAATTTCAGAATCCATATTGACTGAGATGAGATGTTCGCTTGACTTAGCCTGAAATTTAGATTTCAGAAAAAAAATTAAATTAAATATGCACTGATAATTTCAGCAATTTGCGAAACTTGGAGGTCTCCCAGGAAACACAGAATAAAATGTTTCAATATGGTATCCTACGGAAAGAAGGCTTTCTCCCCCACCTCATAATTAAATCTGAAAGATTCCTACCGCGAACTAAGAGGTTTCTAATGAAGTACTAAGCTGCATTTAGAATTTGAGCAATGAAAGGCTCTTTGTTCTCATTTCAAAAGGTTCCAGGGCTGAACAATTTGGCTCCCGAAACAGGCATGTCCCAGCCCACCTGCAGACTCTAATCTACGCAAATTTATTTGGTACAAACTTTCTTCTACGTCACCTTATTCAGTTTAATTCCAGAGGGGTTTATTGCTAACGTTTAACAGCATTAAAAAGAGAACAGCTGTTCTCATGGGGACTGCCCTGAAAGGAAAAGGAGAAAAATTGAGCTTTTGTAAGCTGTTTTCCTCCGGGTGCACCGCTATGAATGTGTATGAGCAATAATCACCCAGGGATTCATATACTGTGATTCAAGCTGCCTCTCAGCCCATGGTGATCTGTAACTCTTGATTCGAAGGATTCAGTGAAAAAAAATATATTAACACGAAAATCTTTCTCAACGATAGCTGATGTGTACCCAACTACCATAAAAACAAATCAGTAATAAACAAGTAGAGGAATTTGGTAGAACAGCTTTAAAGACTTGTTTTTAAAAATCGAATGTATTAATAATATACTTTGATAATTTTTTATGGGAAGAATTCACATTTCTTTACATTTTCATTTATATATATACATATCTGTAGACCTTGTTAAGAAGCATCTAGATGAAGAAATTCCAAGTCCTGCACCAGATCCCAGGCCCTTGTGCCTGGGAGGCCTGCCCCTCACTCTGCCTGGAATAGCCAGCTCCTTATCCAACCAGAATTTCATTTTCATCCTTTACATCTCAACTCAGAGGTCCTGCTGGAAAAATCTTACCTATTCTGCCACAGGTTGAGCTTTTCATATTGGCATCGTGTTAAAAACAGCAGGGAAGCCTTTATTCAAGATTATTATAACAGAGGAAAGACTTTGAACTCAGCTCCATTTAAACAAAGGCAGGAGAGTTTAAAACCAGGGTGAGCTAATAACAAAGTACTGAGGACCTTAGGGGAGATGGTCCAAGTGATAAATGGCCCATCTCTGTTTGCTCGTTGGTGCTTATGAAGTCAGTCCACCCCAATCCCCACCCCCCTTCCAACTCCCCACCCCCCCACCCCTCCTAAAGTGAGCAGTTGAAGAAGTGGAAGCCCCATTTCACTCAGTGATTGTTTTAAAGGGATGACTTTGCTGCTGTCTGAGAAAGCTATTCCTAGGTTATGAAACTGGCTAGCGGGTAGGAGGAGATTTATCTGTATGGCAGAGGGGCAGAGACAGAATGTGCAGTTATATTTTCTAAAGTAAATGCTGTGAGAAAAGTGAGCTCAGAGTTCCCTAGAATGGAAGAAACCTGTCTAAACTTTCCTCGAGCTGCAGGGAACAAGACAGCTGTCTTGGTCATATGGTGTGTGTGTCATCAAACATCACACATGAACCCCAGTTTTTGTCTTTTTTGGCTGTCTACAAACTATAAACTCCTTTAAGGCACCCTCTCAGACTAATTTGTGTGCTGGCCCCTGCGTTCAGAAAACTGCATGTCATTTGGCAGATGGTCAGTGGTTTGATTTGAAATTTGATTGGACCATTTCATGAATAAAACAGTAAACAGTAAATGTTCTCAATATTTTTTGCTGTGCCTCTACCTGCATCCATTCCTCCGATATTCATTCAGTTTAATAATTTTGTTATGTGTCCATGTATACTTATGTGTTAGGTATGGTTCCAAACTAATTCAAGATCATTTAATCTGTTCTTTTTCTGTACTGTTTTAAAACTTGATCTTATTGTCCTGTGAAGTGCCAGAAATTTCTGCAATTCATTATAAGAAAACTGTTAAAGGAATCACTAGCACTTGCACAAAAATTTTGAAGGATGGTCTCCAAGAAGTCTGCTTCCTCTGGCACATCTCAGAGTTAATTGGCACCCTGCCTGCGTCCTGCCTTCCTCCTTCCCTCCTTGCCTTCTTTCCTTCCTTCCTTCTCTTTTCTCTCTCTCTCTCTCTCTCTCTCTCTCTCTCTCTCTCTCTCTCTCTCTCTGTCTCTCCTTTCACTATATTTCTCCATTCTCCCAGATTACACATTGTAAATCCTGGTTCAGTTGTTGACTCTTTATTGTAGTCTAAATTAAATCAGACTTTCCTGACCATTACTAACCACTTATCAACCTTTCACTGTTTACTGGGAAGGGTGACTAGAAAGAACATGATACATTTAATAAACTACTTTATAGTTACTAAATCCAGGGCTTTTTAAACTTTTTAGGAAGTTTACAGTGTAATAGTCAGAGGGTCTTAGCCTAACTTCTACATTCCTGGCCTAAATGTCCACTCACATGAAGATACTGAGAATTATATTATGTTCTGGTTGCTTGGAAATGAACATACTTCTAAGCCTGAGAGCAGCTGCCTGCTTCACCTCTCCACCAAAGAGCTCCCAGACACATTGTGTTCCACATAACCTCAGGTCTGCGCTTCATCTGCTTTTCCCTTTCTCAGCATCCTGCAGCTACCTACTCAGCTGCTCAGACCAGAAAGCTTGGGGTTGTCTTTGATTCTTCCCTCCTCTTTATTCACTACACCTAATCAGTTGCCAAGTCCTGACTTACAAAGATTCATCTCCATTACTCCCAGCCTAATCCAAGCCACCATCACCGTGGCATGTCCTCCCTTAGTGTCATTTCCCTGGTTTTTTTTTCATCTTGCAAAGACTTTGTAGGACTCAGTATGATGGTGCCTATGTGTTCACTGCTCCCCTCAGAGTGAAAGGTCCATCAAGCTGGCAAACATTAATCGAACTTGTTTCCCAGTGAAGCCCCAGCACCTGGCACACTCGGTACCCACTAGGTACTTATGAGATAAGGAATTGGATGCCTGAAAAGCAAATTATGATATCAATTCAAAGAATCTTTAAACTATCCTGTTTCTGCTTTTGAAATTGGTTCATTCCAATTCCTCAATCAAGAGATGGATGCGATTCTGTAAAATCTTAATTAAAGCCTCCATATTGACATAGCAAACTCTTTGGGCATAAGAAAATTAATTTATTCATTAAGTGCATCTTTGCTGATCCTCATCATGTATAATATCTATACCAGCCTTTACAATGTGCCCTCAAAGAGCCTATAGCCTAGAAGAGGAGCAGATGCCTAGAATATAGGAGAACAAGATTGAGCACATTCTTGTTACAAGTGACAAAATTCTATTTACATGTGTATATACAAAAAGGAAAATGATGGGTTTAAACATGATGTTGACTAATTTCCATGCCTGCATGGTCCTTCTAATGTCTCTCACCACCTGCCTCACAGCTTGTTTTTTCAACCCTTCTTTCCTCATGAGGCTGAACTCTGTGTGCCCTTCACTCCAGATGCACATGCAGAGGAGAAGAGCAGTCCAGCCTCAGCCCAATACTCATTCTGTCCAGTGGGGAACATCTCAAGGAAGGAGTGATTGGCCTGGCCAGGGCCACACACTTGCCCGTTGGCCAGCTCCCCCTGAATGATGTTAGCTATGTAGTTATCAGAGGTCACACTGATAAGAAAGGGAATGACAGGAAACACAGTCTACTCTGACAAGTATATTACAGAGCCATGTGAGTTTAAAAGAGAAATATTATTCTTAGAAGAGGAATTTAGTGATATCTGACTGGAGTCTTAAAGTAATAAATAGATGTGAACTTTCTGTCACTGAGAAGAACATTCCAGAAGGAGGGGAAGTACCAGCTTGAAAGTAGATGAGTTTTATGTATGTATGGAAGAAAGAAAAGGAACAGTTTAGTATAGATAGAGGTCAAGTTGAAAAAAAAAAAGGAAGACTGCTAAACTGTGTGCCAGCTTGGGGGAGAACTCTAAGAGGAGTTTAGAATTCTTTAGTCTACATAAAACAGAAAAGTAACATCAAGACCAGCTTGAAAGAAATCAATCTTGCAGACTTTTGTGAGTTGGATTGGCTGATGAAGTAAAGCAAGACGTGGGAAGAAGTTATTCCAGTAGTCTAGGTTGCACAGGTTTGTCTAGATAATATAATAATGTGTAGTACCACCACCCTCATTTCTACATTCTCAAAAATGATGTTGTTACAACACATAAATCAAGTGATAGATTTATGTGTCCCTTTGGTAGTTGCCTCCTGTAAATAATGTGAAAAGAAATAGCTGTCCTTTTCTGACACACAAATAAGTGGTCTAAATTGGTGTTTTCTCAGGAAAGAAAACTTTCAAAAGGAGAAAAATCTACTGCCAAATAACCCAGCACCTCCTGCAGAATCACAAGATGTGGAAGAAAGTCATCGAAGAGGAACAGCGGTTGGCAGGCACAGAAACCCAGTCCTTGGACCAGCCCGCCCAGCAGCACCCCTCTGAACAGATCCAGGCCATCAGGGAAGAAGAGGAAGAGAAAGGGAAGGCAAGAGGAGAGGAGCTCCCCGCCCCGAAACCAAACCAGTGACACTGGGGAGAAAGAACTGTGTTTCCAAACAGTGACTTGTCACAGACTCTTCTCAAGCCAGCACGACACTTAGACACAACACTGTAGAAATATGAGGAGATGGGCAAATGGCTATTGCATTTGGGATTCTTTGCATTTTATGTGCTTATTTTTACAGTGAGATACATTGTCCAAAACCTTTGCTCAGAGAAGCTTTCACTTTGCAACACCAGCTTCTAAGGATTTTTTAAAGGAGGAAATATATATATATATATATATGTGTGTGTGTATATAAGCTCTCACGTAGACTCACATAAAACACATTCACACACACACACACACACATAACACACTGAAAGCCAGGATTACTGGCTCCACGATTTAGTAACATTCATATTCAGATATATAGTGGTCACTGTGATATAATAAATCATAAGGGAAAACAAATCACAGAGGAAAGGGTGCAGCTTAGCAGGCAAACAGTGCAGCAAATGTAGGTTACAACTAAGGAGATTTTGCTCCTAGTAGTGAAGGCTGAAAGTTCCAGAGCATTATTTGAATTCTTATTCAACCTGCCAACATCGCGTGAGCGTGTGTGTGTGTGTGTGTGTGTGTGTGTGTGTGTGTGTGAGAGAGAGAGAGAGAGAGAGAGAGAGAGAGAAGATTGAAAGGGGGTGTGTGTGTGTTTGTGTAAGGAAGTTTTGTGGGTTTAGTGGTTCATAGACTAGCTGCAGCAGCTGTCTCAGCATGTGAACAAACAGAAGGAAGTTCACTCCAGAGTCTCTGAGAGGTGGCCATTCCAAATCCCTTCCTCAACTTAGCTTCAATAAAGGTCCCTCTGTGGAGGGCAGGCGGGTATTCAGGGCTGGGGAGAGGCCATGTGATTGGTACTACTGCTTTGCACCACTTGGAGGCGCTCTATCACCAGCCTCAAACTTGGAAGACTGAGGCATTTTCCAAACTACTTGCCTAGTGAATGTATAAGAGCTGTTTTCAGTATGTCTGTCACTCACCTAAGATCAAATCACCATGTAAGATGGTATTCTTTATATAAAAACACCTAAGAAGGAGCTGGAACCAGGTCTTTTAATCAGATTAGTATTTTTAAAGGTTGTCAGAGAAGACCTGGAAAATTGCTCTTCACCATCATCCCACGTCTTCTGAAATTGTGCAGTAAAAAATTAAAGGCAACCAGAAACCCTCTATGGGATACCAAGCTAGAGATGAAGGGGACAATTTCAGCCTAGAGTGGTGTGTGTTGCCATAGTGAGAGCCTGATGCTTGGTCACTGTGGAAGTTTGGCCTGGGCTGGCGGAGCCCACGAGCACCCTGTTGTGGTATGGACCTGCTGGGTGACGGCCCACGTCCATCTCCAACGTGGCCAGTTGTCAATGCTTGTTCTGGTAACGGAGGTTTTAGTGGGGTTGGGAGACTGGGTCTATTACAGAAAGTCTTTTGTTGTTGGTTTTTTTTTTTTTTTTTTTTTTTTGGTTTGTTTATCTACACTTGTTTATGCTATGAGCCAAACCTCTATTTAAAAAGTTGATACTCACTTTCAATATTTTATTTCGTATTATTATATTTGTCATGAATACTTATCTTGATGTAAATATAAAGATTTTTTTTGTGTAGATAGTAAACTTTTTTTTAAAGGGGGAAAGGGAAGCATTTTTATAAAGTTATATTTTAATCACCATTTTTATACATTGTAGCAATCTCCAAGCCCAGTGAGCGAATGCAGATTCAGGTGCATGGAGGTCTGTGGACAGCCGCTCATCTGCCTGTTCTAATTTAAACAATAATCTGATAGTTATTTTATGCCAATTCAATGAAGATGCTGCAAAGAATGTTTTTTCACTGGTAACTTTTGCTAACTTTTGGGTCCATGGCCCCCAAGTGAAAGACTTTCTTAGCCAATACCGAATTTTTACAATTGGTGTCCCTTTTGTTCCCAGTACCTTTGGGGTATAACTCCTCCTTCAGTACTATAGACACCCCTGTTCATCTGAACAATCTCAGCTTCTAAGTAAACATACATTGTGATTTCTGCTTCTTACTTCCTCTGAAGTCACAGAAAAGAGTGTTTACATTCAAAATGCCTTTATTTATTCTAAATAGATATTCTTCCCTTCCAAAGGAATGATTTTATAATAATCCATGACATTTGTTTAAAAGGGTAAAAATGATACAATAAAAAATAAGCATGTCTGCAAGGTAAATTTCCCAGTCAGTAGGAAAATACGAGAAAGGACCAAATGGATACCCCCTACTTAAATAATTAGGATAATTTCAGTGTTTTCTGAGTTCACACCAGGTCTACATTATTTAGAACTTACTGAGTTGTTTCCCATTTCCCTAACATTGCCTGTGTGTCTCAAGGTTTGCAGAAATTACTGTGAGTCAAGTACCTTTCCCCAGTGAATTTAACTGTTCTCCTTCTCTTGCAAATAAGAGAAGCAAAACATTTATACTCACATACCTCTTGTATCTGATTATTTACCAAAACAAATCTTTCCCCGGACTCTCCTCATGCCACACATCTCTAAAATCCATGTAAGTGGAGGGGAAATGCAAGTGTGGGGCAAGCAGAATGGTAGCACAGATGTGAGTCCGTGATGTGTATTACTGGCAGCCTCTTAAAGCTCAGGGCCCCCAGGAAGGCCAGCCTGGCTGCTAGCGTAGAGGTCTTAGCTTCCTGCCTGGGTTTTGTTTTGGTTTTAGGGACATGAAATTACACAAAGAACGGTGGCCCAAGCAATTAGAACCTCTTCATTCTCAAACTGTATTCACCAGTCCCGGCAGATTTGTAATTTTTTTTCCTTCAAAAATGAATTCCTCCTATATCATAGCTAGAAGTCAGCTGAAGTAAAGGAATGGAGATTGGTCAAGTGTGACCTTCATACACACCCAGGATACCCACAGGATGCCTGGGGACATAATGATTTTCTGCCAGTGATGTTCTCCCCTTCCTTGGTGACAGCAATATTACTGTGTTCACGTCCAACTCTGGAGCTTATTTCCTGTGGTGCCAGTGTTGTGTGTTGCAATTTACTATATTTTTATATGAGCCTATTTATAGGTGCCATTAGATAAACTCAGGTCTTTCAAATGAAGTTTCTAGCCCACTGAGGGAAAAGGGTAATTATATAGACAACCATAAACGCCAACAGAAAAGTTGGAACTGGTGACCTTGATGCTAGTGGTTGATGTTTGTTAGGAAAAGGCCTATGCTAAGAGGTTCACTCATGTCCTTCCCAGCGTGCCATAGAATGTCTTTCCAGTTACCTAAGCCAGCCTTTAGCATATTGTTTCCTCAGTCCCACTTAGGCTGTTTTTCCCTTAATTATAAGTTTTGTGGGTGGTTTGTTTATTTGTTTTTTTTTTTTTTTTTTTTTTTTTGTCATTTTTATAAGACCTGGTTTTGCTCTCAGTAGAAAGGTAAAGACAGGTAGCTCTGTACAGGATACATCTATGTAGGTCTTCATCTGAAAAGTGAAGGAATTTCCTCATATTATGTTTGAGAAAATACCCACTTTCTAGAAACAGAACACCCAATTCTGTGTTCTACTCTGATGGACTTCCAAAACAAATACTGACCATTGCAATCCTGGTAAAATTAACAACTAGGGATCGCATGTCATACAGACTGTCTTTATGTGTGTATTGCGATTTCCTCCTGTCCCTTGTCTCTTTGTTTCCTTATGTCTCCTTGTCACTTTCCCAGAGAATTTTCTTTGAAGGTAAAAGCTGTGCAAAAAGGCATGAGACTCAGGCCTCTTATTTGTTTAAATGATGGAAAAATATAAATTATTTTCTAAGTAATAAAGATATGAAAATTATCATTGTAAATAAAGTCTAAAGTTTGAAATGACTGCTTTACAAAAGTGAACTATTTGTGTGATGAAAATTCCTGATTAACAAGAAATGAATAATCCAAAAATCATTTCTGGACTATTTTGAGAGAGATCTTTGGTGCCTCCAGTGTCAGTGTGGCGATCTCCAGTGTCCTTGGCTTTTACAATTATTTCTAAAATAATCATGTTAGAGTCTTATTGTCCTCTTCCAACCCAATCCTGATACCCATTTAATGCCTTTCCTGGTTTATACTGTTTTTTTAGAAATGAACTGCCTATTCAAACTGACAGAGGTACCCAGTAGAACAGTTCTGGAAATTCATAATTTAGAGAAAATCATGATTATTCTTATTCCAGAGGTTCTCACACAATGTGGGAGGAGGGGAGAAAAATGTATACAATTTCAAATCCTGTTTATAAGCTCAACTTCTGATACATAAGAACTAAAATGACAATATATTTTGAAACATAAGTGAGGTCCTTTCATTTACCTTCTTCTCTCCTAATAAGCAACAAAGTACTTTATACCAAAGTTCTAAATTTCTTTCATTTCTCCATGATGTGAAACTAAATTTGCTGATGTTGTCAATTAACTTATACAATCCACTTTAAGATAAGGAAGTCAATTTTTCATTCTAAGTGGAAAACATTCCAAAATGAAATTATTCTTATAATTTCTAATCAGAGGTCAATATACCATGTTTAGGTCCTGTATTCCTCAACTCCTCTAGAATATATTCAAATTCTTAATATGGATATTTAATTGGGCAGGAATGACTCAAACTAAGCACTGAGCTAATTAACTGCAAACAATGCATTAAAGAACATAAGTTGAAGTCTGCTAAGTATCATTATGTTTCACATTAAGGAGCCCTGATAAGAATGCACATATTTTTCGGTCTATATTATGGACCATGGACTTTGGACAATTTGTGCTATGAGCTGACACATTTCATCTGTTAAAATGATGTTGCTTGTACCTTTCATGATGGTGCCTTTGCCTTATCTGCACTGATCTTTATGTCTACACTATCAAATTCTAACACACAGGTTAACAGTGGTGACAAAAAATAATTGGACATTTTATATCTAAATGTGTTTAATGATACAAAACTGAAGATTAGTTGGTGGAACTCAAGTTGCTGATTCAAAAATAATGATCTGGTGTAAATTATTGCAGTATGTAGTACAGATAAGACTATAAAGAATATGGAAAAATGTATAGATAAGGAACAAAACTGGTTTTTGACACACATTTGAAGTTTAAGAGCATCCAAGTTTCCCATTTAAGGCAGCTAAGGCTTCTCCATATCCAATGTTTGAGGTTAATTACCCTGACTGGGCAGTGGCTTCCATGGTCTTCTGCTTCCTGAGCAGTTGGTAAGCACGGAAGGCATGCCTTCTCCTTACTGATGAGCAAGCCTGAACACTCCTGTGTTCAGATTTCCTCATTCCTTCTCATCAAGAAGTGGTTCTTTAGTCATGGAAATATTTCAAGGAAAATAAAATGCTTCAAAGAGAGTAATGTTAAATCATCACATGTAAATACTATCAGGAATGTTTAAATTTATTTTTGAACCAAAACTTACATTTTTTGTATCATTCAATTGAACTGAAGCCCACAAGATGATATTCCATTGTCTAGAGATACTAAATAATTTTATATAATCAGAACTATTATATGACAGAAAACCGGGAAGAATAATACTTAATTCTTTTTTATAATGCCCTGTGTGCTTCAGGAAGGAAAAATTTTTTTTGATCTAATAAGTACATGAAATAGATAAAAATAAATTTAGCCTCAATAATTAGATTAATTGTACAAATTATAGTCTGAGATCGTCTTGTTTACCCACCCACCCCCATAACAAAAAGGGAATTATCCAGTAGCCTATCATGTCTTAGGTTGTTTTAAAAATAAATGGCCTAAGGTAGATTTTATTTTATTAAATTGCAACACAATTAAAAAGCCAAATGCTTATATTTGCCACTAAAGAAAATTATATCTTATAAATCTTGACTTTCACAGACCAGTCAACGAGCCACACCCACAACATTCATCTGGTAAGCATGGTCAAATGATAATTTGGAATTTGAAATTAATAAATAGAAAAGTATAAAAATAAAAATATTTTTAATGCTTTCATACCTCAACTAAAATTTTAGTGTCAGAAGTACCTATTTCAAATGAAACAAAAACTACAGAAGGAAATTCTTCCTCTCCTTTAGAAAAAAAAAAAAAAGTCTAACCCATAGAAGAAAAGTATGACTGTTCTCAATTTTATTGCTCTAACTCAAAATTAATGAAGGAAAAATAATTAGTCTCTGTCATACATAAGGAGGAGAAAGCATGCCTTCTGCCTCAAGTTTTCATTCATCACACCTAGTTTCACTGTGCAACTCTAGAACTAAAAAAACAAAAGGCAAACATATGGATTGGGAGTGAACAAACATTACCTACAAGTGAAAGGATCACCCCAAGATACCCCTCTGTCTTGGTGGCTGACATACCAATTTGTCAGTTTCTCTGGAGGAAAGGGACTTAGAGGGGCCCATGTTTCAGTCCTGGCATCTGTGATCACAATCAATACTTTCACAAGTTGGGGGATGAGAACTAGCCCTTCAAGCTTGGGAACCGCTACTTGAATGCTTTTGGAAAGGAAAGATTATTTTTTTACTCTAGTTAAAGTTTACACTCTAGTGGGAGCAAAATATTCAGATGGTTTAATGTGAAATTAAAAGTAACTCTAAGCTTCTGCACAGCAAAAGAGACAATAACAAAAACAAAGAGAAACCCCACCAACTGGGAGAACATTTTTGCACCCAACACTAATGATAAAGGACTGATCACAAAAATCTGCAAAGAGCTGATGAGACTCAGCAACAACAAAGAAAAGAATCCAGTCAAAAAATGGGCAGAAGAGCTAAAAAGAAACTTCTCTGAAGAGGAAATGCAAATGGCCAACAGGCATATGAAAAAATGTTCAACATCACTTGTCATCAGGGAAATGCAAATCAAAACTACCATGAGATACCATCTCACACCAGTGAGAATGGCACATATTAAAAAAACTAGCAACAACAAATGTTGGCGAGGGTGTGGAGAAAAAGGAACTCTTCTGCACTGTTGGTGGGAGTGCAAACTGGTCCAACCACTATGGAGAGCTGTGTGGAGATTTCTGGACCTACTAAGCATAGAGCTTCCATATGATCCAGCAATTCCACTCCTAGGTATTTACCCAAAGGACACAGAAACATCAATTCCAAAGACCACCTGCACCCCTATGTTTATAGCAGCACTATTTACAATAGCTAAGCTTTGGAAACAGCCCAAATGCCCAAAAATAGATGACTGGATCAAGAAGATGTGGTACATATATACCATGGAATATTACTCAGCATTCAAAAAAGATAAACACATGCAATTTGCAGCAACATGGATGGTGCTGGAAGGGATCATGCTCAGTGAAATAAGCCAAAAAGAAAAAGAAAAATACCAGATGGTCTCACTCATAGCAGGAATCTAGAAAACTTAAATAAGGGACCAGGAAAATGAATATAAGAAAGTGAAAATCAAAATCAACAAAAAACTATGAACCAGAGACACTTTTTGGGGGGTGGGGGGCAGGAAGGGAAGGATTGGGGTCAGAATGGGGCTTTTGCAATTGTATGGGGGAATATAAAAATAAAATTTATTATTTAAAAAAAATACACTTATTGGTGGTAATGGAAATATACATTAACTTCAGTTATGAGACTGAAGGAATCTAATAAAAGGAATCAGCAGGAAGGCAGTGGTGAGAGTTAAGACAAACAAGATGGGAAGCAAAAAGTAATCTGTCTTGAAACACCAATTAAGTTTAATGTTTTGAATAAATGGACAATCTCAAAAAGATTAGCTCGACTTAAATCGTTCATTTAAATGTTTCTACTCTGTGGCCGAAAACCTTGACAAATGAAACAATAAACCAGACTTTAGTTTGCAAATGTAAAAAAAAATAAAATAAAATAAAAATAAAAGTAACTCTTTAAAGATTTTTTTTTGTGTATATAACTAGTTGGTTGATAGAATTTCCTAGCACCTTTCTTTTAAAAATTCACTGATTATTTTTATGATACACACGAAAAACCATAATATATCAGATATTTCATTTTAGCTATTAATGAGCACAATCAAGTACTATAATGTGGCTGTCTTGAAATAATAATCCTAATATATCTGTATATTACCTGAGAGTGGGGCTTCAGTGGCTTGACTCAGAGTATATATTTGTTCAGTTGCTTAAAAAAAAATCACCATTTTCTGTGAAATGCTTGCATGATGTTTGCCATATTATGTCTGCTTACCTATTCATTCTTCATATATTCTCCCAGAAGAACACATACCATTTTTGTTCCAACAAGGACAAACTTGTTGGCTGAGGAGTAGCCCCTGATATTTCTTACCAGAAATTTTATTCATGCAACTCACAAAATGAAAATTGGTGCTTTTATAAGTATTCTGAAGCTCAATGCAAAATGAAAATGAGATTCTCCCTAGTTTTCTGTAATGGTATTAGGATATGCAATTCAAAAACTTTTATTTTAATCCAGGAGATTTTGGGTTTTGGCTAGGTTTGGCTAATATAATTTAGGTTTTGTGTGGCTGTTAAAATTTGTTGAGATTTCTGATAAAAGCATTACTCTGATAAGACAGTGTCTCTTCCTGAACAAAAACAAAAAAAATTGTTATTGGAAAGTTCATATTAGCATATCCCAAATACTTGACTTTGTAGGATAGTTGTAAACCAGAGAGTATTGGATTAACTTAATTTACTCTTCCTAAAAAGCAATATTTTCAAATAACTGCCAAGCAAAATAACAGTATAGGGGGTATCATTTGTATATGAAATTTTTAACAATATAATTCTCACCACTCTCAACACCCCTGAATGTGTTTATTGCTTGATTTCCAAGTTTATCAACTTTTAGAAACACAAGGCATTGAAATTAAGTGGTGATCATTTTGCAATTGAAACAAATCTTGTTCTCTCACATGTACCTTGCACTTAATATGTGTAGCAATATTTCATATCATCCTATCACAAGTACTTGTCAAGTGACTTAGCTAATGGCTAATAGATGTTTTGTAAAAAGTAGAATGCATACAGTAAACATTAGATAAATTGTATTTATTTTTATCATTTTTTAGCTTAGACATGATAATGATGCTCCTTTCTTGCCAGAATTACAGGAAGTGCCTCTTGTTTTTATATTCATACTAATATTACAGTAAATATATACTCCAAAATATTAGAATTATGTGACAGATAATCAATGTGGGTGTTACAATGTGAAGACAATGTATAATATAAACATAAATCTGTGTTACCATGTATGATGTAGTTATTTGTACAACCCAAGTCCTCCATCCAGTCTTCTGAAGGCATCCGTGAGCCTCTGTGTAGTAGTGAGAACTGGTTCTGCTGCAATTTCCAGGGGCGCCTGAGAGCTTCTTCTCCCATGTTCCCTTCACCCATTCCTATCACTGTTGAATTCTTAGCTGCATTAACCTTAATCTAACTTTCTGCAGCTAAGCTGGTCCCTTCTACAACCGAATAGTACTAAGTCCACAATACACAGGTTTCTGGCATTTAGTTTCAGAGTCAGTCCCATGAAAGAGACGATGCTGCCATTTATACTATAAATGCTACATTCACCCTACAAAGATTATCTACCAACTCCCAATACATGGTACATTTGGTTGCACAGACTCAGATTTATTTTTTGTTCTGCATGTTTGAAAACTCTGATTCAGAATGCTCAGTGTTTTAATTAACTCAAATGTCTTCAGAAACAAACTAAAAAAATGTGATTTCTACCTAAAATTTCCAAGGAATTAATCCTTCAGCCTGCACATTCTGACTTCCCCATTACTTCTCCGACAAAATCCCAACTTCTGTCTGGCATTGTCCCTACAAGTGTGTTTTTCAAACAATCCCTTCACCAAAGCAACCAGCCATCTATATATGTCTATGTCTTAGGCAAATTATATCTGACAAACATTTACACATTTTATATATGTACAATTTCTTTATCTCCTTGTGCACATGCAGGCATACACAAACAGACACACACATGCTCACACACATGTGTGCTCCAACTACCCTCAATATAGCAAACAGAGCAAGACTGACTGCCTTCTTGAGGGGTGAATTTTATCCAAACTCTCTAGGATCCTCCTCTTAATGGTGTTCTAGTCCTCAATGGAAGGGAGGCAATAGCTAGGTTATCCAGTCTGAGCCTTCATCTCCTTCCTGCACATAGTTGCTATCAAAATTGATCTTAGGTAAGGAAGAAATTTACAAAGTAGGGTAAAAAGGGCAGTGATGAGAAGCTTTAGTGGGGCCTGAGCTAGAAAGCCTCAGGGAGATGAGTAGGTCTTTTTCACACACAGCCATACTTGGTCCGGTTCTGCAGATTACCTGTATGTCCACTGTAGCCCATGAACCTGTGGGTACCACAGCCTGCAAAGGAAAAGAAAGCACAAACAAGATCAGTTCTTAAATAATTGGAAAACTTTCTCCTGGTTGGGCTAGATGGAAGCAATAATCTTGCTTACTGAGCCCTGGAGCTCCTTTACATCCCAATCATTCTTTTTGGCATTATGGCTGGCACAAGCCCAAGTCCACTAATGTGACCATCTGTCAGATCTGAAGAACTATGGGGGCTGCAGCACTGTCTGGGATGCTCTGGGCTCCCGGGACCAGTCATCTCTGGATGGGGGTGAGGGAGTGCAACACACTTCATAGCTGGCACTGAGAGGACCTACCCTGGTTCTGTTTTTAATTTGACTGGCTTTTCCCTGCCAGATGCCAAAGGTGAATTCATTGAAGGCTGGTTTCTAGTCCTCAAGGCCTTCAAAGTAGATAGAAATGATGTGTTGATTTTCTATTTCTACCATAGTGAATTGCCACAAACTTGGTACTTAAAAAATGCAAATGCATTGGCTCACAGGTCTGTTATTTTAGGAGTGCAGATGTGACTGATTGAAATTTCTGCTTTTCATCTTCCATAAGACTGAAAGCAAGGTGTCTGCCAGCCTGCGCTCTCTCTGCCATCTCCAGATTTCAATAGTAGAATCTGCTCCGGAGCTCACTAAGGTGGTTGGAAGAATGCAGTTCCTCAAAGTTATAGGACTGAGGTCCCCATTTTTTGTTGGCTGTCCTTAGGAAGCTCTCTCAGGTTCTGAAAGTCACCTGCATTCCTTCTGGCCATGCTCTCTCAACCTCCACTCTGTCTTCAAACAAGCATGTGATCTGGCATGTGATTCCTTTTCACACTATGAGACTCTGCTCTTCTGCTTCATGTCTTCTGTCTGCAGCTGGAGAAAGTGCTTTTCTTATAAGGGCTCATGAAATTAGACTGAACCCAGATAATCTCCCTATTTTAAGGTCTTCAACTTTAGTTATAGTGAAAGTCTCTCTTGTCATATGACTTCACATACTGACCGTTTCCCAGGGACTAGCAGTTTGACACCTTTGGGATGAGAATACAGTGATGGTAAAGGCACAAGGCTACACAATCGTCCCACATAATGAAAGCTCTTGCCCATCATGAAATGGCTGTTAAGCAGCAAAAGCCATCCTTGACAGTGGGACAGGAGGGTTCAGTCTTGAGAACGTGGGGACACCCTCCTAAACATTGAGTCAGAGTGCTGGCTGGCACCCTGTGTGGCCGGGGAGTGGCCAGATGTAATGCAGTCCACACTTCACAGGCCACCAGGATTTGTTGCTGTTTGTCCAGTAGTCCAAGTACTAGGGGAGTTAGAATTAAAGGGTGAAAGCAGAGATTGTTTTCCTCAGGACTATGCCTAATTACCAGTTTATTTTGCTTCCTGTCTCTGGCTCTTTTGATTTCCTTCTTAAGAGGAAGTAGCTTCCAAGGAGAGATACTCTTATCAGGGGAGATGACCATTCTGTTTCCCTGAAGTTGAGGTTACCACCTGGCCCTTTTGCTTTCTCAGTTACTGAGTCATCAGGACAGTGATGGACCCTAATTTATCAAGCTAAAATGGTTTCTGCTATAAAAACATTTATGTAATAAGTAGATGTAGTGGAAAATTGAGTTGAGTGGTTGAGCAAGAGATTGTATGGCCTGTACAACTTAAAATATTTACTATTTGTAAGGGGTTATAGGAAATTTTTGCTGACCTCTGGCCTTGAATATGAAAGTATGATAAATCCAAGGCAAGGCTATCCATGAGAAGCCCTGAATCTCATGTAAGGTAGGTTTTATGTACATTGAATATAATAGCATTAACTGTGGACTACAGAAGTCAGACAGGGAATCATATTAGAGGATGAATTTAAGCAAATTGGGGACAGACCAAATCCTATTTTCTGGAGAGACTCTCATTTCCTGGTGAGGAAAAACAGGCCCTTTGTACTTTTCTCCGGTAAATAGTGTTTCATATGCACAAATGGCCCCCTGTTAGACACAATGAAAACTATAAAACCAATTGTTTTCTCACAATTTCTGATGCCTTGAATTGTTTTAAAAAATTTTGTTTTCAAAGTTAGGGCACACCACTACTTCACGTTAAGGTTTATTATTTTATTTTCTTAAATCCTTTTTCTCCTTTAAAATGTGCTTATAATATTTATTAATTAATGCTCCTGACCAGAAAGTGAACTGATTACATATGTAATGATACCTTCTAGCCATTTCGTGCTTAGTTTTTTGCAATGCACTGTTGAATACATGATGTAATTCAATCCTTAAAACAACCCTGTAACTCAGTTATTTTTTTTAATAAAAATTCTGCTTTATAGAAGAAATTGAGACTCAGCAATGTGATGTGACAAGGCCACAGTCAACGTAATTTAAGAATATGATGGGCCACAGAAAATTCCTGTAGTAAATTCATTTATTCATACAAACCAAACACAAGCTCATGCTGCTCAAAATCCTCTAAAATGGTATTCAGAAAAAGAATTTATTACAATTGTAGAATTTCTCAGTGAAAGGAGTTTTCTTTCATTGAAATTAGATAGAACAAACAATTGAATGCCAAAACATTCAATGCTTTTCTTTTATTCCATTTTTGAATCTCCTAGGAATTGTGGATATGAGCAACTGATTAAATGTCTTTCTCTGAGAATTAACTCTTGCTGTATAGATGCAGAGCCTTGATCCTGACCTGATTTGTGGTCAGTGCAGATTCTGGAATCCCAATGGGAAATGAAACCAAGCAGACATTTAGTTCATGAGCATTTAAAAAGAAGAAGAAGAAGAAGGAGAAGAAGAAGAAGAGGAAGGATCTCAGGATCCCATCAAGTTGCTGCTGGCTTAAAAACTTCTTGGAAGGAGAAGGAAGGAGCTTTGTTACAAACTTCCGTCCCTCCTCCTGCTTCTGTTCCTGCACCCTCAGCCCCCTGCAGAGTTGTGTTTTCTGGAAATCGGCAAGTTAGATCACAAGTGGTCTTTTCTTTTTTCATTCTCTCCCATAAAGAAAGCTTTATCACGTGTGGCCTTAAACTTGCAGCAAATTGCAAAGCAATGGCTCAAAGGCTTCAGCTCTCTCTGTGCCCTGAGAGCTGAGATGCACGTCAGTGGCTTTGCCAGCGTGGCAAGTTCTCTTCAGGCTGCCAGAAAAAAGAGGCCAGGAGAGAAGAGGAAGAGAAGGGATTGCCCAGGGGTGAGACCAGGCCCTTCATCTTTTCTTTCTCCTAACCCACTGTCTCTGTGCATCCACATACTCCCCTCCTGGCAAAACTGTTCCAAGAATTTCCCCTCTGTGCTTCAGTCCATGGAGTGTGGTCCAGCTTCTCCCTGAGCTCACTGAGAGGAACTGGCTGTCTCTGATCTCTACCTCCAGGTAAGGTTTGGTTTGGTTCTCTGCATTCCATTTTTGTGACTCAAACACCTGAGCTCACAGGAGAGAGATGGCTAGACCCTTAATTTCTGCATTCCTTGCATTGACCCGTCATGCTGCTCTATGAAAGTCCTTGGGCCCCTGTGAGGTTGGTTAAAGAAGTCAGATAAATGCACATCTGGGTTCAGATTTTGCCTTTGAGGCTTATTCACAGGGTAGCTTTTGACAAGTCACAACTGCTCTGAGCCTTATCATTAACTCCAAAGTGGGATTTATAATGTTAACCCTGTTCGGTTGTAGAGATTAACAGAAAGTCTAGAAATCATCTGGCACTTAAATAGTACTTACTAAATCTGAATCTGACCCAATTACTTATTATTTATATATTACATATCTCTAAACAACACACTCGTCAGCAAGTACCATGAGCTTATTTTTCCTCCTGAAGGGGGAAATCCTGGTGTCCAGAGACCAGTGATCCAGAGGTCCTCCCCATGGGAGGTAACTAAGGGAAGAGACTGATGGACTGGGAGTTTCTGGAAGCTGACACTGGAGAAAGTGTATGTCACTGGAGCAGGCACAGAGGCTCAGTATCTGCCTGGTCTAACTACAACCTCCCAGGCCATTGCATTCTGTAAAGACTGGAAGATCGATTTGCAAATCCATGTGAACACAGAATTCAGTGTTTTGTTTTCAAACTGAAATGAAGAAAAACTGCTAAGCTTATTTTAACTTGGCCTCAGAAATAAGTCATACTCCACCCAGAGTGCTGGATGAAAACTTTGCCCATGATCCTCTTCTAGAGGAATTTATTCAGCTGGTGGGAGAACAATTGCCAAATGCAAATTATTTCAAAGAAGGTGCTACCTTGGCACTTACAAATGCAGAGAGAGAGAGAGAGAGAGAGAGAGAGAGAGAGAGAGAGAGAGAATATTTTCAGGGAGACCCTTCTCAATGTTCCTAAGCTGTGACCTCCTTGAAACATACTGTATTTGAGATGATATGAAAATAAACCATTAATATGAAAGGACATATTCAGTAGAACTATGCAGCATCAATACTTTAAGCAGGAGAATATTTTGTCCTATCACAATATCAGCTACACTGAGGCTATGTTCTCTTGGTTTTTGTTAGAGTGATTTTTATCAACATCTCCAAAACAAGATGTCAATGTGTTTCAGTAGCTCAAGTGATCAAAATTGTTTTCAGTATGATTTTTTTTCTTTTTGGCTTTAGTATTCTAGATGTAACCTCTCTGAATTTTAAAGTTACTTTTAGTATAAATGATAGTGTGTTTTATTAAATAATTTGTTTGCATTTTTTGGTTCCTGGTTTTAATAATATTGTGTCTGACAGGAAATATGATATCTGAACCCTAAACTGATAGGCCAATTTGAATTTAATTCTTGGAAGAGAATTGCATTTTAAACTGTAAATTAAAAACATTCAATTTGTATTTTTAAATGTTTTATATAGTCACGATTCTTTTTCTTTTCTTTTTAATTGAGGTAACTGTTTTATAAAGTTGCTTATGTTTTACAATTATAGGCTTTCCCACTTCAGGTGTTGTTACTACATCACACCCACTACCCAAGCACCCATAGTCCTCCACCATAGTCCATTGTGCTTCCTCCCACTTTGTTCATGGTGTTTCATATATTTAATATTTTGAATTTTTTGTGATAAATATGGTTAAACTATAGAATTGAGACATTCTGAAGGGGAGGGAAAGAGGTAAGGGCGAGACAAAATGGGGAGGGAGCACAATGGACTCTGGTGGAGGACTATGGATGCTTTGGTAGAGGGAGCACTACTGTAATATCACAAGCAGGTGGGATCCTATAATTCCAAAATACAAATAGCAATGTAAACCAATCTTACTTCAATAAGAAATAAAGCTTAAAAATTAAATGAAAATCATCTGGATTGTCACCAACCAGAAATGATTAAGCTTTATTTTAAAGCTTTCTGAAGCTTTATTTCTACACATACACATATGTAAGTACATGTGTATCTTTTAAAGTGTTATATATACTGCTTTATACTCTGAATTTTAAAAATCAACTCGATAATGGAAATATAATATGTCTTTACAATGATTTTAACAGCTTCAAAGAGTTCACTGTATGACTACCCAAAATTTGTTGGCTATTTATGCCATCTAGTTTTTTTTTGTTTTTTTTTTCATTATAAGCAATGGGTCTCCTGGGACTGTAAAGGTAGTTAATAGTTATACAGCAAAGATGCCTATTCAAAATTGTATAACCCAGTGTCTTCCAAACACACTTTTCAATGTTCTGGCAAAACACTGTTCTGGAAAGTAGTTTCAGTGACCCAGTGGGTATAATAAGAATAGTATCTGTGAAGCTTGCTGCTGATATCAGATGAGACAGCCAAAGAAGAATCCCTGTTTTCTTAGGTTTTAAATTTTGTCTTTTTAAAATCAGGAATGGATGTTGAATTTTATCACCTGATGATTTGCATCTGCTGAGAAGAAAAAAATGAAATTATTTTTTCATTTGGATTCTAATTTTCCAGCTTATCTATAGTATGAATAATAAAAAAAATAAATTTTACCTTTAAGGTTTGATGTGGTGTTTGATATACATATACAACAATTTTGAGTTATTAAAGTGATAATTTTAGTTGAAAAAAGTTTTTAATATTGCTTAATTGCTGCATTTATAAACAAAATCTTATAGATTATTAATTTATATTTGCTAGGATTTGATTTAGAATCTATACAATGCAGCATCTCCAGATTTGGTCTGAAGTCTCTCCTTTTGGGCTCTCTTAATGAGATTTTGTTATCAGGGTAATTCTGACTTCCTCAAATGAATGCTATTCCTTTAGTTAGTGTGATGAGAATATAAATATCTCTATGAATGGACAAATACATCATCTGGTGATTAATTAGAGTGACCCAGAAGTCACTGCAGTTTTAGATCCCTTGTCTTAGAATTACCTTATAAATTTAAAAAAAAAAAAAAGAATTACCTTATAAGGCAGGGACTGAGCCACATGGAATCCTAAAGAAGGGAACTAGCATATATAAATACTGATTTGACCAGGAAGAAAACAGGTTTCAAGGATGTGACCCTACTCAGGGCTGAAGGTGGGGGAATTAAACAGAGGAAGGAAGTTCTTTTTTACTTTTTGACAGGCCAAAGGCTACCTTCTTTGCCTGAATTAAATCTAAGCCTGAGGCACACAGATCATGCTGCAGCCTTATCTATCAAACTAAAATGACAGATTAAACCTCTTCTCTTTTTTGGTCCTGTCTGAAGCATTATGTTGGCTCTTACAGGCCTACAGGAGTCACAGGTGCTGTGAGACCAATGGGCATTCATCCTTTCTCTCCATTTAGCTAAGAGAGATTTAAAGGCTTTAAAGACTTCATTCTTGTTAATCAATATTCAAATGGTTGAATTCGAATGTCTTCTTCCTTTCCTGCTTGCCTCGGATTTAAGCTGGCAAGACCACAAAGTTAGAAAAATTCACCCTCATTATTTATTCCAAAGGCAACATTTAAATTTATTCTTTGCCATAATGAGGCTTAAACTGGAGGAATTGCAGAAGAATGTGGGCTACAGCATTTCAATAGCAGGATTAGTTCATCAAATATCCTGGTGGATTTTAATTGAAAAATGTTGCCAACTTACCGTGGTAAAATAAGGTAGCTTCATGTTAAACTCTGTCTGCAGAGTTGTAATTTTACTGTGGAAAAAAAAAATTAATGAACTGTAGATTTGAATTAAATGCTTTTATTATTATTTATTTTATTTTATTTTAAAATCTATTTGACAGATTGGAGTCAAGGAACATTTTCATAATGGACACTTTATCCAAAGAAAATATCCAGCTAATCTGCAAAAATTCAGTGCAACCAGTTGGGAGGCCTTCCTATAAAACAGAATATTCCTCCTCAGAGGAAAAACCCCCCTGCTGTGCTGAACTCAAGGTAGAGTAACAGAATTAGGAGCAGTCCCTGTGCTTGCTTCTCTGCGGAGATATTTCCTTCACGATGTAGCTACAAATTATTTTTTTCTTTTTAAAAAGTGTTCTTAAATTCCCCATACAATTGCAACCCCCTTATTTTGACTTCATCCCCTCCTTTCCCTGCCCACCCCCAATAGTGTATCTCTGGTTCATAGTTGTTTGTTGATTTTTCTTTTTTCTTTCTTATATTTATTCTTTTTCCTGTTTCCTTATTTAGGTTTTCTAGATTCCTGCTATGAGTGAGACTATCTGGTATTTTTCTTTTTCTTTCTGGCTTAATTCGCTGAGCATGATCCCTTCCAGCTCCATCCATGTTGCTGCAAATTGCATGTGTTTATCTTTTTTTGATTGCTGAGTAATATTCCATTGTGTATATGTACCACATCTTCTTGATTCAGTCATCTAAAAATGCAGTTTATTAAAACCACACTCTTCCCAGCAGTGAATGCAATCTCTGCCTGATCATGGAGAATAAATTCTAACTACGACTTTCCTAGCTTATTCGATGTCCCTCCTAAACAGAAAGGAGAGAAGAAACAACCTACTGTGCACCAGATAGTGTGCTAAGCACCATGATACCATTTCACCTATAAGACATTCATACTCCTATTTTTACAAATGGAAACTCTGACCTTTTTTTGTCTCATAGTCAGGGACATGGTTGCTTTATAGTGGTGCTCTGTGTGATTCCAAGTGCCTGTTCTTTCTTCATACCAAACACTCATTTGACAGCTACATGTGCATAGAAATGCTAGCTGGCCCTATGGATCCTCCATCCCAGACCCAGTTCTAGCAAAACACACAAGCCAGAAAGTGAAGAATTGTTTGCACTGAGTAGCAACTTGAGCATGAATTTAACTTGAACTTAAATACAAGGAATAAGACATCAGTGTAACAAAACAAAAACAGACAATTATAAATCAGAGACATCCTGCAGGGGAGGAGGAGGGAGAGGGATCAGAGGGAGGGAGGGAGGGAGGGAGGAGCACAGGGGACTGAGGTGATGGTGCACGGGCACGCATTGGTGAAGGAAACTCTGGGGACTATACCTGGGGTGGGGGGAGCAAATATTGTTTAAAAATGAACAATGATGTAAAATTTAGAAAATAACAATTTTTTTTTAAATGCCACAAGGAAAAATAAATAAATACAAGGAATAGGAATTCTGTTTCTTTCAGTCTTCTTTGTCCCCTTCTGGTGCATGAGCCATCCCCAAGAAACACATCATCATGAGTAAATGCCAGACTTGGATAAGAAGCTGAGTGTTGGGTACATGGTTTTTTCTGTTTTATTTTCTTACCTGTGAGTGGCTCCTTCCTCTCTGTCTCACCCCATGCTAAATCTTCTTTTCAAAACCAAGAATCCTTTTTAATGTCCTTCACAGGAAGGAGGAAGAAAGGGAAAGTTAAAAAAGACATTCAACATTTCCTAATGAGTATCTATTTCCAAGACAATTTGAAGTTTTGGCAGTCTACTGAGTTTGAGACTGAAGGAAGCCTCTTACAGGCTTGAATGGGATTGGGATCAGAATGGGGGGGGGGTTGCAATTGTATGGGGAATATAAAAATAAAATTTATTATAAAAAAATGAAAAAAAAAAGAAAAAGAAAAAGGAAAACCATGAAAAAAAAAAAAAAAAGAAATCTTCTATGCTAACCAGCTCGCTCCATCGCTCCATTGCTCCATTGCATTTGATTTGCATTTTGGTATAACTGTTTGTTTAGTAAATAACCAGTGCTGTTTTGAGCTGGATTCAAATTCAGTGTGTCCTGTTCTGTTTTTCAGGTGTTCTTGGGTGCCTTGTCATTTGTTTACTTTGCCAAAGCACTGGCAGGCGGCTATCTGAAGAGCACCATCACTCAGATAGAGAGGAGGTTTGATATTCCTTCTTCACTGCTGGGAGTTATTGATGGGAGTTTCGAAATTGGTAGGTATTGCAGATGCCTGACGTTACTTTTAAATACCAGGTCTCCTAGGCAACATCCTCATGGCACTCTGTTGTCTGGAGGATCAGCCTATTCATCAAGTATTGTTTGGAAAAGAATTTGCTATGACTTGTGCTACAGTGTAATAGAGGCAATTTGCTCTCCCCCAATAAGCAACAATACATTTCCTGGTGCAGGTGGTTTACTCCTTGGCTCACACAGTTGAGAGTTTCCAATCAGAATGACAGGCTGTCCTAGAAGGGAGGGTGAGACGCTTTCTGTATTTTGAATTGAAAGTATATGGGGAGATGTCTTTCTAGAAGTCATGTATCTAGGAAGCCTTGTGACTCAAAATTTGGAAGAATCTAAATGGGCTCTCCAAAAATATGATTTGCAGAGAAGCTAAACCACACAAGGGGTTTTCTGCCCAGTGGACTATAAAGAAAAGAATAGAACAGAGAAGAGAAGAGAAAGAGCAGAGGAGGGGAGGGGAGGAGAGGGGAGGGGAGGGGAGGGAGGGGAGGGGAGGGGAGGGGAGGGGAGGAGAAGGATTCTATTAACATTTACATTAGTTCAGCAGACAATAAAAATTCTATTCTTGGGTGGCTTTATTTATTTATTTTTTCCTCTTGCTTCTCTGAGGGATTTTTGATTACCTTTTGCTTTTCTGTAGTTTGAAAGTACTGAGGTACAGATTTTCTGGCATTTATCCTGTTCATCTCTGTCTTAGCCTCCTGGATATGTGGTTTGGTGTCTGATGTTAATTTGGGACAAATTATCATAATAATTTCTTCCTTTCTTTTCTCTTTCTCTCCTCTCCTTTGGAATTCATATTGTGTATAGGTTGTAACTTCTGTAGTCCCACAGTTCTTTTTAGGTTTTTTTTTTCCTATTTATTCTTGGAGGTTTCTATTATAATATCCTCAAGTTCAGAGATTCTTTCCTCAGCTGTGTCCAGTCTATTAACAAGCCTATCAAAGTATTCATTTCTGTTACAGCATTTTGATCTCTAGAATTTGCTAATGGTTCTTAGAATTACAGTCTCTGATTACATTGCCCATCTGTTCTTGCTGTTTCCTTTGTACATTGTAGGTTAAGTTAATTCATCAGGCGTTTTACACCACTAGCCTCCTGTGGCTATCACCTGTGGCCTTGATCATACTGATGCAGAAGGCAATTGGGAGCTTGGGTGCAGGGCCACGTGTGCCGATTGTGGACACTGGAGTATGGATGGTGTAGGTATGCATAAGAGCACACACCTGAGCCTAGAGGCCAGCGATATAAGGGCAGCAGCATTTAGAGATGGAGAACGGTTACTGGAAGACGAATGACTATAGAAGCGGCAAGACCACAAGAGAACGCCAGAAAGAGCTCTGAGAAAGAAGACCCAGAGTAAATAGGCCTTTACCATGGGTGTGGGGAGGGAGGCCTTCTCCAGCCCTGGCATAGGTCATTCTTACAATCAGCCTCTGTCTCTGCCATGTGACCTCACCCATGTTCCTGAACATTTTCTGCCCCCTTTAGGGGTGCCAGGATGGCTGAAGTGGGCTGCCTCTAGGTGGCATAGGTTCTGATAATGCTCCATCTGGTCAGATCTGGGCTCATCAGTTTCCCCTGAGCTTGCCTTGTTAAGATCTTAATGCTCTGGTAGAGCTAAAAGTGACTGCTTTCCTCTCCCTGAGTAGGGAGCACAAAAGGGCAAAATTTGTAAAAATGCAGGATGGCCCTCAATGACTGGGTGTAGGGTAAGGAAAAATATCAGGCTTTTCTGCCCTCCCGCCATTAGGATAGATGACAGAACCCTGCGGTCCTGAATGCATGCCTGATGGCGGGCACCTGGAGTAGGGTGTGGGCATAGGTAGATGGGATTCACCTGGGCTGAGACTGTGCTTTTAAGGGCGGCGTCACGGGGACGCCAGCAGAAGCCAAGAGAAGGCTGGAGAGCCCAGAGTGAAGACCTCCTGGGGTCTGGGAGGCCTGCCAGCCTACCGGTCCCCCAGCACCCCTGCCTGCTGTATGCCTGGTGTAGGGTAAGGTAAAAGGTATCTGGCTTCTCTGCCCTCCCGCCATCAGGATAGATGAGGGATCCCTGTGATCCTGAATGCATGCCTGATGGCTGGCACCTGAAGTGGGTACACCTGCACTAAGACTGTGCTTTTAAGGGCGGCGTCACAGGGACGCCAGAAGCTGGGAAAGCAGCAGCAGAAGCCGAAAGAGAAGCCGAGAGAGAAGCAGAGAACTCCAGAGAGCCCAGATAGAGTGAGGATTTGCTGGGGGCTGGGAGGACTGCCAGCCTCCCGGCCCCCCAGCACCCCTGCCTGCCATATACCTGGTGAACCCCAATAAAAGACCTGCAAAAAACCACTGAGGACTCTGACTCCTCCTTTACCCGGTCTGCATGGGATCAGAAAACCTGCACTGTGTCCTGTCCTGCCTTTACACCTGGTGAACCCCAATAAAAGACCTGCAAAAACCACTGAGGACTCTGACTCCTCCTTTACCCGGTCTGCTGGATCAGAAAACCTGGCCTGTGTAGTTCCTGCCTCTACACTGGGTTGCCCAGTTTTTCTCTTATTCATGTCCAGACTATTTGCCAGATCAGGTGTAGGGGCAGGAATGGACACAGTGCAGGTTTTCTATGACCCAGCAGACCAGATAAAGGAGGAGTTAGAGCCCTCAGTGGCTTTTTGCAGGCTTTTATTGGGGTTTACCAGGTACACAGCAGGCAGGGGTACTGGGGGGCCAGGAGGCTGGTGGGCCTCTATCTGGCCTCTATCTGGGCTCTCCAGGCGTGCTCTCCCTCTACCCCTCTCCCCCCCCCCCCCACTGCATCTTGGCTTCTCTTTTGGCTTCTACTGGCATCCTCGTGACGCCACCCTTAAAAGCACAGTCTTAGCCCAGGTGAATCCTATCTACATCCGCCCACACCCTACTCCAGGTGTCCGCCATCAGGCATGCATTCAGGACTGCAAGGATCCATCATCTATCCTGATGGCGGGAGGGCAGAAAAGCCTGATATTTTTTCCTTACCCTACATCAGGTTTTCCTCCCTACTGTTCCCAAAGTTATTTGTGCTCACTGGTTTCTGCTTCAGTCTACCATGATTCTCTGCATTTGCCTGTTGGTGTCTCCAAATTTAAGGAATAACAGTTTGTCCTACCACTCCACCTCTCTGATGGATCTAAGAAGAATTGTTGCTTTTTCTGTTTGTTAGGATGGATTGACAACTTCCAGCTTCTTACATGCCTGACTGGTAAAGAAACACTTTTTATATAGTTGTCTAATCATTAATGGAATATACACATTGTCCAATTATTTGTAATTCCTTCTACTCTCAGTAATTAGCTCAACCCCTAAGCAGGAAAATCTCCAAATTCATGCTTCAAATTTTTCTAGGCTATATACTTGGATGAGTTTTCTGAAATTATGTAGAATTTATGGATTAAAGCAGCTAGCTGACATTTTATCATAGCAAGTCTTCCCAGTGAGTCTTCCCATCAATAAATATGGGATAATGCTTCATCTAGCCAGACCTTTTTTATTGTTTATTTTGTAATTTTCTCTATAAATGTACTGCTTATCTTTTGTCTTTTGTTAGTTCAAGTCCTACATATTTAAAGTTGGGTTTTGTTTTGTTTTGTTTTTTGCCTTTTTGCTATTTTGGAGAGACTTCTTGTTATATTCCTATTTGGAAACTCCTGAGATATTGGAACAATACTGATTTCTAAATGTCATCTGTAATGCAGCAACATTGTTGAATTTCTGCCAATTTTAACTGTCTATAGTTGTAGATTTTATTTTAAGATTTATTTATTTATTTATACAAGCACTGGGTACAGTCAGAAGTGCGGGAGGGTGAGAGAATTCACCAGAGACAGAGTGGGGAGCAGAACAGGCAGACCGGCGAAACACACTGCTGAGGGGAGCAGCTGGAGTGGCAGGAGAGGTCTGCGTGCCATGTGGGCCCTCGCTGGCGGCCGGGGATTGAACTGGTGCTGCAAATGCTGTGGGCAGCTTCGCAGCCCAGGGCTCAACCGCTGTGCTACCAGGGAGGACCAGCTGTAGATATTTTTGAAGTCTCCTGGCTTTTATTTTTATTCACATGTATTTACAGAGAATAGTTTCCAACAGCAACAATTCTTGAACCCATGAAGCCAAGAGACATTGATGTCCTTACATTTGACTCAACACCAAGGTGCTTAATGAATTCCATTTGGCTTCTACCTTTGAGTTAATTAAATAGTATTTTGAACAAAAATTGCTTTGTTAGGTAAAGGGTAAGCCACAAAATGGCTGATAACCAATTTTAGAAGTGTATGATAGGAAACAATTAAAAATTACCTAACCCAATAAGCCAGTATTTGAGGTTAGAAAACTGAGACCCAAGAGAACAGGTGGCATGCTCAAGACAGCCCAGCTAGGCTTTGACCTGGCACTCCTTTTAGCTGGATATCAGGCTCATCTGGAGAAGCACATTGGGACTTGTTTTAGGATGATCAAATCCTAGTTTCCAGAAATTGGCCTTCTGTTTTGAATAGGTGTAGACAGCACTTGACTTCATGCTACATGTGTATCTGACAATTCCATATGAAGTTTTTGCTCTTTGGGAAAGAGCTGACCTTTAGCTGGTGTATGAGTACAGAGTTCAGTGCCAACATGTTTAAGTGCAATATTTATTCTTGAAGTTGCCAGCTTCAGCTAATTGCACATGTAAAAGATAAGACACCATTTCAAAGAACTGCATATTGCAATGAGACCATAGGCTGATTTCATTGTATTTGTTCCCACTTAAGGACAAGTGACCACAATGGCAAAAGCATATTGGTAATATTTAATGGTTTTCCCCCAAATTGTAATAATTTGCTAATTGTTTTATAATTATGTATTTTGAAGAGCACATTGTCACACTCTCCACCAAAGCTTCAGTGCCAAAACCCTATCACTTCCCCTCCCCCCAACCCTCTGGTATCCAGTCTATTTTTCAGAGTCTAGGAATTATTTTTGCTTTGCTCTTTTTACATGTATGGGGGGGGCAGTAGGGTTATTTATATATATATATATATATTTTTTTTTTTTACTTTTTTGGTTATTTATATTCCACAAGTGAAAATATCTGTTGACTTTTTTTCTGACTTATTTCACTTACCATAATCACCTCAAATTCTATCCATTTTGGCCCAAAAAGCATTATTTCATCTTTAATAGCTGAGTAGTATTCCACTGAGTATATATTCCACAACTTCTCAATCCAGTGGTCTGTCAATAGACATTTAGGTTGGTTTCATGACTTGGCAATTGTGAATAATGCTGCTATGAACATAGATAAGCATGCATGAATCTTTCTAGTTGTGGTTTCTTATTCTTTGGGTGTAGATGTGCAGTTTTCTAAATAGACAATCAAATTGACTGAAATAGATGACATTATATATCATTCTTTCCAATTTTTAGATCCATAATTTCTGATTGTTGCTTTACTGCATTGGCCTCAGTACTATGTGGGACAGAAGCAGTGACAATGGCATTCTTCTCTCATATCTAACCTAAAAGTGATTTTAAAGTTTCACCATTAAGCAATATGCTATGTGGTTTTGATAGATACTTTAAAATTTGCTTAGATTTTTCTTACTATAAGTGAGTGGTTAATTATACTAAATGATTTCATTACATCTGTGTAATCTTCACAGATTTTTCACCATGGATTTTTTTTTTTTTTCTCCTTCCATCATTTAATAGTGATTTCATAGTTGTTTGTTTGTTTGTTTGTTTTTCTTATCTGATGGTACCTTTGCATTCCTGGAATAAACTACACTTGGTCTTTTCTTTCATTTTCCTTATCTACTTTAGTTTTAAGGGTAAACTAGTCTTATAAGAAGGGTCAGGTGGCTTTCATTTCTGTTGGAAATAATGTCTATGTGTGTGTGGGGTGATTATATGGAGAAGGAAGGTAAGGTGGGAGGGAGGGAAAGAGGGGGAGGAAAATAGAAAATATGAACACGAATGAATGTTTGTTGTCTTTTCAGAGGATAGATGATAGTTGTGAAATACTTTTGATACCATTTCAATTTTTAAAAAATTATTCGCCACTCTTTATTTCCAAGTGTACCTTCTGAGAACTCAAGATATTAAGTAAAGGAAGCAAAAACTTCCATAGATATCACAGATAAGTGTCCCTGGAGAGTATTTGGTATAAACTAACAATGTTGAAATGACACAAACGTGAGCACTTTGTTCTGAGTACTGTGGGTGCAGTGGTGTTGGAAAGGGTAGGTTACAGGGAGAGGGGAACAACCTATAAACCACAACATCAGCTTTCACTTTATTTTGGTTTATCTACTGTGACACATTCAAGTAGAGACAGAATTATTACTATAATGTCATCCAAAATTTCTTCTAACAAAATGCTTGAATGTCAAATGAGAAATCTCGTACCCAATTTTTAAAAGAAATACGAAATTAAAAAGAGCTTAATTCTGGAGTCATAAAACCTGGGGCCACTGTGCAAGCTACTTTCTTATTTTTGTCTTCAAGGCTATAAAGATTCCTGCTCTTTTTGTACTTGACTAAAACTGGCAATGTGAATGAACAGTAGTAAATTAGATGATTGCTTACAGATGTAAGGAAATGCACTCTTGCTAGAAACTTGGAAACATCAAGGAGAACTTCAAAGCAAGGCCACCCTTCAGGCATCATAGTCCATTGATGGGAAATTGCTAAATTCTTTATCTAGCACTTCAGTTCTTTTAAAAGCTAAATATTCCAAATGCAAATGGCTAAAACTTTAAAGTCTCCTGAAACCTAAGACCCTAAACAATGTTTGTTAAAGCATATTCCAGGAACCATCTCCATCAACACTTTTGGGCTAGCTTGAAAAGTCCAGATTTCTTGGCCAGCACCCCAGATCCATTAAATAAAAAACTTTTGAGAGCTTCCAAGATATTGCATTTTAATGTTTCTAACTCCCTCACCCCTACCTTCCAGTAACTTCTGTACACAGCTAAGCATGAGAACACAATCCCTAAAGCATGTTTAATCAGTTATCACCATCATCATCCAAAAGCAATTAACAACATTTTCTCTGGACACATTTTGGAAGGGCCTATCCCTACCTTAAAAAATATCCTTTATATTTTTAAAAAAGACACAGATGAATTTACTTTATGTAGATTTTTGTGTTTCTTAAAATTTATATTATAGGCATACATACACTGAGGTTATATAATTGATATGGCTCTAGTTTATATAGGATATTATTTATTTCTATTTTGGGTATTTTCATAAGAATTACAATAAAAATTGTAAATAAGTCTCATAATTTCATTTAATTTAAAGTGAGGTGCATTTGTTTTTTTTCTAGGAATTATCAGCTTCAGCAAGAATATGTATTATGTCTCAAGAGCAAATGGTTATCTAATAAAAGTTGTAATAGAAAACCTAAATGAATAATCAAACAAGTTTTAATGGAAAACTTTACTGAAGTAAACCAAAGTTTACTTCAAAATCACCAAAATAAATATGAGAGCAACTAAATGAAAACTTCTACAATTTGATTTACTGGTGAAGCACTTATTAAAAGGGACATAATTAGGGCAGATGAAAATGAAATAGAAGGGTTGGCAACTGAAATATTTCCAAAAAGGGATGAAATGGTTGAAATAATTAGCATGATGACAATTTCAACAGTCATCGCAGATGAAAGACAGATGAGACAATGATGGGAAAGATGGGGGAGAGATGGTTCAGTCAAAACAAAGCACTACCATTTCTGCTATAGACATACATTTGTTCATTCAGATTTATCCATTTAGTGATGCTTGATGACTTTTACTAAGTTCTTGATGACTTTTACTAAGTTCTCTAACTTCTGAACATTTTGTTCTTTTCCCACAGGGAATCTCTTAGTTATAACATGTGTTAGCTACTTTGGAGCCAGACTTCATAGACCAAAAATAATTGGAGCAGGGTGCCTCATCATGGGGGTCGGAACTTTGCTCATCGCAATGCCTCAGTTCATCATGGAGCAGTGAGTCGAAAGCCGTCAACTTTTGCTTGCTTTATTTCTCCCATTTTACGATAATAATTTAAATTTCAGTTACTTTTTTTATTACATTCTCTTGGGGCAAAAATTCAGAACACTTACAGTTTTACTTGTGATTTAATGTAAAACCAACACTATACTACTACATATGGATGTCAACAAGGTAAAAGGGAGGTTTTTACTACTAAGTTCTCATTCAAATGCTTTAATTAGCTATGGAGCCAAATTTTTAAGTAAAAAGAAATTAACATGTTATGTGGTATCACTACAGACAAAATGCTGCATCATGGTGCACTGGAGTAGCCGACAACTGAGTGATATGTTACCAACACAAAGAACAGTCAATGTCCAATAAGCATCTCACAGGCCTTTCTCAATAGAATTCTACTTTTGTTAGTTTTGTTAGTACTTGCATACATAAATTTTTAGTAGATATAAAAGTTTTCACCTTTTTTAAATATCATTTTACCCTTGCAATAACTCATGAGACCCGCAAACATAATTTATCCTTTTATTGTAGATCTAAGGACCATTATTTTAAGAGTTTGTGGACTTCGTCAAAGTTACGTGCCTTATGAATGTAGAAACAGAACCCTAAAACAGGTCTTCTGATTTCTCCTGCAATATCCTTCATGCCTATCCCTATTACCACCTTCTCTGTCATTATCTTTTGCTGTCTGATGGAAGGTACTGTGAGGTTTTGAAGCAAGAGAACGTTATAGAAAATTCTGTATCAAGTAAAATTATCACCCACTCTAGATCACTGTATCATGACATTTGCTCAAGAGCCTTAGAAATTATCTGGTTCAAAGATTTTTCTCAGATTTCCAGGAAACTTATATAAATAGAGTCAGATTAGTCAGATTTTGACCTCTGTGTCCAACCTCTAAAGGCAGTGCATGGAATCCTCTGAATGGGATCAAATCTACCTTCTGGATATTTCCCCTGGTCCCCTAGCTCTTTACTTGCCATTTAGACACCTCTCTACCTGTTTCCCACTGGGCAGTGTGTGGGGCCAAGGTGTAAGGAGGCACTGTGTGGGGCCAGTGTGTAAGGAGGAAGCAAAGGAAAAGGCCAAGGACATGAATCTTCCATCTGCCTTAAGCCCTGCTTGAGCCACAGCTGTACCACTGTGATCAGTTCTCTTCACTGAGCCTGTATGCAATAGTTTGCTCAGGTATAAAAGAGTTCCCCTTCTAAAAGATTAAAAATTTGGAAGTTGTTGCAAAGATAGATAAACCCTTGACTCTTGACATATCCTTATTCTGCAGTGGATCAGTAGCCCTTATATGTGACTTTTGACACTTAACTTTTCTAGGTCTTGGTTACTGTGTCTTTTTTTATTTTAAAGATTTAACTTATTTATGCATACAAAAGCTGGGGTACAGGCCAGAGACGCAGGGGGTGAGAGGATTCACCAGAGACAGAGTGGGGAACAGAACAGGCTGACTGACTGAAACACACTGCTGAGGGGAGCAGTGGGTGAGACAGGAGAGGTCTGCTTCGGCATGTGGGTTGCTCCCTGGCTGGCCGGGGATTTAACTCATGCTGCAGAGGCTGCGGTTTGCTTCATAGTGTGGTGCTTAACCCCTTGTGCCACCAGGGAGGCCTTGGTTACTGTGTCTTAAAGGCATATTAAAAAATAGTATCTAGTGCATAGTGTTGTTGCTGATATTAAGTGAGATGATATGGGTGAAGAGCTCACTGAAACACTAGAAGAGGATCTAAGAGAAGGTCAGTCAGGACACCAGTTCCAACAAAAGATACTAACTGGTCAAAGAGTCTTGTCCACCACCTTTACTATCCTGAAGTATATATTTGTTCATTCATTATTGAGAGTCTGCCATTGGTCTGGTACTATGCCAGATAATGGGACTACTTCAGTGAAAAAAAAAAATAACCATAAAAACAATACACACAATTTTTGCTGTTCCTTATAAAGCTTGATGTCTACAGAGGATTATTATAACTTCTTTTCAACCTCTTTACCCTTAGGCACTAAATGGACACTTGTCCAAAATGTAATTTTTTGTTCTCTAAAAGACTGCTATACTCTAACAGAATTTCCTTGGTGTTCAACAAAATGTAGTATTCCTCATAGATATAAATTATTGAGGGCATATTCCCAACAAGCTGTGTTTACCTCTGTGTTTTAGCTCATCTGACTCATAAATTAACAAGTACATAATGATTGCTCTTCCTGCGTAATGGGGATATAGTGACAAAAAAATCTCCATATTCAAGACAAGCAATAAGCAAGCAAATAATGATGTAGTTTGCCAGATATTAAGTACTATAAGGAAAACCACCCAGTGAAGACAAATAAGGAGTGTAGTAGGGTGGGGTGGAGTGGGGGGGAATTATAATTTAAAGTTGAATTATCAAGGGACAGCTCACTGAGATGATGGCATATGAGGAAAACTCTGAAAGAGGTGAAGGTGATAGCTAAGCAGCTATCTGGGGAAGAATATTCTAGGGTAAATAAACAGTGGATGAGGGCCTCCCCGGTGGCTCAGCGGTTGAGCGATGGGCTGCGAAGCTGCCTGCAGCCTCTGCAGCACCGGTTCCATCCCTGGCTGCTGGCGAGGGTCCCACAGCGCGCAGACCTCTCCTGCCGCCCGCTGCTCTCCTCAGCAGTGTACTTCGGTCCTTCTGCCTGTTCTGCTCCCCGCTCTGGCTCTGGTGAATTCTCTCACCCTTCCCGGCTTCTGACTGTACCCGGGGCTTGTATAAAATAACAAACAAACAAATAAATAAATAATTCTTTAAAAATAAATAAATAAACAGTGGATGAATGCAAAGTTCCTACATCCGGGGAGAGTCTGATGTGTGAACCACAAGAAGACTAAACAGCTGAAATGGGAGGAGCAAGGGAAAGGTATAAAGGGGAATGGGAAGAGATGTCAGGGCTGTTTCCCTGAGGCTCTTGGTAAAATGTAGATTCTGACTCAGTAGCACTGGGTGGAGCTAGAGAGTCAGCTGATGCTGCTGGCCTGCAGACACACTAGGCACATTAAGACCACAAACAACTGCAAGGATGTCAGTTCTTCCTTGGACTAGATGGGAAAGCAGTGAAGTTTTGAGCAGAGTGACATAAACTGACATATTTTTAAAGATGACACTGCTGCTTAGAAAAATGACCCTGGTGGGGATAACTTAAAAGCAGGAAGTCTATTTAGAAGGCTACTGTAGAATTTGATGTATCAGAATCAAGATTCTGTCAAACAGGGTTGGAATATAAGTCAGAAGTTGAAGTCCCTGCTTTAAGAGCATTTGTACATTTGTCCCCTAATTTAGTCATTTGTCTCTTAATCCATCAGAGCTTAAACAGATCTACATACCACATCTATGGATCCCATTTTATAACTAAAAACACTCAAATTTGAAGAAATTAGTTTATTTTTCCAGAGTATCATATTAGCAATTAGAGACAAAGGTGGTACTCACATAAAATCCCATTTACTGAGTCAAAATAATTACTATGCTTGCAACACTTGCCTTGTGATAGACTGAACTGAGAAAGCTCAAATAATTAAAAATTGTCAAAATATTATCTAATCACTATATAATCACTATCAATGCTCGCTTTTAGAGCATTTGAGACATTATTAACAGTTCCTGGTATCTCTGGAATTATTAGCAAAAGAGAAGTACTTGCTGTGATTTCTTCAATGCTCAATGTTCTCCTGTGTTGCTAAGTTATCTTCAGTAAGTGGCCCTTAACCTATTAGCCAGGGAACCTTTTGATAAGAATGACAAAAACTGAGTCTCTTTCCTTAAATATTCATCCACATACAAAATTCTCACTTATTTGGGGGGGGGGGGTTGTGAACCCATCAGGCATAGGTTATGAAAAATAATATAAGGTGGGCCTCCCTTGGTGGCGCAGCGTTTGAGCACTGGGTTGTGAGGCTGCCCACAGCCTCTGCAGTGCCAGTTCGATCCCCAGCCACCGGCAAGGGTCCCACAAAAAAAAAAAAAAAAGGAAAATAATATATAAGGTAACACTTTACTAACCTGCATATTCTAATAAGTCAATACATCTTTTCCTGATCATGCTAAATAAACAGGTTTTTACTATTAACATGTCTGAGACATTACAAAGATCACTAGATGTCAGTCACACAGTACCTGAACAAAATGAGAATCAAGGTGCTATGATGATCTCTTACCAGGTACCTCTTCCCTGAGGTGGAGTAGAGAAATGGGCTCAAGAGGGATCATTTGAGGGGCCACGTGGAGCCTGAGGTTGTCAGAGTTATCACGATCCTTGGCCCTTCAACCAGCTGCATTGTCATCTTTGAAACAGAAGACAGTGGAATTAGGAATAACTTAACCCTTAGAGAAAAAAGGATGCCATCTGGATAGCTCAAAAAGCATACATGTTCTTATTCTTTAGATTCAGCGATGCTGTTTTTCTATTAAATTCACAGGTCTAAATACAGTGTGCCAGTGGCTGGAAGCTGTTAAATTACTGCTTTTCCTCTGAATCAGATAATAATTTTAGTGAAATACTGGGTACTTGTTCACTAGGGAGTAGGTTATTTATAATCATTGTTTTATATTGCAGTGAGCCCCTCTGAATAATCTTACCTTTTTTTTTTTTTATTACACTGAGTAAATTGTCTGCTTTAGATACGGAACAATACCTATGAACCACCTCTTCTGGATGTCTCTTTAGCACAAACTCTGCTTGTTGAATGCTGTTTTGGTTTGGTGATTCACATATAGCTGCAAACTCAGCCTGGCACCCTAAGTTATGTAGCTACATAAAATATTTCTAGCTTGTTGTTAAATGCTCTGCAGTCAAAAACATTTGTTTTATGCAGGTACAGGTATGAAAGGCATTCTCCTTTCTCCAATTCCACTCTGAGCATTTCTCCATGTCTCCTAGAGTCAAACAGTCAAAGACCAACCTCAGTTATGGAAAAACCACAATCCAAAATAAGTAATGGTAAGTTATTTTTTTTTAATTTGGTCACATATATCACCTTGGGGTCCTTATGTCCACATTTGTGTCCTTTGAGCATAATTGCTAGAGAGGTGATCATCTTGAATACATGGAAATTGACTTTCTACACAGGATAGTGTGCAAGGGATAGTGTTAAAATGCCTAGACTTGCATATGGCCAGCGCATGTTGACAGCGATGCTACATGGGAGCCATCCTTGGGAATACAGGGAGTATTTTTTTAATTTATGTATTTTTACATTGTTCATTTTTGTGCAGTGTTTGATTTCTCCTCTCAGGTGTTGTCCCCATAAAATTACTACCACCAAGATACTCATGACCATCACCCTAGACTGGTACTCTCTCTTCTGCATCACAGTAGATATTGAAATGCCCATGAGGAGACTAAGTCAGGATGTAGCTATTTCATATTGGGGTTTTGTTAACTCCCTAGGTTTTACCTGGCTAAGGTGGCACAGGTTCTCTTTGTTCATAAAATCTACTGCCATGTCACCAGGCGCAGAAACTCAAATCCCCTCTTGCCACAGCCCTTCAGCATCAATACACTCCACGCTTCCTCCATGTCACCCACCAACCCACTCCCTACTCCCTAACCTGAGGAATCAGATTCTATCTCATAGAAGTAAGCCTTTTTTTTATATACCTGCTATCCATACAAATCTTTCTTTTATATACCTGCTATCCATACAAATGTTTCACTCCCCTAATAGCCTCCTCAATGCTGTCTCTTGATACATCTTTGCCATGGGCAGGGAACACTAGAGGTCTTGCTGCTAGAGTAAAGGGAAGGGTCAGAGATAAAACATGGAAATTTGAGGGAAGAAATAAGAACGCAAACATGTAAAAAAAAAAAATTTACCCTGTCCTGCTGTATTAAAAGAAGAGTATTCTAAAAGAGGAGAGTGTAAAAGAGGTAATAGATACATTTAGGAGGACAAATATAAATCAATGGACCAGGGCAGAGGGCTTATTTATGTAAGAATATAATAGATAATAAATTTAATTCAGGGCCACAAAAAGAGACAAAAATAGAGAGTTTGGATTTTCATCTGTACATAATATATAGTCACTGAAAGTATTTTATATTGTATTTATTTTTAACAATTAGGAAGAGGCATACAAATAATGATACAACAAAAGAGGAAATATCCTTTTTTATTGAGGCAACATTGGTTTACAACACTGTATGATTTGGGGGCACAGGTTCACAGCTCTTCAGATGTCTGTCACCACACCGCAGCTACCGCCAAGGTCCCCAAAGTCCTTTATCATCGACCACTGGCTTCCCTCCCTACTTTGCTCTCTCCTCTATCCTTCCTCCCCTGAGAATTCAATTTTTAAAAGCCTAAATTCTTCAAAGCTGTACTTTATTTATAATTTATTTATATGAAAGGAATTATCCTACTTTACATGACCATGTTATCACATGACATATAAAAAGCATTTTAAAATTGTTAGCGTTGTATTTTACTGGAACATTATATATAGTTTCTAATTTTATATGAATTGTTTCCTAAAAATGTTTATTCATTAGTAAACAATTGTAGATTTTTTTCCCTTTTTTAAATTATATGTATATATATATATATATATTTATACATATTTTACATCATTGTTCATTTTTGTACAATGTATGCTTTTTCCCCTCAGGTATAGTCCCCATGAAATTCCCACCACCAATTCACCCGTGCACCGTCACCACAGTCCCTTGTGTTCTTCCCTCATATTTTGATCCCTCTGCCTCCCGCTCCTTTGCAGAATGTCTGATTTATAGTTGCCTGCTAATTTTGTATTTTTTTCAATTTATTATCATTGATATTTTTTTCCTGATCCCTTATTTGGTTCCCCTATATTCCTCCTATAAGTGAAACCATCCAATATTAAACAATTGTAGTTTTAAGCAATAATACACAATATTTTGAACTTCAGATAAAACATCATCAGTGATAAAAAGAAATTGTTACTGAAAAAAAAAAACTGTTCAAAATTTTGTGTTTTGTCCCAGATAGGACACTAAATATTAATGGAATATAGGAATTCGGAGAACTTAGTGCAAATATGAACCGTTGAAAAAGAGACTAAAGAGGAACAAACAAGAAAAAATAGCATTCCTTAGTCAAGTCTGCAGGATTTAACTGTCTAAAATATTGAGGTTACAAAACATATTCCATTCTTGCTCAAACTGCTATCAAATTGTGTTTATTGCAAATTTCACTTCTACATTCTAATCCAATTTAATACAGAATAAATATTTGACTTTGATAGTGATCTAATTTTAATCCTTTTGGTTTGCTTTTCTTTCAAGAATGTGAAATTGATGCCAGTTCATCCATGTGGATTTATGTTTTCCTGGGGAACCTTCTGCGTGGAATTGGAGAAACTCCCATACAGCCTCTAGGCATTGCCTACCTTGATGATTTTGCCAGTGAAGAAAATGCAGCTTTCTATATTGGTAACATCAACCTCATTCATCTTCATGGGAAGCACTGAGCTCTTCTTTCTTAATTGTAAACTAAATAGTATGTGGAAGGTTTTAGGTTTCACATCCAACTCCTTTATTCAGCTCACACATTTCAGGAGTCCACAGGGAGGTTTTGATAATGAAGAAACTTCAACTGAAAGGATCTATTGCATTAGGGAAAACACATCTGATTATAACTGAGCTCATGTCTATTGTCTTTTAATGATGTGTAACCATGTACAAATATTTCCATGGATTTCATATTTCACAGTTTTTTGGTGTCTTTTTTTTTTTACTGGATTAACTGTACCGATGAAACATTCAGGTTATTGCATTTTTAAAAATTCACTTCCATAGCCCTAGAAACCCCTGTCTTATAAGCCCTGACTATTTAAAGCATCTTTTTCCTATGAGGACTAGACAAGGAATTCTGAGATTTAAATAGCAGTCAGCAAGGGATTAAAAAAAAAAGTAAGGTCTTGTATTTAAGGACAAAAACCAGGTCTGAGGCTACCTAATGTCTGACACTTGTCCCAGTTGCTAGACCAGCAGCTAAAATAACAAAACCTGAACTATAACAAAGGCCAAGCCTAGCTACATCTAAGCATTCCGTGCTTCCCAGAAACTAGAAGATCCAGGGATGGCTAAAATCTGTTCTGGTTTCACACATCGTCTTCCAGTTTTACTCTTTTGAGGACTTTGCCTTCAGAGACAGAAGGACAAGATTTAAGTTCATCAAGGGGACTAGAGCTAGGTCCACTGTATAGTCCCACTTGGTTATGCACACATACCTCCAAAAGTGGCCAAGGGGGCCAATCAGAGTCAAGGAAGCAGTAGTTACAAACACAGCACCTGCTGTAAAGGAAAACTACAGCATATGTCAGAGCTGGAACTGGAACAGAAGCTCCGGCCCACATGCCAGGCAGTTACTATGGGGAGTAGAGAAAAATGCAGCCAAGAGAAGTAGGAGGTGTCTAGGTGTCCCTTTCCTCTCCAGGAGCTCAGAAACTGCTCACTCTCGCCACCCTTTTTCTATCCAAAAAAAGTGTCTGCCAACTACTTACTCCTCCAACGAGTTTTAATCTCCCAAGGATATGTGTGGCATGAGCTCTAGGAGGAAATGCAAGGCGAATGGGAGATGGTTTGCAGGGAAGGGCTATGTCCTGGCTAGAGGGTGCTGTCTGGGCAGCCTGTTCAACTTACCTGACGAAGCTGCCTAGGCAGGCCATGATCTTTCTCCCTGCAACCAAGTCTAACTCCTTTGCTATTGCAACCTCTAAACACGTGCACTTTTTCCTAGTGTGGAAGAGATCAATTTTAATATCAAATTAAGCCTTATATTTAATTGACCATAAAAAGTTCCTGAAAGCCTTTCAAAATTAGTATAATTCTGATTTTTATCAGTGGGGGGGAATTTAATCCTAGGAGTAAAGTTTGTTCCGTTTTGGGAAATTAACTTCTTTTCAGTCTTGATGTTATTTTCTTACTAAGAGGTAATGAATGCCTTGAAAGTGCTCATTCTTCTTCCAAAGCTAAGGACTTATTTCCTGATTCAATGAGGTTGAAAAATTTGGCAAATTAAACACTTGTAAGTGAGGAGTTGATGAAATATTTTCAGCTACTAATTGGATCTCATATTTCTTGTTTAAAGATTTACTAATTTATAAAAGCAAAGAAACAGCACTTTTTTTTTTTTTTTGGTGCAGGGTGTGTGCAGACGGTTGCAATTATCGGACCAATCTTTGGTTTCCTCTTGGGCTCATTATGTGCCAAACTGTATGTTGACATTGGCTTTGTAAATCTTGGTAAGAGAGTTTATTTTTATTTATTCATTTATTTTACTATAATTTTTAAAAACAAGGATGGATGATAATCTTTCATAAAATGAAAATAATCTATAGAAAATGTGTTCTTGATATAGGAAATAGTTGAGTAAAACTGGATGGCGCATGGTTGGTTATTCACGTGTATCCCTTTTCACTTCTCATTTGACAGTTCAAACACGTTCCAACATAGTTGAGACTCAAAACTGTGGCTACTTGTTGGTTTCAGGAATATCAACATTTATTGCAGTCCCATCAATTGATCATGTATTCATGAACTTGAAAAAAAAAAGGCCAACACTTTTATTTATTTTCTTAAGTTAATTTTTGGACAGTATCTGATTGCTCCCCTTGCGTGCAAGTCCTATAGTACTCCCACCAGCACAGCACCAGTGATCCATCTTCCCCATCTCTTTTCCTCTTCCTTCCCCTGTTTTGACCTCTCTTCTTTCCCTTCCCTTGCTGTATGCCTCTGATCTATGGTCAGCTTGCAAGTTTTGTCTTTTTCCTGGCCCTTTGTTCAGTTTCTCTATATTCTACATGTAAGTGAAACCATCCAATATTTATCTTTTTCCTTCTGACTTAGTTCACTTAGCATAATTACTTCAACCTCCATCCATATTGCTGCAAATGGCATGAGTTTTTTGATCCGCTCATCTGTTTTGGGACATCTGGATTGTTTCCATATCTTAGCTATTGTAAAAAGGCTGCACGACTTTAATGTAAAGGCTTATGATAGTGATACTAGTTTTCCTTCTGGAAGGGAGCTTCTGTAAGGAATAAATGGGGAACCTTAGCTTTCCACAGGTGTTAATTTGTTTCTTGTAAGATGTACCTTCTTGAGATGTTTTTTTTTTTTTTAAGAAAAATTTTTTTGCCTGTTTTATCTTCTTAAAATTGAAATTTCATGTTAAAGTCAGTTTGGGTTAAAATAGAATGGAATACTCTTGCACTACTTGTTCTTTTTTAATCAACTAAACCATGAGACACATTCCAAAAAGTTCATTTATTCATTCATTCTCCCAAAACTTGTTTTACATCTACATTATCCCAAGTGCTGGTGTGCCTATGGGAATAAAAAAATTGAGTTTCTTGACTTCATAAAGTTTAAAATCTAATCATGAAGACTGATACAGATAAAATGTAAGTGTGATGTGTGGTACAGAGTTAAACTGCTAAAATTAAGGGATTGCAATTAATGTATAGTGAGATAAGCTAGTATCAACATTTTACCAAGTATAATGTCAGAATTGAGCCTTATTGTCAGAGGACAAATGTTTAATTTTGTTGCTTTCATAGACTGTGGTACAAGGTTAGTAATAAATTTTACAGGGGTTTTTTTGTTTGTTGTTTTTAAAAGATTTATTTATTTATTTATTTAAACAAGAACTGGGGTACAGGCCAGATTCGCAGGAGGGTGAAAGGATTCACCAGAGACAGAGCGGGGAGCAGAACAGGCAGACCGACAAAATACACTGCTGAGGGGAGCAGCGAGCATGACAGGAGAGGTCTGCCATGCCATATGGGACCCTCGCTGGCTGGCGCCTCACAGCGCTGCGCTCAACCACTTGTGCCACCAGGGGAGGCCCCTTAGAAAAAGAACCTACTTGATTTGTTTCAAGAAACTTTGTCAAAAATTACAACCTTTTCATCAATTAAGAAATGGTTATTAAAAGTATTTTATGGTAAGATAGTTATTTTATTATCAAATCTTGCTTCAAACCTAGAATAGCTCTGTAGTTTAACTAACCATCATTTAATAAGTCATATTCTGAGTGACTCTGAACAAATCTTAGGTAGCTGGGAAATATGTAAAACCAGGTGAAAAGGGACTGGTATGGAGAAGCTGGCAGGTTTTGAGGCCTCATAATAATCCCTCACGTTACCTTCTTTTGGCCACTGACACAGGGGTCCCTCTGCAGAACCCCAGAACAGAGTTTACAACCAAAGGGTCCCTTCTAATATTTTGACTCTATACTATCAATTTAAGAGCAAAGGAATAAATCCTCATGTATTAGGACCATCCTCTCTTTCACAAAACAAGGTAATGTTCCTATGAGAAAAAGTTACCATCTATGAATTATTAGGTATGTTTATGATATGATACAGCTAATGCATTAGTTTCGCCATCTGTTCTATTTGGCCATCCTTTTTTTTTTTTTTTTTTTTTTCAGATCACATAACCATTACCCCAAAGGATCCTCAGTGGGTAGGTGCCTGGTGGCTTGGTTATCTAATAGCAGGAATCATAAGTCTTCTGGCTGCTGTGCCTTTCTGGTGTTTACCAAAGAGTCTACCAAGACCAGGAAGGAGAAAGGATTCCAATTCCTCCTGTGAGAAATCCAAGTTTATTATGGATGAACATACTAACTACCAAACACCCCATGGAGAAAAGACAAAAATAATAGAGATGGCAAAAGGTGAGCCAGCTTCCCCTTGATCTTGAAGAATTGTTTTCCTATTGGGACTTTCAGGATATAGAAATAACATAACTAATTCACTCACTGTTTTCCTTTCAGGTGTTAGAAAAAAATTTAGAAACGATAGGAAGTGGAAATGAAAATCAGAAAGTCAGCTCTATTACTGGAAAAGTGACTGAAAAACATGACTCTGTATCTTGACATTCTTCCTTGCTGAAATGTCTACACTTAAAACGCCTCAGTTTAAACCTTGTGGCTGGCCCTACCTGGGATTGCCGCTTTGCCTCAATCTAGGTGGACAGGAAGGAATGAATCCTCAGGGCTGGTGGCCTTTTTTTCAGAGTAGACCTACCTATTTGAGAAAGATACACCAGTGTATCTTTGCTACCAATGATCAAAGGAGTGAGAGTGGTAGGGCAAAAGGCCAGTTGTGGTCTAATGAACTCCTTCCACATACAACGAGAAATGTTGGTCTTTGCTCATCCTTCTCCAGCAATATTTACATTTATAGAAAGTCTTCACATTTCCAACTGGCGGCATAATTAAAAGGAAGAAGGGAGAATGTCAAAGCTAATTTTTCACACTAATTAATTGAAAATAATTTTCATATTCCATTCCCTGTGACCAGGACCCAATTTTGAAGAAAAGAGCCCAGAAAACTGGAGTTCTTAATGTTCTGCCTAGGGTTCCCAGCTCCCTTTTATCTTTTACCTACACCAGTTAGAGGAATCTATTCCTGTCTGACTTGCAACTTTAGCCATAATCTGGATTTTATGCCTGCAAAAGTGTGTGCCTGTGTTTGGATCTGAACCTGGCCAAATTTCAGCCTGAACGGGTGCCAGTGACTTAATGTCCCTGGCATGTATATTCCACTGTCCATGCTCCTGATGACCATGACGGTGGGACTCAACCACTCAAGCCCCACTGCTAGGGCTGCATCCTCTGCCAATTATGCCACTGTTGTGACACCATTGCATTTTTGTTTTACAGATTTCCTTCCATCCCTGAAAAACCTTTTTGGAAATCCAGTGTACTTCCTGTATTTGTGTGCAAGCACTGTTCAGTTTAATTCTCTATTTGGCATGGTGACATATAAACCCAAGTACATTGAGCAACAGTATGGGCAATCATCTTCGAAGGCCAACTTTGTCATTGGTATGTCTGTCCGCCATGCTTTCTAACAGGTGTTATCTTAGCCTACTCTGGTTGACCCTTAGTAATTTAGAGAAAATTTTCCAATACTGGTTTTAGTTCAGAACTTGATTTTCAGAAGATATTTTTTCCTAGTGAGCATATATAATTTTCCTGTGACAATCTTGCATTATGAACATTTAGCATATGTGAATCTAATTTATTCTTAGTTTGGACTATTCTTCCATTAAATTCTCAGTGTTGAGAACTATCCCATTGATTTTTACTTTGAACATTAATTGGTTCCAATTAATTTATTTTTATTATTTCATGGTTGACTTGAAGAAATGTTTTAGGTTTATTTTGTCCCAACCATCCCATCCATGCCAACCAATGCATTTATTTGACTTGAAGACGTATAAAAGACGAATGACAGGTGCCTCCAGGGAACACATCTGGCACTTCTTCATTTAGCTTATTTTTATGGAAAACTGTGTGCAAGGAGCACAAGATTCCATTCTGAGCACAGTTCTTCTTTTGAAGGTTTGTTTGGAAGATAAGAGTTGCAAACCATACAAAGTGAATAGGTAATTGTGATAAATACAAAGGCTACTTCCTAGGATACCCTGTGTCCAGTCTCAGGCTGAGGGAGGAAAGTGGGGTCTAATGATCAAGGCACTAGTGTACCCTAGTGCCACATATGTCTCCAGAAGGACCACACAGCTGACAGGGCTGTGAATATGCTTTAGTTAAAGAGCAGTCCAAGGTACTCTGGGGACAAACCTAATTTTGAAGTCAGGAAGAATTCTCTAAAAGGTGTGATATAAATCAAGAGCATAAGGATAAGCAGGTGTTAAAAGATGAAAGTGTGGAACTGGGGTAAGAGTCTCGTAGGATGTTGTATTCAACAAAGCAAATATTTTGTGCAGAAAGGGCAAGAGGACACATAACTTCCTGGAAGTTTCAAGAGAACATAGGCCTCTAAAAAGAGGTCAATAGAGAGGATAGTCCTGATTCTGAACAATGCAAGAGTGATGAGGAGGAGTGATGCCCCTTAAAATAATCCCATTTGAATGTTCAGGCTCTTCTAAGGCCAGATAAGGTGAGAATGTCAGTGGAATCAAGCACACCAGGTAGCCACAAAATAAGGGTATACATTGTGCTAGGACTCCTAGTGTTCCAGGTTCAATTGGTAACTTACAAAACAAAATTCTAACCACATTCTCTGAAGGTTTCAGTTCAGAACCTGGTTTTCAGAAGATATTTTTTCCATGATTGACTTTTGGGAGGATAGAACTGAAAGGGAGAAGAGGAGCCTGTTCTTTTGTGTTCAAAGTCAGGCACTGTGAGTATTTGTGTGTAAAAAGGAATTAAATGATACACATCAACTTCATGGTAGTTCGTCATTGTGAAGGAAAATAGAATCTGCAACACCAGGAGAATCAGCTGTATGTTTTTGTATTTTAAAAATCAGAAAAATAAATACTAGCATTTAATAACGTGTCATGAGTAACCAGACTTGTTATATTACTTTCTATTATCTGCTTTTTTATTAAATGATAATCTTGTGCCTCTTAGCTGATGTTTGGTTTTACAGGGACCCAGTATATATTCATCTCTGCAACACCCACAAAACTCAGTTCAGCGAAGGCAGCAAAAATTAGCCTCTTTCCTTTTATTTCAATAATTTCATGTTCATGCTCCCTTCAAGTGCGTAGATTTCTATTTTGACTTTATATTAACAATAAAATGGTCACATCAAAGGAGAGGAAATAAAATGTCCTTAATCATTTTATAAGTGGTGAAAACATTTTTAAAATAATGTAATAGCTTGCCAAAGAGCATTATATATTTGATGTTTTAGATTCTGTGGAGTGTAGAAATTGGTTATTTAAATGGAGGAAGGGAGGAAGTTTGTATCTTAGCAGTAGTAGTTGTCAGTGTCAGTGGTAGCAGCACTTGTAATTATGTACACCTCAACAGATACTGAAGTCATTTCAGCCTGGTCTGCTGGTCAGATTCTACAAACTTCAGCCCTTATATCATTTGATAATGTAGCTATCAGTGAATGATGGGTAAACAACATGAGAATCAAAACCTAATTAGTAGATAAGTTGTTTATTAATGAATGCCACGTTGCTCTTCTCTAGAGCCATTTACCAATTTGCAATCCAACCCACAGGGCACCAAAGCCTTCTTCCCCATCATTCCTACACAGACGTGTTCCATATTTCACCCCCAAGATTTCCATCTTTGTCAGTCTCATACCTAGAAATGCTAATATTATCTTCACTGGATATTTCTATGCCAGATATTGTGCTAAGAACTTTTCATATCACTTACCTCAACAACACTATCTTATGGGAGAGGAGACAGGTTTAGAGAAGTTCAGAGAATCACCTGTAGCTGTAGATTTGAGATTCAAATTGATCCAGCTTGTTCTCTGGAGTCTAAGGTCTCAATCACCATCCTAGACTATTTTCAAGGGTTGTCTTATTTATTTGATAATCACTTTCAATGGATTTCATGTCTAGTTACAAGACTATCTCCCATTATGCTAAGCAAAATAAGCCAGGAGAAAGTTAAATACAGAATGGTGTCACTTATATGTGGAATATAAAGAAATAAAACAAAGGGTCAGGCATAGAAAAATATTAAAATGAATCCTTGAAAGGTGACTATAGATCTGAGACATCCAGTAGGGGAGGGAGAGAAATGAGAATGGAGGGTGAGGGAGAGTGCACAATGGACAGTGCTGGAAGACTATGAGTGCTTTGCTGGTGGGAGAGCTACAGTAACCATACCTGTAAGGAGAAATCCTGTATTTTCAAAATATTAACAAGGATGTAAAACAATTTTTTAAAAAAGGCTATGTCCCAAGCCCCTTGAAGAAGGACTGGCATCAGACTCCCTGTATTCTAATCTGGTTTGACCTCTTACTGACCGTGACCATTAAAAAAAATGTGCTCTGAAATAAGGGTTATAATATGCCTACCTCCTAAAGCTATAGTGAAAAATAAATGTTAACTGATCAAATGCTTAGCTGAATGGCTGGTGGACGGCAGACTGTAAGCAAATGGCAAAGATAAAAGTAACCTACTGCTACTACTGCTGTACTATTGCTACTATGTTGGCTATCAAAGGAAGAGGGTAAGAGGCTGGTATGTATTTCTGTATTCCATATGCCTACTATTCTCTAATGCACAACCTTAGAGAACATTAATGGCCACCTAACTGCTATCTGAATGTACCTTTCAATCCCAATATCAGACCAGAAAGGCATTGATTGATTGACCCATTCAGTGCCAAGCATGATGTCAGGCAGAACTCTAGTCTGTCTGGTGTGCTATCACTAGCTATAACCTACTCTAGTCATCAAAATCTCTTGATACATCCAATAAGTGATGCTTAGTGACTATTGCTATAACATTATGACCAAATAGTCTAATAATATTTTAGGAACTATTACATAGTTTTGTTCGATCCCTTAGGAATTTTATGCAATCTCTTTTGGAGATTCACAAAATGACATATTTTTCATGTTCCTCAGGGCTCATCAACATACCTGCAGTGGCCCTTGGAATATTCTCTGGGGCAATAATTATGAAAAAATTCCGAATTGGTGTGTGTGGAGCTGCAAAACTCTACTTGGGATCATCTGTTTTTGGTTACCTCCTATTCCTGTCCCTGTTTGCACTGGGCTGTGAAAATTATGATGTGGCAGGACTAACTGTCTCCTATGAAGGGTATGTTCACTCTTTGAGTAACCTGGGGAGACGTGGCTTGTTTTACTAAATTAATAATTGATGTGTTTCAAGGTAAAATAATTTTGTTTTAAAGTGTAATGATGAGAAGGGAGTTGACTGTTTTATTGTGCAATAATATTAATACTTTTGACATGGAAGATGTTATTGTCACCAAAATCTGCCATTTCCTTTGAATCTGAATGATGTTTATATTTCCCTAAAGTGCTAAACCCACACCTTACTTTAGGCAAGTATCCTGACAGTGGAAAATACAGACTTTGAATCTTACCTCTGTCTACTCCAAGTACAATTGTGTTGTGAGGGTCATTTAATCCATTCTCAATTTTCCCATTTTTAAAAATATAAATAATGGCCTTTTAAGATTTTGTAAGGTTTAAGCAAGGAAATATTCATAAAAGTGATACCACTTGCCTGGCACAAAGTGGATATTCTATTCATGGAAACAACTGTATGGAAACTGTAATATTCTTTTTTCCTTCAACATGGGGATCTTTTCTGTGCTTCCTTCCATGCTTATCAGTCCAGCATCCACATTCCACTCTATCACATCTTCATTGATATGGCTGCCCTGCTGCTACGTGAACATCAGTTATATTTTTTGCAATCCAAAATGTCCTGGAAAATTAGTGAATGCTAAATTCATGTATTATTGCTTCTGGGAATTACCACATAACATTAGCCTTAACCAAGTGTGGTATTCCCTTGGTAACAGATAGAATGAACTAAAAACATTTGTAACAAAGAGGTTCTGCAGAGAGTAGAAGCCCTGTGCATCTCATGGTAGTGTGTGGAGCTGCTGTATCTACTAATATCTCTAGATATAAGTAGTACCACTTATATCTACTAAGTGATAAAGTAGTTTGTATTTTGCAATTGACAAAACACTTTTCATTATTTCACATCTATCTCTGGAGCCCCTTTATGAGGTAAGTTTATCCTTAAAGGGCACCAAGTTATGCTTTCGAAACATCATGTTGTGTCTCAGTCAAAAGCAAACACATAGGGCCTCCCTGGTGGCGCAGAGGTTAAGACGTAACCTATGAAGCAATCTGCAGCCACGGCAGCAGGAGTTCAATTCCCGGCCGGCCAGGGAGAAACCCACATGGCGGGACAGACCTCTCCTGTCTTGCCCGCTGCTCCCCTCAGCAGTGTATTTCAGTCTGTCTGCCTTTCTGTTCCCCACTCTGTCTCTGGTGAATTCTCTCACCCTCCTATCTGGCCTGTACCCAATTCTTGTATAAACATAAATCTTTAAAAAAAAAAAAAAAAAGCAAACACATAGACAACAGTAAACTTTTGAATTTCAAATTAAAAGTATACTTAGATAATAAAAGATTAAAATTTTAAACAGATAAAATACAATTATGTGAGAACCAGCCCTTGAATGCAATCCACTTTAAAACATTCTAAAACTCTTGTTTTGAAATTACTTTCCATTTTTTAGAATATTCTCAACCATGTCAAAGATTTAACCTTTAAGAGTAGCTTTACTATTGGAAGCAACCAAAAGAAATGGCAATATCATTGGGAAAATCTCACTCTTCCCAGCATGACTATTTTGAAAGAAAATCTTATCTGAGTATAAACAACTTGGCATATTTGACAAAACTCATCACTGAAATTTTAATAATGACCCCACTATCAACTTATCCTTCATAAAAAATGCAAGTAAGTTCTGCTTCATTACTGCCCTCACTGATATAAAATAACTGGTTTTATAAAATATAATATATCCTCTAGGGATTATCCTGAGTTTTGTTCCAAGGGCTAATTTGATTCAGGACTATCATCAGAAACACTGAAATCAACCTGCAAATATGGTAACAGAAGAAACCTTGCTTCTTCAATAATGAGAACAAGAATTATGTGAGACAGAATATAGAATCAAGAGGACTGGCAGTGCTGACTTCTAGGCTTGTCACTAATAACAATGTGAAACTGAACAAGTTATCTGTCTACTGTGTATCAGGCTTTCCAAAAGTGAAGTTAGCCTGTATCACCCCCATTGTTCTTTCAGCTCAAACCTCCTATGATCTCAGCCCTACATTAGCCATACTGGCCTGATTCTAGACTTTCAAGGCACATATTTACACTTTTAGATACTACCAAACAGCCTCCTTTAACAATGAATACCTTACAGTAGAGAATAAGATGAAGCAGTCCTACAGGATGTCTCAGGAGGCCTAGTTATGAAACTTTTCCTGCTGTTTGAAGATATCTCAGAGGTCTTTTACTTTTGAGGTGACCATATTCAGAGCAAGTTCTCTTTTTAAAGGGAAAATTATATCAACTAAGAAATTCCTCAAAGAGATAGGGACCAAAATGAGTAATTCTTTTATCCAAAAAAGATGCCATTTTTCTTTGATTTACTTACTAGAAATCTTTTTTGGCCTAATCCAAACCAGGACTTGTTCTTGGTGCCAGCAACACAGAAGTGAGAAACAAACAGCTCCTGCCCTCATTGAGTATATGTGACAATATTTGTTTTTTGTTTTAAGATCCTCAAATACCTTTGTCAAAAAAAATTGGGAAAATAAATTCAAAATGGAAGAGGAAAAAAATAACTTTGAAAGATGATGGCAAATGAAGATCAGATAGAAGAGATACACCAGTGTATAAGAATCCCATCTAGAGAACAGAGGATTATGAATAGTCCAAAAAGAGAAAGAGCAGGATTAGGCAACTCAGATAAGAAACTGAGGAATTATGGGAGAGATGAAGGAGGATGAGAAAATGAAGGGATGATGAGACAGAGAAAAGGCAATCAAAATTATGCAAATAAACTGTTTAAAAAAAGACAATTTCTTTTTTTTTTTTAAAGATTTATTTACTTATTTATACAACTAGGGTACAGGCCAGATGCACGGGAGGGTGAGAGGATTCACCAGAGACAGAGCAGGGAACAGAACAGGCAGATTGACGAAATACACTGCTGAGGGGAGCAGCGGGCATGACAGGAGAGGTCTGCTATGCCATGTGGGATCCTCGCCAGCTGGCTGGGATTGAACCAGCGCTGCGCTCAACAACCTGTGCCATCAGGGGAGGCCCCCCAAAAAAGACAGTTTCTTGAGGACAAATACCATCTCATGCCCATCTAAAACTATCATCCCTCCTCCCAAAAGCAAGCACTTAATAAGTCCCAACAAAATTTTTTACAAACAAATGAATGCGGAAGACATTGAAATATTAGGAAATGGTCTAAGGAAGGTTGACATAAGATATGAAGAACTATATACATACAGAAGATGTGTGGGATACAGAAGTTGAAAGTATACCATTAGCTATGCCCATTCTATTGATGCTCAGATACAATTCTGAAAGAAATTTACACAGACACACTAACATTGCCTGCAGTGCATTTAAGTAATGTCATTAATTGACCTAAAAGTTTGTTTTTCTGCCTAGTTAGCCATTTTCACACATCTCTGCAGTAAAAGGTCCTAGAAGTAGCAAATTTAGAAAAGGTCCTAAGCTAAGAACTGGACGTTTTTTGAAACTGTGAACTTTTCAATAGGAAAGTTCAATAGTGGACTTTCTTCTTTCAAAAGGAAATTGTTCATAGCTGGCACTTCTGAGACAATCATGTTTCCAAAAGGTCAATTTTGTTGACAGTGCCATTTCCATTACTCAAGAACATTGATTTTTAAATATATTAGGGTGCTTCCTGCTAAGAGGTAATATTTTATACTGTTACATCTCTTTTCAGAACCAAACCTGTCTCTTATCATGAACGAGCTCTCTTTTCAGATTGCAACTCAAGATGCAAATGTTCAGACACAAAATGGGAACCTATGTGTGGTGAGAATGGAATCACATATGCATCGGCTTGTCTTGCTGGTTGTCAAATCTCCACCAGGAGTGGAAAAACTACTGTAAGCAATCTTCTTTAAAGTGTACGCCCAAGGCCTGCCATGGTACATAATTATACAATGCTGTGGGGGTTCAAGGACAAACCCCAAAGTAAACCACACTGGTAGAAGCTCCTATTCTTCCTCTGCCCTTTTACTTTCGTGTGGAGAAAGGAAATAGAACCATTGCTGGTGGAACTAAAGTTGTTCAAACAATCAGGGTGAGATTTAGGGCAAGAATTAAAATCACACAGCTAAGTTGGAACAACTTTGTAATTATGAAATCTAGTTCTCTGATTTTGCTTGTAAATGATATTACCAATAAATAACAAAGTCCCTGTCATAAGACCATATAATAAGACCTACATTGGGATCTTTTTCTTCTGATCCCAAGATCAGTGGTCCTTGAAAATTTTAGGCACAGAATGAATAGAGGACAGTGTTAGGAAGTTTAGACCAAGAGGTCAGGAATCTGATTGTGGGAAGTTTAATGGTTCTAGGACAGCTATACCTGAGAAATCAAGGCAATCTAGATAACAATGAAAAGAGTAGGTGGGTGGAATGAAGAATTTCTGTAGGTTGGAAGAGAGAGATGAGCTTGGAAATATAGTTAGGAAGCCATCTGAGAAGGGTATTAACAGACTGACTACCCCTCTAATCACACCTTCATTTTACTGTAACAAACACACACAGACCCTTCTTTGTATGTACAGTGATCAGAGAGCTTTCTACTTGTGACTGATGAAATCTGCCTGTATTTGACAGTCATAGGTCTGACTATCATAATATGTATATTATGAAATATATGTATATTACATATCAAATATATATATTATCAAATATAAAATATATGTAATATATTTATATTACATGTCAAATATATCAAATATATGTAATATACATATATTACAAATATATGTATATTACATATCAAATATGTGTGTTTACAGATGCTCAGCAACTAAAAAGAATGTCTAGTTTGAAGTCTGGGAGTGTGATGCCTCCATTCCCTTCTTTTTTTTTCAGGAGAGCTTTGGCTATTCGGGGTTTTTTGTGATTCCATATGAATTTCATCAATAATTGTTCTATTTCTTTGAAGAATGACATTGAAATTTTGATTGGAATAGCATTGAATCTGTATATTGCTTTTGGAAGGATGGCCATTTTAATAATGTTTATTCTTCCAATCCATGAGCAGGGGATATCTCTCCATTTCTTTGTGTCTTCTTCTATTTCTTTTAACAGTGTTTTATAGTTTTCTTTGTATAGGTCCTTTACCTCTTTTGTTAGATTTATTCCCAAATATTTGATTTTTTTTGTTTCAATAACGAAAGGGATGGTTTTTTTGATTTCTTCTTCTTCAGATTTATTGTTTGTGTATAGGAAGGCTACTGACTTTTGCGTGTTGATTTTGTATCCTGCCACTTTACTGAACTGATTGATGAGTTGAATTAGCTTTTCTGTGGAGTTTTTGGGGTTCTCTATGTAAAATATCATATCGTCTGCAAATAGTGATAGTTTGACTTCTTCTTTTCCTATTTGGATTCCTTGGATGTCTTTCTCTTGTCTTATTGCCCTGGCTAGGACTTCCAGTATTATATTGAAAAGCAGTGGTGAGGGAACAAGAACAGACATACAGACCAATGGAATCGAATAGAAAATCCAGAAATAAACCCACAGATTTATGGTCAACTAATCTTTGACAAAGGAGCAAAGACTATGCATTGGAGCAAAGAAAGTTTGTTCAATAAATGGTGCTGGGAAAACTGGGTTGCTACATGCAAAAGAATGAAGCTTGACCACTACCTCACACCATACACAAAAATCAACTCAAAATGGATTAAAGAATTAGACATAAGACCTGAAACCATAAAATATATAGAAGGAAATATAGGCGAAACACTACGTGATTTGCACATCAAAGACATCTTTACAGACACATCACCCAAAGCAGTGATAGTGAAGGCGAAGATAAACAGCTGGGACTACATCAAATTAAAGAGCTTCTGCACAGCAAAAGAGACAATAACAAAAACAAAGAGAAACCCCACCAACTGGGAGAACATTTTTGCACCCAACACTAATGATAAAGGACTGATCACAAAAATCTGCAAAGAGCTGATGAGACTCAACAACAACAAAGAAAATAATCCAGTCAAAAAATGGGCAGAAGAGCTAAAAAGAAACTTCTCTGAAGAGGAAATGCAAATGGCCAACAGGCATATGAAAAAATGTTCAACATCACTTGTCATCAGGGAAATGCAAATCAAAACTACCATGAGATACCATCTTACACCAGTGAGAATGGCACATATTAAAAAAACTAGCAACAACAAATGTTGGCGAGGGTGTGGAGAAAAAGGAACTCTTCTGCACTGTTGGTGGGAGTGCAAACTGGTCCAACCACTGTGGAAAGCTGTGTGGAGATTTCTGGACCTACTAAACATAGAGCTTCCATATGATCCAGCAATTCCACTCCTAGGTATTTACCCAAAGGACACAGAAACATCAATTCCAAAGAACACCTGCACCCCTATGTTTATAGCAGCACTGTTTACAATAGCTAAGCTTTGGAAACAGCCCAAATGCCCAAAAATAGATGACTGGATCAAGAAGATGTGGTACATATATACCATGGAATATTACTCAGCATTCAAAAAAGATAAACACATGCAATTTGCAGCAACATGGATGGAGCTGGAAGGGATCATGCTCAGTGAAATAAGCCAAAAAGAAAAAGAAAAATACCGGATGGTCTCACTCATAGCAGGAATCTAGAAAACTTAAATAAGGGACCAGGAAAATGAATAACTATAAGAAAATGAAAATCAAAATCAACAAAAAACTATGAACCAGAGACACTTTTAGGGGGGCAGGGGTGGGAGGGGAGGGATTGGGGTCAGAATGGGGGCGCTGCAATTGTATGGGGAATATAACAATAAAATTTATTATCTAATAAAAAAAAAAAAAGAATGTCTAAGCAAATGCTACTGCAGACACAGTAATATTGGCTGATTTTCTTTCTATTATTATTTTGATATTCAGAACAGAAAAGAATTGGTTTCAAGCAAATACTACCCATTTGAAATCTGAATTTTTGCCTTTCCTTCATTTTCTTTTTTCTTTTTTCTCTTTCAGTCACCATTTTTTTGCCCAACTCCATGAAGGTTTTTTCTTAAATAAAGCTATCATTTATTGAAAACACTGCATGCCAAAGAATACAGTTGTTGCTTTGAAAACAAAATTGCATTTAAGGATCATGGTATCAAGTAGTTGGTTATTATTTTACTTATCTTCCTTTTGTGGTAAACTGAGGTACAAGAGACTTGGCTAAAAATAATACATCTAGTGAAAGGCAGCTTCAAGATTCAAAACTCTTCTTTATTATATGTATATGGACAAGTTCATACCTGAAATTTACAGAAATAAACCATGAGATTATAAAAGTTGCCTCTCTATCCAAGACTTAGTTGAATTTTAAGCATGATTATTTCCCCCCCAGTAGCTACTATAAATTCTCTCATGTCTTCAATCAACTTATCTATTTAACAAACTTTTATTGAATATCTAAAATGAGGTCCTAATTAGGCCCTAGATGTACAATGATGACGAAGCTTATAGTTTCTGCCAGAGGCTATATTCTCGTGATGACATACAGTTCAAAAACAAATGTGATGTTCTTATACATAGTGATAAGCTCTGTGAAGAAAAATAATAATAAACGGCTAGAGAGAGGCAGTATATCATTCTGAGTTGGTGATTATGGAAGTTCTCCTTAGTGAACTACCTGAGCAGAGATCCTGCTGTGTAGTTATCTAGGAAAGCTGCCCAGAAGAGAAAATGACATCATAGGAAATGATATAGGAAAACCCAGCATGTTGGAGGGTTGGCCAGGGCCTAATGGGAATGCATGTGTGTGGGTAAAGATCACTGAGTGGTGAGAGATCAGAATAGGATACAAGAGGTATAGCGTGAAGAGTTGTGTAAACCATTAAAAGAATTTGGGATTTCATACATAACAAGAAGTCATTGGTAGGGTGAGAAACCAATGCAGCTGGGCAGCCATTTAAAGGTTTACTTTGGTTACTGTGGAAAATGGAAGAAGGCTGTATAAGAGTGGGGAAAGGGTGAGCATGAAAAAACCAAAGCAATATAGTGGCTTAGAAATTGAAGTGGTGGAGAAGGAAATGGGTATAGCTGGATTTGGGTAGGATTTGCTGAAAGATTGTTCTGCAGAATAAGCTGTTTGTACATCACCATCCCTTGTTTGAATTATGGAAAGTTTTATCTCCCAATAGACTTCATTTTGCTTCATATACCCTAGTGCAAAAAATAAGAGCTTCCTACTGTTTTGCTCCCTACTGTTTTTATAATGCAGTACTGTAAAGTCTTTTAAAATAAACAATTTTATTTAAATGTTACCTCAATAACTGGACTTTTCCCTATTGTGTTACAGGTATTTTATAATTGCACCTGTGTGGGAATTGCAGCATCTAAATCAGGAAATTCCTCAGGCATGGTGGGCAGATGTCAGAAAGATAATGGATGTTCAAAAATGTTTCTATATTTCCTTGTAATTTCAGTCATCACGTCCTATACTTTATCCCTAGGTGGCATACCTGGATACATATTGCTTCTCAGGTGAACAATGATTCTCCCTATCCCAATTTTAACATAATACATACTATAATCATCTAGAGCAGTGATTTCGATTTCAAATTCTGTCTGACTCTTTATAGCTCTCTCAGAAAACTAGTCCCACATCCTTATTTTACTTAAGTATCATTCACATTAGGTACTTTAATACAAAAATGCAGCTGAACAGAAGTTTTCCTAGTTAAAATTGTTTGCAAACCATTGGTTCAGAAAGCAGTGTTAATGCTTACATCACCATAGCCAATTAATAAATATAGTATGCTATTTCTAATGCTGTTTATGTTAACTAGTATGACAAAAAGTACTTTAGACCAAGCAGTTTCACTGAAATCTGAAACAATTTCTCATAGAGTGTAATTATTTTGACATATGGGTTCTTTTTTTTCTATATATCCTTGCATTAATTAGAGTTATCTAGGTATTCCTTTGTATATTTTAAGTGGACAGCTAAAAACAATTATAAGTTTAAATACTACTAAGCACCAGTTTCCAATTTATTATATTTACTTTTTAAAGTATAATGAAATTAATGGAATCTAAAGAACAGAGATCAAATAACCAACATCACCAAATATGAAATTATTTAAAAAGGTCTTTCTTTGATTTATGCTTATTTCTTCATTCAACTTCCCATAGGATTTTCTTCTACTGTAATATAATTTATGCTTTAACATTTTTATTGACAACCTGTACTATATCCTTATAATATAGTTTCAAATTTTAGTTTTGTAACCAGGATTCTTAATGAGAAAATCTTCCTAATTACATTGGTAAACATTATTACTATGCAACTAATCAAAATAACCTAAAATATTAAAAATTCAAACATTAAATTAAAATTAGGGCCTCCCTGGTAGCGCAGGTGGTTCAGCACAGCGCTGTGAAGCTGTCTGCAGCCTCTGCAGTGCGGGATTGATCCCAGTCAGCCACGGAGAAACCCACATGGCGCAGCAGACCTCTCCTGTCTTGCCCGCTGCTCCCCTCAGCAGTGTATTTCAGCAGTTTGCCAGTTCTGTTACCCGCTCTGTCTTTGGTGAATCCTCTCACCCTCCCGCACATCTGGCCTGTACCCCGGTTCTTGTATAAATAAATAAATCTTTTAAAAAATAAAAATTAAAATTAAGTTTAAAATATTAAAATTGTACTTGGCTGGTAAAGTCAGGTGCCCACTATTCAGCAGAAATAGTATGTTACAGTGACTGCAATTATATCAACTGTGATCAGCATAGTCCTATACTTTTACAACAAAAGCCACAATAACTAGTTCAAGGTTATAAATACATTATTTTTGTTTCAAATCCTCACATTATTCTAGAAATTTGTATTTTTCACCCTGTGAACCTACAAAATACCATTTGAATTATGTCACAAAGGGGTGATTTAACTTTCAGAAATATTAACTGCACTGCATGCAAAGGAACATGGCTTCTATATACTTGCCTTCTCTACATTAGGACACTCACGGGTTCTCCATAAATGCTACTTGAATTCTGACATCACTTAATGTGTGTTAAGTATTTTATCACTAACTGTTTGCTTTAATGTAATAAAGATTTTGTTGTGTTTTAGGTGCATTAAGCCACAACTTAAGTCTTTTGCTCTGGGTATCTACACATTAGCAGTGAGAGTTCTTGGTAAGTATTTCTATATTTTATTTATGGTAGCCATCACAAGTGTATTTTGAATAACTCACTAAATATTTTTACAGAATTATGTATAGCTAAACGATGTAGGTAATGATTTCTAAAATTTTTCTTCCTTCCTTCATTTCTACCCTCGCACATGCCTTTCTTTGATGTCTCCATTCCTTTTTTCAGAAATATTTACAGGGAACAATGTTCTGGCTGCAATATACCAATAACACTGTTGTGAGCATAATGACATTTTTGGGTGAACATCTTGTCTTTTCCAGCACTGATGCATTTTTAAAAACAAGACAACAACAACAAAAACCCATTCTGTTATGGGAGAATTCTCTGAGAAGAAAGCAAAAAACTGAAACATAAGAAAGTAATTTTTCATTTAACTGAAATATAAGTTCTTTCGAGCATCTCTCAATGCTAGCAAGTCATTTAGTAGAACGATAAGATCATTCATACAAATTTGAGTTGATGATTTTGTAAATGCACTTGAGGGCTGTTTGTTTTCAGCTACCAGATTTTTTAATATGCATTAACTAAAACCCATAAAGAAAAGAGTGAATGAGTAAGATAAGTTCTCCTTTAAAAGCTTATATTCTAATGAAAAAAGTAAAATAATCATAAATGTCCCTCTGTAATTTGACAGAAAAGAACTGCCAGGAAAAAAATAAACTCAGAGTTCTAAAACTATGAAAATATATTTGGTTTACATAGATCTTAATATAAAACAGGTATATAAGAAGAGACAATATTATCCTGATAAGTGAGAACACAACAAAAATGGAAATTTATGCCATGGTGACTGGCTCTAATTCCATAATATAAAAACAGATTATCTAGAAAAATGTCAGGTTGCTGAAGCTGAAGTATAACCCCAGCTGGAACTGGTCTTTATATCACTTGGGTAATATAGATAAAACCTACAATATGAAGGTAATTTCAAGAAATGACTTATAAAATTGATTTCATAAAAATAAAAATATACTTAAAGCGACATAAATATATTCAAAGTCAAAAAGCAAATGACAAACTGGGAACTTGTTTTTTAATTTATGTAACAGGCAAGTGGTAGCTATCCCTATTGTAGACAAAGCTCCTAAGTAATGCGAACAAAAAGATCAAAAACCAAGTAGATAAATGGATAAAAGAAATGGACAGCAATTTCATAGGAAAAAGTGCAAATGCCTCTTAATATATGAAAATATAATCAAACTTTCTTGTAATTAGATTACAAGAGTGCTCATGACAACAAGAGATACTCCTTGTCGCTTTCCTTCAATCTACAACTAAGAAGATATCCGTAATTCAACAGAGGTTCCACCACACATCACATCAGATGCCAGAGAGATCCCCAAATCTGTGTTTAAAGGTGTACAGACTGTGCCTTCCCACTACAGAGGGCAACAGTGATCCTCAGCCACAGCAGAGTCCATGACTCAAGCTTACCACCTCAAAAAAGGGGGCAACATACTGCATGGTAATCAAGCTTGCACTCACCCACTTGCCAGGATGGCGATTATAGGACTGTCATGCCTCATCATTCCCCTCCCCTTGCCATTGCAGAACCAATGAGCCAGGTGACCATCACCGAGGGGTGGTGCCCAGTGTCCCCAATACCCCAGAAGTGATGCTTGCAGTGCAGTGACACCAGCAGCAAGGTGCCATTTACGTTAGAGGCAGATCTCTCTGATGCAGCACCTCCTACCCTACAGAGTCAGTAGAAGTGGGAAATGTAGGCAATCAAGTATAGCCAGAGGCAACTCAGGAAAAAGAAACAAAAAATTTATGTTTTAACATCACCTGCTGGAAAACAGAAGAAAGGTCTCTAATTGCCAAGTTCCTGAATTAGAATTAAAGCAAACAAAGCTATACCTAAATAAGAAAGATACTGGCCACTTCAAATGTACCAGAGAAGCAATTTATTAAGAACCATGAATAGGGCCTCCCCTGGTTGCACAGCAGTTGAGCGCTGGCCACCGGTGAGGGTCCCACATGGCGCACAGACCTCTCCTGCCGCCCGCTGCTCCCCTCAGCAGTGTATTTAGTCAGTCTGCCTGTTCTGCTCCCTGCTCTGGCTCTGGTGAATTCTCTCACCCTCCGTGCTTCTGACTGTATCCAGTGCTTGTATGGATAAATAAATGAATCTTAAAAAAAAAAAAAAAGAAACATGAATAATCATAACATGATACCATATAAAGAAAATGATAATTCTCCACAAACCTGTGATGTAACTAACACAGAGTTAGAGAATTCAAAATAACTGTCATGAAGAAATTCAACAAGCTATTTAAAAAAAAGGAACTCAGAAAGCCAACTCAATGAATGCAGGAATAAAATTAATGAACAGAAAAGCACTTTCCTAAAGAGATTGAACCAAACAAATTCTGGACCTGAAGAACTCAACAAGTGAGATGAAGAATGCAACTGAAAGCATTTGAAATACGGGAGGTCATACAGTAGAGAGATTTAGTGAATTCAGGCATAGAAATCTAGAAATATTTTAGGTGAAAACTAAGGAGTGAAACTAAGACTTTTTTAATGAAGAAACTCTTCAGAAACTATTCAACTTCATTAGGAAACATAACATAAGGATAATGGATACCAGAGAAGAAAAAGAGAGGGTAGAAAAGAGCAGAGAAGTTATTTAAAGAAATAATACCAGAGAATGCCCAAAGCTAGGAGGGACCAGGACATACAACTTCATAAAGTTAATAAAACATCTAATAATTTCAATGCAAAAGGAGTTTTACCAAGAACATCAAAGATGCCAAGTCAATTATTAAAAAATTTAAAGGTAGTCAGGAACCAATGAAGTACCCTTATTGATTATCATAAGTCATGTCATCAGCAAATCTACATGCTGGGTCAGTGAAGGAAACTATCAAAATGAAAAAGCAACCAAATGAATGGGAGAAGATTATTTGCAAATCATATATCTGAAAAAGGGGTAATAACCCAAATATACAAAGAACTCATACACTAAACAACAATAAATAACTTAATTAAAAAATTGGCAGTGGATCTGAATAAACACTTCCCTGAAAAGACATATAGATGGTCCATAGACACAGGGAAAGATGTTCATCTTCACTTATGATTAGGGAAATGCAAACTAAATCCACAATGAGATACCACTTCACACCTGTGAGAAAGGTGGTAAAAAAAGAAAAAGAGAAAGAAAATAAATTATGTTAATGAGACTGGGGTGGGGGGAAGGGTCCTTTACACTGTTGGTACAAATATAAACTGACATAGCCACTATGGAAAATAATATGGAGATTCCTCTAAATTTAAGATAAGAAATTTCATATTATACATCTATTCCACTTCTGGATATTTATTCAAAGAATATGTGTAAACAATAAATCAAAATATATGCACTCTGATGCTCTTAGTAGCATTTTTTAGAACTAAGATAAGGAAACAAAGTCCCCACTGACAGATGAATGGATAAAGATGTGGCATATATACACAATGAACTACTCAGCTATGAAGGAAAAGAAAATCTTGCCATTTGTGATAACATAATAGACTTTGAGGATACTGTGATAAGTGAAATAAGCCAAGTAGAAAATGACAAATACCATATGATATCACTCATGTGGACCATAAAGAAACAAGGCAAATGAGTTAAAAAAAAAAAAAAAAAAAAAACGCTTACCAAGAACAGATTGATGGTTGCCAGAGTGAAGAGGGGGTGGCAGGGGGATGAATGGATACAGAGTGTCTGGTGATGGATGGAAACTGGACATTTGCTGGTCATCATGATATAGTAAAGTATACACAGATGTTAGATTATGTTTCACAGTTAAAACTTATTATGTAGTGATATAAACCAAGTTACCTGATTAAAAATTTATTTTAAAAATAGAATACAAATTCAAACCTCATTAAGATATCACTTGTTAATTATCAAATTGGCGTCACCAAATGTGGCTTACAATGTTTAATAGACACATTTACATATAGCTGTTGAGAAAATGGTTTCATTTCTAAGGAGGATTATTATAACATAAAGTTACATGGATTTATCTTGAACCAAGCAACCCCACTTTTAGTAACCAATGTCAAGAATTTGCTAACCAAATATGAAATAAATCTAATTTTATGGATGTCCAATTATTGTGAGATTATATATAACAGCAAATGACTGCAAACAATATAATTATCAATTCATATGTAATTGGTTGAACAAATTAGAGTAAACTCACATATTGGAATGCTATGCAACTATAAAGACAATTGGGGAAAATATCTCCCTATAATGTTACCCAGAGTATTAGTCAACTCTGACTGCACTAACAGAGTACCACCAACTGGTACTCAATATGGTACCAGTTTGGGGTGCCATGTTTGGGGATAATATATTCTGAACCCCATGAGTCTCACATGTACATAGTAGAAATAATGAGGTGTGACTCAAAAGGTTTGTTCAAACTTGGGTTCATATACCTTGCTGGGCTAACACAGAGGGAAAACGGTTTAGGGCTTCTGGCCAGAGAAGGCAAGTGATGGAAGCTGACCAAAAAAGGTATAATAAATATGGGTAAGATTTGCTATGCAGATTTAAGTAGATGCCTTCCCCATTTAAAAAAAGCCTCTTGTGATTAAAATCATGCCTCTCCTTTCAGTACAGAAATGAAGAGTTCCCTTATAAATGTAAATTTTCCTTATGATAGGTAAACTTATGCTGCCTTCAGAGTTCTCCTGTGTTTTCTGTTTCTCAAAATAGTCAGCTCAAAATATTCCTTACATTAGGGACATATTCTGGTGTCCCACAGATAGATACCCTTGGTATTACCAAAGCAGTAATTATTGCATAAAAATAAGTGATTCCAGATATTCATTACACAATAACCAAAAGATGTGAATATATTTTTACTAGCAATTATTTTGTCTTCTCACAGCGGGAATTCCAGCACCTGTATATTTTGGAGTTCTGATTGACACTTCATGCCTCAAATGGGGATTTAAAAGATGTGGAAGTAGAGGATCCTGCCGGCTCTATGATTCAAATGCTTTTAGGTACTGTATCAAAATTATTGCAGCATCTCACATCTACAACATCCCAGATTTGCACTATTCACTGGGCACTAATAATTCCTCATGTAGCTATACTGCTTTTAAAGTTTAATCAAGAAAGGTGCTCTATTTTATAGAATAATTCTATTGTTATTTGGTTATTTGGCTAGATTTTTCATTTTTTTTAAGATTTTTTTTTTAATTCATACAATAGCTGGGGTACAGGCACGGGAGGGTGAGAGGATTCACCAGAGACAGAGTGGGAGCAGAACAGGCAGACAGAACAAAAACACTGCTGCGGGGGATCAGCGGGCATGACAGGAGAGGTCTGCCGCACCACGTGGGAATCTCCCTGGCAGGCTGCGGACAGCTTTACAGCACTGTGCTCAACCCGCTGCACCACCAGGGAGGCCCTAGATTTTTCATTTTCCTCTATTTCTAATCTTGACTCATTTTAAATAATTTTTTTTTAAAAAACAACATAAAATTTCAGAGTAGAGTAGAATTTTGAAAGTTTATACATGCAAGAGTAATTCCCTGAAACTCTGAATCATTTAAATGTAGGTCACATTTTGGGTTTAATTCTATTCTTTTTCAAACTGAGCCAAACTGTCCTATTTACGTCAGAAATAATCCCCTGGGCAAGAGTTGGATTTGGCTCTAAATCTGTCTGGTTTTTATTGCCAAACTGATGTTCAATAATTCCAGTACTTGAACTGCATAAAAGTAAAAGGTTTTCTCTGTTTGTGTGAGCATGTATGGGGGCTGAGGGCATGGCTTTTTCACTATGGTATCATTCAGTTCAATTCATTAAACATTTAGTACCCTTACTGCTTAAAGGAATGCTTCAATAGCTTTAAAAGCAAGAAGGATCTTAAAGTCTTATAATCTGAGCATTTTCTAGAGAAATAAACTTGGTGCTGAACAATTTAAGTTGGAAGTTGGACATGAATTGAACCAACTATCTCAAATAAGTTTGTTTAATAGACTTTGAAGTTATGTGAAAAGTTTATTTTGGTATTTGAAAGGGACCTGATCCGTGAGTTGAATTTGCACTTTGCTCACACTTGCTAGGGCTGTATTCACTGTAAATCAAAGTCAATATAATTCAGAGTTATGTGCAATGTGACCACAATGAATCACTGAACATGGTCTTCCATACCTTCCTGTTTTGTGACAGCATGCCCAACTAAGGTGTTCTTATGGGAGAAAGTTATTTAAATCTCTGGTTTATTCCTAAGTCATTCTTCTCTACCGAAGTTCTGATACCCCCTTTCATTGCTTCTTGAATGAAGTTTTTCTACAGAGGTTAAATTGAGCAAGGTTTAAGGATAAGGTAACCATAATTATTATTCAAACCTAAACCTTCTGACAGTGTAAGGGAGCAGTATTAAGAATCACACTGGGATATTTCCCTTAGCATAATCTCTTCCACAGTCAGAAGGAAAAAGATAAATATCAGATGGTTTCACTTATACACAGAATATAGAGAAACCAAACAAAGGGTCAGGTAAAGGATAACACTTGCAAGCTTAACATTGACCTAAGGCACACAAGAGGGGAGGGAGAGGGGATGAGTCAAAATGGGAAAAAGCACAAGGACCTATGGTGATGGATCACTGGTGCTGTGGCGGTGGGAGAACTATGAAGACTACACCTGAGGGGAGAAGTCATTACTGCCCAAATACTAACCATGATGTAAGGGGAAAAATTTGTTTCTTTTAGCCCTTAAAAAAATGAATGAATAATGTGTAAAAATATATGTATATGAACATACAGTTTTATTTCCCTGTTAGCACAAAACTCTGACCATCATTTTAAGTAAATTCATTTTAAAAATTTCAAAATAACACTGGGACAACCTAGCACAAGCTGGGATTGTTCTAGACAAGTAGAGAAATGGTCACCTAGTCTAAGGTCAGAGGATGAACTGATTATATAGATCATAATAACTGAAGATGATGGTACTACTAAAAAATTATTTTATATTATCATCAAATGCCTTCAATAATCTGTCATATAGTCACAGAAAGGCCTTTTGTAGCCACTGAATTGGCATTCCTAATGAAAACCATCCCCATTATGGCTTTATTAAGTGAATGACTTCAATGATGTTAATATTAATTCAATGATATTAACTTCCTTTAGTATCTTATTTAAAGTCAGACAGATGCAATAATTATGACCAAGACTCTTTCTTCTTCTAGACACATCTATCTGGGACTAACTATGATACTCGGCACAGTGTCCATTTTCCTAAGTATTATGGTACTTCTCACTTTAAAGAAAAAGTATGTTTCAAAACATAGAGGTTTCAGAACCAAGAAAGAAAGAACAGTGGTACCTACAAGAATCAAGAAGGAAAACTATACTACAAGCAAACATTTGCTACAACCTAACTACTGGCCAGGAAAGGAAACACGGATTTAGAAAAATGAGTTAGAGTCATGTTTTCTCATTTCTGAAAATTCTGAAAATAAATTTTAATTAAATGGGTTTTGAATGTGTAACTCTTTTTCCTTTCAAAAAAATTCTACTTTGTTTTTGATCCTAGGTATTAGATAACATACCTGATAACAAATATAATTAGACATTTTATAGAAGATGTGGCTAATAGAAAATTAATATTAAACCATTCAGTTTATGTACAAATTCCTTTTTATTTTTTCATTCTACCTAAATGCCCTTTGTGCCCATTGATATAGTTAGCTGTAATCCTAATACACTTGTTCCTATAGTCTAATAATTATGTGGAAAGTAATTCCGAACCTAGTTCACCTGTCTAATGTTAAAAAGTTAAACCTCATCTTGGCCCCCTTCAAATACCAATTTAATGATGTAGTATTTGTTAGGACAGAGTCAGAATCTGAAGAGGAAGATTTCACTTTAAGTTGTTTTCTTTTGAAATATAATAGGTGATACAAAAATATTTAGTAGCAAATGAGTTTGGGAGATTGAAATTTTAATAGTGCTCTTCTACCATTCATTACATATGCTTTATGTATGGTGTTTTATGTGGTCATGGTTGTACAGTAATAATGTTAACATGCTTTGCTGTCTTTCTATAAATTCAATGTATTAAAAATTATTGTTAAATAAAACACTGGCCTCATTTTAATATAGGTAAGCAGCACCAGACACACACATGCGATATGGTCCTAAAACATGTTTGAAAGTCTATCCCAAACTGAGTTGTTCTACCAGGAGTGCAGAGTGATGTTAAGCAATGGGTGGTTCTGTTAGGGGCTCTCCCTGGCATAGATAACCACAGGATCTCGGAGCTTCCAGGCAGAAGACCACACTGGCATTCTGGTAGACAGCAGTAGCACACTTCTGGATAGCTCCACATTTTTCTGCACCTGGAAAAAGTGAAGCTAGGCATTTACTCTTCGCTGGCTTCCTAGTGTTTCTCTGAGTATATATAGCAGGTTTGGCTGTCCAGGATCTTTAATCCAAAGCTCTCTTACATACTGCTTTTCTTCCTCGACCACAGCTGCATAGGAGGGCCCTCCCAAGAAAAAGACTTAAGGCAGAGACCACCACAGTGAGGCAACCTGAGCCACTACCATTTCACAATCCAATACTTTCTATACTCCATAAGCCCTGAACCACTCAGAGAAGATTGGGTGGTTAGACCAAATGGGCTAAAAAAGGAAGTGTGGAGTGCTAACCAGTAGAAGTGAGAGCACAGTGTCCCTCAAATGTAAAAGGGGAGGACATGGAGATTTTCAAGGTCAGAATGGGACCTATAATTCTATTACATATCAGCCACTGTAAAAACTGTATCCCTTAGTCTTTATAGCAGTCTCAGTATCATAATTCCCATTTTACAGAAGATGAAACTGCACATCAAAAGAGGTTAGGTAAATTGCTTAACCTTGGATGGGCAGTCAGGATTAAACCCAGGTCTTAATATAAAACCATCCTTCCACCATCCCAGACTGACCCATAATATGACACTAAATAAATGGCTGTGTTATTTGTAATGTCTCTATACTAGTTTATTTATTTAGATCAGTTTTTCTCCCATATTTGTGTTCATATGTGTTTCAACAGTATGCAGATAATCAATCACCATTACAAAGCATTAGAATTTACTGCCCATCGGCAGGCAAATGGATAAAGAAGGTGTAGTATACAGTGGAATACTACTCAGCTGCAAAAAAAAAAAGATGAAATCCTGCCATTTGCAACATGGATGGACCTAGAGGGTATCTTAGTGAAATAAGTCATGCAGAAAAAGAAAAACATTGTATGATTTCATTCAGATGGTATTAGGGAAAAACAGCAGAAAGATGAACGAAATAAAACAAAAACTCTGGACTATAAAAAAACAAATTAGTGGCTATCAGAAGAGAAGGGAGAAGGAAGGTGGTTAAAATGGCTAAAACGTAAGAATTGTATGGTGAAGGAAGGAATGGGTCTTTTAGTGGTAAACTTATTGAAATCTATACACATGATTTTTAATGATGCACACCTAAAAGTTACTGTTATAATGCATATTCAATAAAAAGAATTTAGCATTTTCTTCAAACATGGATGATTTATATGGTTTGAAATACTGTACTACAAAAAACTCAAAATATCTATTTAAACCTAAGTTACATGATCAAGCGTAATCCATTAGAATCCCTAAAATTGTGGAGACTTGGAATTGTACTAAAATTCTTAGTGGCCCTTAGAAGCAGCAGCACAGGGTACTCCCAACAAGAATCTATTTGAGGGCCTCCCTGGTGGCACAAGGGGTTAAGGCACAACCTATGAAGCAGTCCACAACCTCTGTAGCACGAGTTCCATCCCCAGTGCAGCAGACCTCTCCTGACTCGCCCACTGCCCCCCTCAGCAGCGTACTTTGGTCAGTTTGCCTGTTCTGTTCCCACTCTGTCTCTGGTGAATCCTGTCACCCTGTTCCCTCCCCCCCCCCCGCACCTCTGGCCTGTACCCCAGCTCTTGTATGTATAAATAAACAAATCTTGAAGAAAAAAAAAATCTATTTGAGATATTTCTTGGGCCTAAGTCCAATAAGGAGGTCCAGAACAAAAATGCAGTAGTCTTACTCACACCATGCAAGGGTCTGTTTCCCTTCTACCAACTTGATTATGCTATTTACTTTTATCCTTCTGCTTTAATTTTTTGGCATACACTTTTTAAAAATTTTTACCTATACTGTTGATTTGTAGACTGGAACTGTACAGTCAAGCTTAATAATAAAGACACTAAATTTGCCTCAAAGTTTGAAAATCAGGAATGCATTTGTGGGTGATTGGAAAACATCATTGGTCCTGCAGCAAGGCAAGACAGACTTTGAGGCAAATAGTCACCCACAAATGCATTTGATTTTCTATTTGATGCAAAATTACTATTTCCACTAAAAGGAGATAAAATTTCCAATGTCCCTGTTTGGATATTTCAACTTAAAATTGTCTTTCTAAGGTAGATTAATCACATTTATAATTAGAGAATGTAGTCTATTCAATTTGCCCTTTTGGAAACTTAAAGTTAAGCCAAAGAAATCAGCAATTTGTGGAAATGTTCAAATTTTTGAAAATAAAGTTCACTGATTATAGAGGACAAACTTAATTATATATGCATCAAATCAAACCATCCTATTAACATTCACACCTTCTGATATTTTCCTTCCTATTTTCTCTTTCAAGACCTAATGGTGAGAGTATATTAAAATCTCCCAACTCAAATGAATTTTTGTGAATTGCTTCCATCTTTAAAAGGTTTTTTAATCACTTAATTTTAATGCTGCATTTACTAAATATTATATGCTTATGGAGTCAAATTTTTATATGATGTAGCTAATAATAATCTTAGTATTAATTTGTCATTTCTGTTTTATTTATTGTGTTTGTTTGATATAGCTTTGGTCCTGATTTTACTCCTAGTAATTTTTTGTTTTTTCCTTAAGGTTAGATATTTATTAACAGCATAAAGTTGAACTTCACTTTTACTTTAGCTAGCATTTTGTCTATTACTAAAGATATCTAAAAGTCACACCTGATTTTTGTATTTACTTCTGGTATATTGTTCATAGCATTCTTTTCTATGTTTCCAATTGTCTCCTTTTATCTTACATGTTAAATATATATTTTTGCTTTTATATCTTACTGGCAAAATGGAAGTTATAGCCATTTTATTAGCAATGTGAGAAATATTCTACAATTGGTTAGCCATAAATTATGTAATTATGCCTTAATTCTATTTTTATCTTCCTAATAATGCCAAGAATCAATAAATACTGTGCACTGAAACTCTGTGTAAGATTAAAAAATTAAGATGTAAAACTTAAAACCTGAACATAAAACCTGAGACCACAAAACTCCTAAAAGAAACCACAGGGAGTCAACTCCTTGACACCAGGCCCTTGGAGGTCTTCCTTTATCACCCATCTTTCATAAAATAGCATATGCTGTCCCTCTCTATTCCATTAACCTTATTTGTTTCTCTTAATAGCACATATCCCTCATTAACAAATCTTTTTGCTAATTTGCTGTCTGCAAGTTTCACAACTGTCAAGGGATGTTGTTATTCCTTGCTGTAATAGTAGGCAAACCATGGTCAAATAAATAAAACATTCCATATTTAAGGGAGGTAGGACAACTGAGGAAAAATGAGGAGCTGTAGAAGGCTTTGCCCTCAGAAATCAATTCACCCCTAACAAGTATACAAATAGTTGTCACATACTAGAAGTTAAAAAACATTTTACCCAAAGTTTCACATAATTGACTCATTCCAGAAAGATTTTATTGAGATATTATTTATGATTACTTGGACTTTACTACTGAGGTTACTCAGATGCTTTGACATGTAAGACCCTTTAAAAGACTGCATTTTTTGACATCCAGCTTCCAACATTAGCACAACTCAAATCTTAGGTTATACAGTGCTTTAGGCCAGGTCTGGCTTGGATGAAATCCATATTTTAAAAATCTGGGCATTGATTTATTTCATGCCTAAGGCTAATGTCATTGGAACATACTCTATCCTTCAGAAGCAAAATCCAAGGTAGTGAAAGATTCCAATTCCAAGACAGAAAAGTATTCAGGAGGCTAACAAGTGCATCTGTTTTACTATATTCAGAAACACATATTAAAAAAATAGATACCCTGCCATAACTCTGGCCACTGTGAAAGTATATAGTTAATGCAATTCTGTTTGTGATGAATGTTTATAATTGTGCATTTTTAAATGGAGTCTTTGCCATTGTAAATCTGGGTCTGGACCTCCTGCATGTTAGCAGAGTGCATATTGGACTGGGGCTCCACCAGCTCCATCACCACATCTTAGGGGATCCAGTGACTCTCAGCACAGGGTTCTGTAGTCCTGATGTTTTCCCAGATAGCCAGGGAATCTACTGCTGCTAATGTTTCTCTGTGTCTGCATTCTTCCTTCTACCTGCAATTCCATGCCTCCCATTTCTCCATTTACTAGGCACAAGGTAGTTCAAGTAATTGATTTTTATATACAGAAAACTTAGCTAA